TCTGGTGAAACAAAAAGGCCAAGGGCCAAATAATAAAATAACCAGACACATTGACTGAGTGACTGGTTGATTTATACATTTAGTGTGTGTGTGTGTGTGTGTCATTTTACGAGAAAGGGCATCGATTTTGTGGATTTTTAGACTAAAAATTTAAATTGATGGACAACAACAAAAAAACCGAAAAAAAGCCAATCACATGTGTTCAATCAATAATGGTAATCGATATGGGATATATGAAAATTTCATGACCACTAAATGAAAAACAAAATCTCATTCATTTGATCCGTAAAGAAAGTATGTCTGTTTTTCTGACCATTTTGATCCAATTGCAATTTGAAATTTGACTTTTTGTACACACACAAAAAAAAAAATTCAATCGACATGTGTGTGTCACCTTTGTGTCACATTCATAGAATTTCATTGTGACCACCACCACCACTACCACCACCAAAATGGTTTCGGTCATTTCATCCATTTCCTCTCGTTCTCTCTCTGTCTCTTTGGTTTTTCAATTCAATTTCATTTGATTTGGTTCTCATGATGACAAGATCTCGAAAATCACCTTTTTGATTGATTTTTCTTCATACAAAAAACAACCTGCAATTGACCAAAAAAAAAAATTCCTTTTTGGATCGAATTTTTTTTTGTGTGAAAAGATTTTGTAGATGCGGATTGATGTGTGTGTGTGTGTGTGCGCGCGATTATTCAATTTTCAATCCTATTTAAATGATGATGATGATGACCTTTGATTTTTTTTTTGTCGTTTGGCCGAATCATATATCGTCTGAGACAGAAAAAACATTTTACCCGAACAACAAAAGAAAAACAGTTAAATAGCGGTTTTTTTTTTTTGTTGGATAACAACAACAGTAGCAGCAGCATCATCAGCAGCTGGTTTCTGGTTTTTGTTTTCTTTTCACAATAGCCAGTGTTTTTTTTTTTTTTGGTTTGGGTTTTGGTTTTGTTTCAGTTTCAGTACCATAGGATTCACAAGTATAATGTTTGTCTGTATGTATGTTTGTGTCTGTGATTGATTTTGATTGACTCGAGTGGGCACACACACACACACACACTACTACAAAAACATTGCCCGAAATTGTAATTTTTTTTTTTGAATGGAATGATGTATTGATGGTGGCCAGATTTTTTTTTTTTTTTTTTTTTTGGTGATGTTCGATTGTGTAATGACACCTTGTCACCAAACCAAGAGAGAGAGAGAGAGAGAGAGAGAGAGAGAGAACAAACCCATACTAAAGTACCGCATAGTTTGACAATTGTTGTCCGTGTGTTGATTTTTTTTCTCTTCTTGGTTTCGTGATTGACAACAATGAACATCGAACAGAAAAAAAACAACAAGAGATCCTCCCACTCATTTGTCAATGACAATCAATGAATGAATACATTTCAAATCACCATTGGCCATTTATAGTCATACATTTCAGACCTATTTATATTGATGATGATGATGATGATGATGACATTTGTGGCCCATAGATGACAATAATCAATTGAAATGATGACTTATAATAAATGTTTCCTCTTATTTTTCTCTTTTATCAGTACCGGTATGTGATATGGAGAGAGAGAGAAAGAAAGAAAAAAAACAACAACAACAACAAGGTCCTTTTGGCACTGATTAATTGACTCAATTCAATACTCAAGTCGATGCTTATCGTTGGTGGTGTCCATGTCTTTTTTGTTTCGACAATTTGACCAGCAAAAAAAAAAACAACACAATTCTATGGTAGATAGTTGTTGATGTTTGCACCTTTCACAATTTTTTTTCATGACCTGCTGATAAGGGACAATAGGATCGTTTCGGATTTAGGAAAAAAAACTTGATTTTTTCTCTTTGTTGTTGTTGTTTTTTCTTGGTCAAATCAGTAGCGTTATTTTTTTTTTGACTTTTACTATTGTCTCAAATTTAGGACCCATTATTCAAAATGTTTCCTTTTTTCAAATGTTTTTTTTCTGATTGTCGTGGTTGTTGTTTCAAAAAAAAGAGGAAAAAAAATCAATCAAACAATGTGATGTCTATGTGTTATGCCTTTTTTTTTGTTTCGACCATGGACATTGATCTTTCTGGTTGTAATCCCACACAGACATAGACACATTTTTTTATCGACTTAAAAAAAACTAGTCTTTCAATTTACAACAAAATCTATGATTTTCAATCAAATAGTGTGATGTGTGATGTGTGTGTGTGTGTGTGTGTGTGGTGGTATGTTTGCTTTCATGTAATGCAGACAAAATAACAATAAAAATAACCAATTGAATTCTAGCAAAAAAGAGCTGAAAAAATGTGTGAAATAAAATTCCAGTATTGAAACACACACACACACACACACACACACGTAGATATATAATGGATATATTTAAAGTTTTGAACTGGATTTATCTGATGATGATAATGGTGATGATGTCTTGTTGGGTAAACCTGTCTTTTGAAAAAATGATCGAATCGATCAGAAAATGATGATGATGATGATGATGATGGTAGTAGTGGTATATTTCTAATACACAAACACACGACTTTGATGGCCAATTATACCTGAATAATGATGATGATGATTATCATTCATGAGTAGAAAAAAAATCAACAACTCTGATGATGATGATAATGATGATATGAAATTTTTTTTCGCAAATAAAAAAAAACCACACGAAAACAAACATTACTAGACTGCCGGACGCCAATGAATGATGCATACACACACACACACACACATACAAATTCGAATGTCATTGAATTATTCCAATCACTTGAATGAAAGAATCGAATTTTAGCATCAAAAACTGGTTGCCAATGCCATCTAGCGACACTGAATCAATGTATTTCGGATATAAAGAATATCGAATTTTTTTGTTTCTCATCATCAACAACCTCATTGATGATGATGATGAGGAGGATGATGATGATGATGATCGAGAGATATGGTTAATAGCAGCACAATATAAGAATGACGAATTGGATCATACATTCAATTCAATTCATTCAATGTTTAAGTTGGTTATAATATTCAAATCAATTGCGCCATCTCCTCTTTGATGATGATGGTGATTATGTGATGAGGAGGATAATGATGATCAGGAACATTATTAGAAAAAACATACACACACAGAGAGAGAGAGAGAGAGAGAGAGGGAGAGGGAGAGCAAAACCGATCATCATCGGTTCTGTGTGTTATATGTATTTTTTTTTCCGATTGGCGGCCGCCTACAGAAGCCGTATCGAAAATGAATTGAACTGCGCACATAAATAGTATATACATACACACAGACACACACACACAGAAATAGTAGCAGCAATAATCGTCGCTTTATTTTTTTTTTTTTTTTTACCTTTTTAGCCTTTTCTTTCCCGCCTTTCAAAATATATATTGTAATGTTTTTGATGTGACAACCCACACATACAATTGGAAATGTAAGTGAGTGAGAGAGAGAGAGAGAGAAATGAATGAATGAATGAATGAATGAGAGCCAGAAAAAATATGATGAGGAGAAAGAGAACCGATCGGTTTCGAATCATCATCATCATCATTGAATGGGATATCTATCCATCTCTCTCTCTCTCTCTCTCTCTCTCTCTTACCATATATTTTTGGCAAAGACCGCCAGTCATCAACAACAAAAAAAAACAGAAGAAAAAAAAATTGAATTCAATTCAGTTCAGTTCATCTCTGCCATTCGGACAGATTGGATCTATGAATGTTTGTGGAAAATTTTTCTATATTCACGACGACAACAACAACAAAAATAATTTTGAAAAATTCGTTCATCAGTTTCAAACATCGTCGCGGTTTTATTTCGGTTAATAATTTTTTTTTGTCGTCGTTGTTGTTCAATTCAATCGGTTCGCGGAGGATCCTGACATTCGGCTTTCATATTTCTGGTTTTCACAATTCATTCATTCATACTCACTCATCATATGCATCACACAGACAAGCCACAACAGATATTCATTCAACAACTCTTTTATTGGTCTGGTGGAAAAAAAAAGAAAATAATAATTTTCAATGATCCGATCTCAATTCCAAACAATTACGTGTGTGTGTGTGTGTGTTTGTGATTCATAAATGACTGAATTGATAAACGCGTCATATTTTTTATTTAATTTGTTTTTATTCGATTTGTTGATTCATTTATGAATCATCGAAATATATATCATCCTGAAGTACAAAATCTGTGTGTTCACACACACCTTGTGTGTGTGTGTGTGTGTGTGTTTGATTATATCATCAATTAGTTTTTATTTGGATCCAAATCACCCGCGTGTTTTGCAATGTTTTTTTTTATTTTTTTTTAAATTTTTTTTGGTTTAATTCATCATCATCATCAAATTTCATAATGATCATGTGATTTTTTTTTCAATATCGCTCAGTGTGTGTGTGTGTGTGTGTGTGTGTTTGTCGATTTCAATTTCTTTCACCAAACACATACACACGCACACCCACCCCCCCATTACCATCATCACATCTGGCCATTTTTTTTTCTTTGATTGATCCATTTGGGATTGGGTTTTTATTTTGAAACAAAAAAAAAAAAAAAATAAAATAAAATAAAAAATTTGATCTGTGTGCTCTGCGTGTGTTGACCACTACACTGTGATTTTTGTTGTTGTCTAAATTTATTTTTTTTTCTCGTTTTGGTTCCAGTTAATTTTAATCGATTGATTGATTTAATTGATTTTATTTGAAATAAACACGAATCTCATCATAATTGTCATCGTCACCAAATCACCCACCTACACCTACACACACATACGTAAATCTAATCACTTTTAATTGATCAATTATCGATATCATCATCATCATCATCATTTAATCTCAATATTTATTCACATAATCAAATCAAATGTATGTATGTGTGTGTGTGTGCAAAATTCAATTAAAATAAATGTGTAAAGAAAAAAAATCATTCATATTCTTCAAATTGAAATAAATAAATTTCATAATGATTCTCGATTCATACGCCAACAACAACAACAACAAAACAACAACAACAACAACAATAACAATAATAATAATAATAATCATAATCATAATCATAATATAACAAAATTATCGACTAAAAGACTAACTACAATTGATGCTGCTGCTATTGCAAATTCTGTATGTATATTTTTTTTTGAATTTATTCATTCAACAACATAACACGCACACACACACACACAGGAATTTAGATTTTTTTGTTTTGTTTTGTTTCTTCACTTTGTTTGAAATTTCATTCAATCAATCAATCAAATGACTGATTTTTTTTCAAGAAAAAAAAATTTCACATTTATATCGATAATGAATGATGGTGATGATATTTTTTTCATTGTCCACCTAAATGTGCAAATTCAATTTTATTGTGTAATGAGCGTGTGTGTGTGTGTGTGTGTTTTGTTTGTGGTGTCACAAGTGGTGGTGGTGGTTTATTGTTTATAAATTGATGTGGCCAAATCATGATGATGATTGGTTGGTTGGTTGGTTGATGGCCAAAAATGTATGAATAACCAAAAAAAAGACAATATTTTTGTTGTCGATTAATTGGCTATAGTTAGGTTTTGTATGCAAACATACACACACACACATTGAATATGACCAGAAATATTCGATATTTACGTTTAATGATTTCATTTTTTTTTTCTCTCTCTCTCTCTTCTGACTCTATATATTTGATTTGGTTGAAAAAAAATGTTTGGTTTTTTTTTATTTTCGCCAAATAGACAGACACACACTCGCACATGCACACCTTATTTTTTTTTCTCTACCTCTTTGATGATTATGATGATGATGATCGATTCATCAATATATGTCTGTATGTATTCCAAGTTTTCTCTCTCTCTCTCTCTCGGCGTGTGTTAGTTTGTCTTATTTGTTGGCGGCAATTTGTATTAAGAAATGGTGGTTGGTTGGTTGTTTGGTTGGATGGTTGATTGTGTCTGATGATCGGATCGAATTGAATCAAATCATCATGTCTATTGATTTTACCTGAATGGTTGTTTTTTTTTTTTTTTGGTTGGTTGTATGATGATGAATGTGTGTGTGTGTGTGTGTGTGTGTGTGTGTGTAAATAACGAGCAATGTTGTATGTAATTGGAAGAAAGAAACAAAATTCTCTCACTCAACTATCGATTTAATCGTTGTGTGTGTGTGTGTGTGTTTATGTATGTATTATCGATATCGATGATTTCAATGATGATGATGATGATGATAATGATGATGTCATTGATGTTGTTATATTTATGCAAGTGATTGATCTTTTAATTTTCAATTTTTGTTTTTTGTTTTTTTTTTTGATTTAACCCGGCGTGCGTGACGTATATATATGTTATATTCATTTAAATCAATCAAATCAAATAGAGACACCATCATAAATGGATTGGATGTGTGTGTGATAATCATTGGATTTCATTCAAAGTTATTTTGTTTGTTTTTTTTTTTTTTTTTCGAAGATATCTAGATTGACCATCTTTTGAAGATTTTTTTTTTTATTTCGATTTTAATCAAATAAAAAAATAATTGACCATTTTAAAAAAGGTCTTTTTTTTCGCCTCTTTTTTTCTGATTTTATTGAAATTTTGCTTTTGATTTTGATCAATCTGGATCTGAAACAATTATTTTTCAATAGGGGAGCCCCTTCATCATCTCGATGACCATCGATTTTGTTTTCCATAAATGATCCATCAATTGTATTTTTTATTTTTTTTTTTTTGCATGTCACCAAAAATTTGCGTGTGTCTCAATTTCAAAGGAGCAAGAGAAAGAGGAAGAGGGGTTGGTGGTGGAAATTGGTTATATTGATATTCTGATATGATCGATAGTGGTAATATAGAACACACACCATTACTTGATTGTATCTTTGTGTGTTAAGGGCGTAATTACATATTGCGGTGGTGGTGGTGGTGGAAGTTGGTTATATTGATATTCTGATATGATCGATAGTATTATCTGATTGTACCTATGTGTGTGTGTGTGTGTGGTAAGGGCGTAAGAATAATATTGAATAAGACGATTATTTTTTAAATTAAAGAATCATACAAAAAAAAAAATTGCAAAACTCAGAAGTTCCTTTTTTTCATCCCTTCTGATTAGATTCAATTCATTTCAATCATTTTTTTCCTCCTGTTGTTGTTTCATATTTTTTTTCATGTGTATATTGATTTAGGTTTTGGTTTCCAGTTTAGTTTGTTGGTTATTATTGTTATTATTTGATGATGATCAGGATTAACTATAACTATATCACGCACATAAATATTTTTTCTTTTCTACATTCATTCGTATACATTACGTTTAATTTCAATTGATCAATTGATGATTATTATATAACACAAAAAACACATGGAGAGATTTTGGATCAAACAAAAAAAATGGACACTTCATTGTGTACGAAATGTGTGTAGAGTTTATTTGCATACTACTGACCAAATGATGATTTTTTTTTTGGTTTTCTTCGTTCTATTTGTATTGAACATACACACACACACACACACACACACACTGAGGTTGGACTTGATTTGTACCTAAAATGGATGAATTGAATGAATTATTATTGAATCAATATTGAATCTTTAGCTGTAAATAAGTTTTTTTTAAAGAATTGTGTGTGTGTTTTAGATATCGAAATAAAATAAAAGAAAAAAAAAAACAAAGAATAAACGATTTAATGATGATGATCAGTTTTTTTCCATTCTGTTTGTTCCGTTTTCCATAACAAAAACAATAATCACGTCAATGAATTGAAATTGACCAATTGACCAACAACAACAAAACAACAAAAAAAACTTATTGAATTTGTCAAATTCGAAATTATCGATAATTTCGAATTTTTTTTTTCATTGTTTTTCATCATTATTGATGATGATGATGATGATCAAAAGATGTTCATAATTTCAATTGAAATGATCGATCATTTTGAATTTAATTTTTGTTTTGTTTTTTTTTTTTTGATGATCCAAAATATCGTACTACTTGCTTGAACACACACACACACACGAAAAATTTGTTCATTTTTTTTCTGTTTCTGAAAATCTCATCATCATCGAATCGATTATTTCCATATATCTTGATTCAATATTATGTGTGTATACCAATTTTTATGATGAAAAACTGACCAATGCTGTTGTTGTTGTTGTTGTTGTTGCTAGCTATCAATTGTGAATCATATCAATTCTTATCATTATCATTGTTCATTCGGAACAACAACAACAAAAAAAAAATTTTATCCTTCCAACAACAACAAATTCATAACAACAAACAAAATGTGATTGAATGAATGAATCCAAATTTTTTTTTTGAAGAAGAAGAAAAAAAAAAATCATCATCATTTTTTTTTAATTTAAAGTTGTCAATAAAAAATGAATGAATAAATGAATGAATGAAAGGTTATCATTTCTACTCTACATATAGGCTTTACTTTTATCAATCTTTTCATAAATAAACAATTTTTTTTTCTTATTATTTTCGTTGTTGTTCATTCATTGTTCCATCCGGCTTTCATAGTCATCATCATCATCCTATGATGATGATGATGATGATGATGAATCGACATTCAATCCCAAAATATATTACAGTGTGTGTATGTACAATACCATTCATATATTTTTTTTTTTTTTTGTTTTGTTCTTTTCGTTCGAATTCATTGGCAAGTCGAAGGTCATCATCATCATCGTCATCATGATAGACATTATAAAAAACAAAACAAAATAAAATAAAAAAATCCAAATAGATTTGATATATAGATAGATAGATAGATAGATGGATGAGCAAGCAGGAGGTCGATAACTGGACAATCATTATATAATCATCATCATATATTTGAAAATAATAATAATAATCAGCCAAATGTCCATGGCCTCCCCTTATAATGGTCATCAACATTATCATTGGTATTTTTTGAAGAAAAAAAAAAGTAATCATTGTAAACATTACACACATCAGACATATTTTTTTTTTCGTAAAAATAAGGGTTTCAATCATCAATAGAATTCCCATATGGTCAATGTTTATGTGTGTGTGTGTGTTGTGTGTTGTGTAATGATCACAGCTTGTGATCAACTAGTAGTTGTTTTTTTTTATTTCTGATTTGTCGATCATTTGAAATAAAACAAAATCAGATCCAATACTGTGTGTGTGTGTGTGTGTGTATGTTATGTAATAATAATGTTTCCGAATTGATTATGTGATTCATCATCACATAATCAATTGCTGATTGTTGATTGATGATGATGATCATCATCATCTCTCTCTCTTCAACGATCGATGTTTGATAAACAAATGATTTTTTTTTTCATTTCAAAAAAAAAAAAATTTGGATATCTAATCATTAAAGTTTTACCCATTGTGTTTTTAGTTAGATAGGCAGATATTGGGCTGGCCATTGTTTTTTGTTTTTTTTTTTGTTTGTTTGCTATCCAAGTTGATTTAATTTTAATTGATTGATTGCATAAATAATAATAATGATGATGATGATGATTTTATACATTACTGACCATCAGCAATTGATTATATAAATACAATATATACATACATTTCACATTTCATGGTCAAAATCCATGACCCCCAACCAATTTTTTTTTTATTTTTTTATCATTATTTTTTTTCTTCTTGTTACTACTGCCAATGTTTTATCGACCATTCTCAAATAATTTGTTAAAATAAACTTGTTGTTGTTTGATATATTGGATTCATCATTGTGTGTGTGTGTGTGTGTGTGTGTGTGTGTATCGTAACAAGATGATAATGTTTACATTGTTCAATTTTAATCTGATTTATTATTTATATATGTCTGATGATGATCATATAAAAGAAATTGTTATTAAAACTAAGAATAAAATCCATTGTTCGATGTTTAATTGATTCGATTCAAATCGATTGTTTAGAATCGAATTTTTCTTTCCCTCATGTCATCATTATTGATGATTAAAATCATTTATCATTGTCATTTTTTATCATTAAAATTCATCATCATCATCATCATCATTTTTTACAATCAGGAATTGTTTTGATTCATATAAAAAATTTTTGTTTACAATGCAATGGCGCCCTCTATTGACATTGGTTGATATTAATTTTTAATTTTTGAAAATTTTTCGTTCATCATAATTAATTGTTTGTTTTATTTTCATATATAGACAAATGTACGCAATCAACGATTAGTGAAAAAAGATTTAAAACATTTAATCGAAACGAATAATACATTTCAATCACGATCATCAAATATTTTTCATACGAAATTGATAACGAAAAATAAATCAATTATAAACAACAACGACAACGAAGAAAACGATAACGTTGACGTTGACGATAATATGATGGACAAATCATCATCATCATCATCATCATCGACTGCATCATCCGATGGTGAAGAAATGGTTGCCAAAGATAAGGCTTCCATCACCTTAAAGAATTTACAAGATTCTCATGATGTGCAACCACCACCACCACCACCACCACAACAACAACAACAAATAGAATCGGACAAAAAGTCCAGTGATCATCATCATCATCATCATCAGCATCAACATCAACATCACCATCAACAACAACATCAGCATAAAAATACCAATGACGTATGTATAATTAATTCTGTTTGACAAATACTAATTGATTAATTGAAAAAAAAATTTAGTCAAATTTAGCTGATCTAATCAAACGATTAAAATGTCAAATAACACAGCTACAGGATCTTGTTACACAAAAAGATAAAAAAATACTTGATCTCAATGAAAAACTTGATCAACAAAGTGATTATGATGAAATAAAACGTGAATTATCAATGGTTCGTAATGAACTAAGTCATTTTGGACCAATAGTTTCATTGGATCCAATCACCTCAATTACGACCGCTGATGATGACGATGATGATGATGATGATGAAAATGTTGGTGATGATAATATTGTTGATAATGATAATAATAGACCATCATCAACATCATCACTACCACCACCACCACCACCATCAACGAACATAATGTCAACAATAGATACTAATAATACAACAAATCTGAATAATAATGCAAATAATAATAATAATCAGAATCAGAATCAACGGAATTCACTTTCTTCTCATCGTCATCAGCAGCATCATAATATTTCACCACCAACAACCACATCATCATCATCATCACCAATGTTTAATCCATTCAATTTTCCACCATTACAAAGTCTTGGTAATGTTGAATCATTTGGTTCATTACTTGGTGAAGAGATTGCCAATTCATATGCAAAAGTAATGGCAGCTGCTGCTGTTGCATCATCAAATTCTTCTTCAAGCAATAATAATAATAAAACAAATCATCATTCATCATCAAGTCATTGTAGCAATCATAATAATAATAATGGCAATAATAATAATAATTCTGTTGGTAAGTTGAATTTTTTTTTATTCTTTTAAACCATACGATTCTAATCTAGAAAATTTTTCAGATTCACCATCACATTTATCAAATGGAGAAATTGGTAGTGGTGATGGTTGTGGTGCTGGTGTTGGTGGTGGTGGTAATGAAACATTAGAATTGGATAAATCAACCATCGAAAGTGTAACGACAACACCGACAGCTAGTGCAATGATATGTTCAATGGATGGTGCTGAACCATTAACACATAGCCCATTAGGTGCAACCACCGTAACAGATCTGGGATTAATACCAAATAATTATTCACATAATATATTCTATGATAAACTACAACATCAATTACGATATAATGTTGAAAAATATATGAATGAAACATTGAATACCTTGCATATATCACGTTTTGTACGAGAATTATTATCGATACATAATATTGGACAAAGATTATTTGCCAAATATGTTCTCGGTCTTTCACAAGGTACTGTTAGTGAACTATTATCTAAACCGAAACCATGGGATAAATTAACAGAAAAAGGTCGTGATTCATATCGAAAAATGCATGCCTGGTCAACAGATGAACGTTGTATTAATCTGCTCAAAATGATGGTACCACGTAAAGGTATGTATTTATTTAACAAACAAAAAGAAATATTTGCATCCAAAATTGGCAAATTATTTTTTCATTTTTAATTTTTTTTTCTAATTAAGAATATGGTTCTTATCTAGGAAAAGATTCAAATAGCTATAATAAACAGGATGAAACAAGTGGTGCCGAAGAACGTATTGCACATATTCTTAATGAAGCTCAAAGATCAATGAAAGGTTCATCATCATTGAATCGTCAGGAGCTGTTGGCACATTCATTCATAAATGGAGATAATATTGCTGCATCGATGGCCGCAACAGCTAAAACGATGGCCGATTTAAAAGAACTGAAAAATGTTGTCAATGATACCATAAGCGATAATGGTAGTGATCGTGATGAAAATAAATCGGAAACGCAATCACTTTGTGATCGTAAATCACCATCATCATTGATGAATCCAACGGCAATGGCAACAATTAGCAATTTTTATAAAAATATCAATGAACCTTCAATTCATAATGAACGTTCAAGCAATAATCGTACACCGGTTCGAAATACACCATCAAAATTACCCGATAATAATGAAGATGCATCTGAATTGATACGTCTATATCAAGCTTTGATCGGCCAACAAATCGAAGAAGGATTACGTAATCCTCAGAATTATGATGACATTCGTAATGTGATCGCATTACATCAGGAACTTTCACGGCTCAATCCATTCATTGCCCAACAATCAAATCCAGAATTAATTGCACGTTTATTTTCAACTGGTTTGTTTAACGGAGTAAATTATCTGAATGGACTTCCATTGGCGATGGATTCATCATTACAATCTGGTGGCAATCAATTAGTAGACACTGCTATGCGTAAATTATCACCACTTGATTCACCACAACAACAGCAACGTGAATCGAATGCTCAACAGGATTCACCACGAATCAAAATCGACAATCTATTGGGTCAAATGAAAACTGATTCATCATCACCATCACATAATGGTAATAGTTCATCAACTGGTCATCCTTGTCAGCTCAATTCGTCTAATACACCATCATCAAATGCTGTTTTCAACAATGCGGCGGATTCGCCGGACGATTTGGCCGCTTCACCATTGCAACGGATTCAATCGATAACAAATTCATTACTTTCACAATCATCATTACCAACATTACCAAGTCAACCTCCACGGCCAGCGAAAGCCGTATTACCACCGATTACTCAACAACAATTTGATCAATATAATAATCTTAATACGGAAGATATTGTTAAACGTGTCAAAGAACAATTAAGCCAATATTCGATTAGCCAACGATTATTTGGTGAAAGTGTTCTAGGTCTTTCACAAGGTTCCGTATCGGATTTATTAGCACGACCAAAACCATGGCATATGTTGACACAAAAGGGACGTGAACCATTCATAAGAATGAAAATGTTTTTGGAAGATGATAATGCCATACATAAATTGGTGGCTAGCCAATATAAAATTGCGCCGGAAAAACTTATGAGAACCGGTAATTTTGTTACTGGACCGGGAATTCCACCTACCGGCATACCGGGTATTAATCCAGCTGCAGTCATTGCACCGCCACCACCACAATTACCTGGTTCACCACAATCATTACCGCAATTGAATACATTGGCTACAGCAACTGTTCCAACGACGAAAAATTCATCAAATTCGATTAAAGGTCCAAATGCAGCCGATTTAGCTCTAAAATATGAACAATCATTAAGTCCAAGTAGCGTAGACAATAGTATACGATCAAATACATCAAGTCCAGATCTTGCTTCATCCATTACGACTGTTCCATCACCTACAGCAGCAGCTGCATCGTCACCATCATTGTCGATGAGATCTCGATTATCAGCTGCATATAACATGAGCAATAATCTGCTAAGACCGGTAATGAATCAGCCACCGAATAACTACATGCAACCATCAGTCTATGAATTGGCAGCATTGACATCCGATTTAGATACACAAATCATTACGACACGAATCAAGGAAACATTGATGGCTCATAACATCGGACAAAAGGTATGTCCTACTTCATTATTAGTAGTTTGTATTTTCATTTTTTTCTATTTTCTAGATTTTTGGTGAAGTTGTTCTTGGACTATCACAAGGTTCAGTCAGTGAATTATTGTCTAAACCAAAACCATGGCATATGTTGAGTATCAAAGGTCGTGAACCATTTATTCGAATGCAATTGTGGCTAAATGATACCAATAATATTGATAAATTACAAACATTAAAAAATGAACGACGAGAAGCGAATAAACGGCGTCGTACTCATCTAGATGAAAGCCTTCCCAATTTCAAACCATTTGACAATCAATTATTGAATCAATTCCCCAATTTTGGTCAACTAAATTCTTTAAGTAAAAGCATGATTGCTTCTCCTGGCTCTACCGGTACAGGATTTGGTCTTTCACCGATGGCAACTGGACAACCAGTTGTGAAAAAAGCTCGAATACTATTCACTGAAGAACAAAAAGAAGCACTTCGAGTAGCCTTCTCGATGGATCCATATCCAAGTTCAGCGACGGCCGAATTTCTAGCTAAAGAATTAAATCTATCCATTCGTACAATAACCAATTGGTTTCACAATCATCGTATGCGGCTAAAACAAATAAATAGTTCTGCTAGCAGTAGTAACGATCAAGATTCAAGTAATCCAGCAACAGCTGCCGGTTATAATCTGGGTCGTGATAATGTCCTTTTTGATCAAAATAAATTCCGTCAGTTACTTTCACATAGGCTGTCCGATATAAAACAACGTTCAAACAATCTCAATAACAATAGCAATCATGGTAACAATATAAACGATAATTCCAATCAATTTGGTTCGCCCACAATATTCCCTTCATCACAGAATTCCCCACCATCAAATCATCGAATGAAATATTCACCATCAATGTTTCAGACACAATCAATCTATTCGAATAATACAAACAGTTGTTCATCTCCTGGATCAAGTTCATCATTTCATGAAGAAGAAGATCTTGGAACATTGGATCTAAGTATCTCTAGTCATCATGGTCATGTTAATCCGAATCAATTTCGTTCACATCGATCACCAGATAAATTGGATAGTACTGGTCGTAGTTCAATGCATGATGATTCTGATGATGGTTGTCGTGATACAGGAGATGATGATGATAATGATGTCTCTATGGCCGGTAATACAAATGCAATTTCAGCCTCAAATGATCAACAACAATCAAAATCATCATCCAAACAACGTCGTTCGGGTAGTAGTCGACGAAAACCATTGAATGTTATGAGTTCAAGTTCTCGACGAAAAGCGGCACAACCACAACAATGGGTTGCACCGGTTGATCCATCCACATTAATTGGTGATGATGATTATATTGATGATGAATTTGTTGGTGATGATGATGATTTTACAACAACCGGTGACAAACAACAACGCTCATCAAACAATAACACTAATAATAATCAAAATCTTAATAATGGTAATAATCCATATGACAATCATGATGACGATGATGGTTATGAGGTGGATAAACCAAATGATGATGATCAACAAATTGATGAAGATGATTATCTACAAAAAACAGATAATGAAGATGAAGCCGATGACGACGATGATGATGATTTGAAAGAATTAAGTTTACCATTCAAAAAACATAAATCTTCTTATCATCATTCTTCATCAACCAATAATCAATCAGCATCACAATCATCATCATCTACGGCCATATCTAAAACGAATATTATACAACAAGAATGTGTTCAGTAATTCATCAATCATCAATGATCAATCAATCAATTTGTATCGATATCGACCCACTCATTCATACAAACCTATTGCCTCAATAAAATTCTTGAATATCTATTTGTCTATACATAAAATAATAGTGACAAACAATACAATACTTATCAAATGCTTTATTCTGTTGATATCAATGAATGATGATGATGACCATTAAGTCAATTTAAGTATTATTGATCTGTATACTGAAAGTAGACACACACACACACACACACACCTACAGACAATTTACATCATTTTTTTCTATTTATTCAAATTTTAATTTATTCAACAAGAATTCGTACACACACACACACACACCTACACTGATCATCTCATCTTCACACCAAAAAAAAAAAAAAACAATCTGCTTTGATTTCTGTTTTTTTAAATAATTTATTTTAGAATTTTTTTTTTTTGATTTTTACACTCTCTCACACACACACACACACATTGAACATCATCACATATAGTTATCTCAACAAAACTTTGATTTAATCATATTTTTTCCCATTCGATGGATGCAAAACAGGAATATTCTTGTTTTGCATCCATATTTTTTTGTATTCTTTTCTTTTTAATTTAATCATCATTCGATCATTCGATTTAATTTGCTTCATCATCATCATCATCATCATTATTGACCATTTTTAATGTCCTCACCTGACACACACTCACACATCAAAACATCAATACACATCTGCCTCATCTCACATTCATTATTCTCATCACAAAAAAAATTCTGTTTCTCATTTTAAATATTGTTTTTTTTGGATCTCTTTGAATTTGAATCTGGTTCGTTTTTTTTCTTCATGCCATTCATTTTCATTATATACAACAGATTTATATCTTCACACACACACACACACACAGACAATTCTTTGATTCTTCTTTTTTTCTCATCTCACTAATTTTCAATTTCTAATATCTGTCTGTCTGTCATCACCATCATCATCATTATCATTACTTCGATTCATGCCCGGTGTGAAAATTTTTCTCGTTTTTCTCTTTGTGTAATATTTTTTTTCTTTTTTGAAATATCTAATTGTATGACCTATTATTATATAATTGATTTGATCAATGGACATCATTTTTTTTTTCATTTTTGATCATTGATTTTCCAATTCAGTTTTATTTGTCAAATCTTATTAATTTGTATTTATCTGATTCATTTTATTTCATTATAATTATTATTATTATTATGGCCAATAAATACATTACATGATTATTGAATGAATTTATTTTGTTTGTTTATTTCTATTCTTAAAGAATTTATATCATCATTCATCATGGAATTTATAATTCTCAATCTGACAATTTCATCTTTTTTGACCAGCGCCATCTATTATCTATTCCAAAAGGATAGAAATTCTCATAAAAAACAACACAATGGAACTTATACTGCCATCTAGTTTTTAGAATGTTTTCAACAGTTTTATTTATTGAAAATAAGCAATGAACTTGAGAAAACAAAAAATGTTTTTAACATGGACATTTAACATATTGAATGGAATTCAACAGTTTCAAGGTAACATGATCATTGGCATCGTAATAAGTATATATCAAAGTATCGGCATTAATGAATCAATCACAGATCAATCGGGATTTTGAAGAATCAAATTATTTTTGCCACTGCAGTTGATTGGCATCATCTATTTTCAAATTCGATCAAGTTGTTTGTTGAACTTGTGTGCTTCTTTTAAATAAGATAATACCTTTACCACCAATAGGTATTTTCATATTAGACTGTTTTGACGATGTTTTTGCTTTCGAAACAGAAACCTTTGGTGTGGAAGACTTTGTCGTGAGAATTTTGGAAGAAAAAGATGTTAGAATTGGATTAAACTTCGGTAGCTGATGAGAAGACAAACTAGAATGAGAATTGGATTCAGTAGGCAATGAGGAACAAGGTGGACTCTTCTGAATCCGAGGATATTGACCAGAATAAGTTGAAATCGAATTTGAATTAAAAAAATCAGACGATGATGATGGTGATGGATCATCAATAGGAATAACAGATTTCGTAATAGCAGTACTGAAAGAAGATGGCACCACATCTTTAATAACTTTATTAGTAGGCTTGGGCAATTTTTTCATTTTCATTGATCTATATATTTGAAATGAACCAAATAATAATTAATAATTAGAATTGAAATAATAAACAAAATAAATAAAAACTTACTCAGAATAATCACTATGATATAGTCTCACATGTTTAAAGAAATCTCTTTTCGTTTGAAACAATACACTTTTTCCATGTATCTGATTTAATTTGGAACAAATATAACATTTATTGGGTATACCAAAACCATTTCTTTTGATACTATCCTCACTTTTCGATAAATTTTCCAACATTTTTCTGTAATCATCATGATCAATTCTTTTTGGAAAACAATAAGTTCTTATGAATTCTTGTCTCATTTTTTTGTGATATCAATGAAAAAATGAAAGTGAAGGATTTTTACCACTACCGACTACATGAATATAAAACGCGCGTTGAGAAAAGATTTATAATACTATTTTGAGGATATTGAGCTTTCAGTGTTGAAATAGGAACCACACACATTCATCGAATTCAAGCATTTTGACTGGCTCATATTTTTTATTTGTTTGTTTTCAAGTTTTAAATTTTAAGAAAAATTTCAATTTTATTTGATTTAAAAATTTAATTGTAATGTTTTTTTTTCATCATCTAACAATGGCTATGGCTATGCAAAACAAACGGGCCAATCTACGTCTTCCGCCTGAAGTGAATCGAATTCTTTATGTTCGTAATCTTCCATACAAAATTACATCAGATGAAATGTATGATATATTCGGTAAATATGGTGCCATACGACAAATTCGTGTTGGCAATACACCCGAGACAAAAGGAACTGCATTTGTCGTATATGAAGATATATTTGATGCAAAAAATGCTTGCGATCATCTATCAGGATTCAATGTTTGTAATCGATATTTAGTCGTACTTTATTATCAACCAAATAAAGCATTCAAAAAATTGGATGTCGATAAAAAAGAAGCCGAATTGGATCAACTAAAGAAACGATACAATATCTAAACGACAACATATGATATATTATTCCATTTAAATGGAATCTTTTTTTTATTCGTTTGTAAATAATATCAACAAAAATTCATTTTTAATAAAATTAATAATAATAATTCATTTCGAACATGATAATCTGAGAACAAAAGAGAGAAAGAAAAAAATTATTTACAAATAAATTCGGTATCAAAAATAATCAATTGGTGGCTTGATAGCAACAAAACGATGATCATTCAATGAGGTAAACATTGTTGGAATGAATGCTACGATGTGATGATGATGATGATCCAATTGCAGAATTAGCTGCTACAGCAGCTGCAGCGGCCGTTGTAAATTCTGAATTAATAAATTCAATTTCACTTTTACGTTTATCTTCACGTGAAAAATACAGGCCAATAGATGAAACGCCCAATACGAACAATAGACCACCAATCAATAGGAATACAATACCCGTTATCCATATGGCTTCTGGTATCGATGGTGATGATCCAAAAACCATTAAAATGATACCGATAAAAAAAATAAAACCAGCAATACAGCAGCATAGAATACCAAGTGTAAAATATCTTCTTGGTGTTTCCACATAATTATCATTATAAACATAACTACCGGTTATTGTGCTCATGATTGAATGAATGATAATCGATCAATGATGATATATACGGTTATTATATATATATATATATTCTATAATTCTTTATATATTGAGTTTTACATTCAATTACATTCGGAATTTATATCAACAAGATAAAAAAAAACAAATTCAAATGATGAAATCATTTCATTCAGAATAAAATATTCTTAAATCATAGATCTTTGTGAATTAAGAAAAAAAAATCAGATATCAGATACATAAATATAAAGATTATTATAAATTCCCGAATATCGTAACCGAAAATTTTTTGTCATACAAACATTGTGATAAGGATGTTGTTATTATTATATGTTGATGATGGTAAACATCTTGAGCTCATTCATTTAAAACACACACACACACACACACTTGTATAAATCTTGAGAAATTAAAATCAAACTATATATAATGTTGAAGAGACATCGAATTAAAATGATGAGAAAGGTGAGCACCAACAAAATATTTGAAGGAAAAACCTGTTTCGAGTGCTTGAAACTATGTTTGTGTGTGTGTGTATTTTCCAATGAATGAATGAATGAGATTCGAATGCCAACGAACGAAATTGATTGTCTCGTCATTGTGGAAAATTTTTTTTTTTCTTGAATTGAAAAAAAAATAAAATATTTTGAATAAAATAAATCACTTGGTTTCGGTTTCGATTTCGATTTCCTTGTTCCGTTTTCATTTTATATATTAATATTGAGTATTTGATAATGGAAATTTTGATGATGATAATGATTGTGGTGCCATCGTTGTTGCCGTTGCCGACGTTGTCGATGTTGTCGCTGTTGTTGTTGTCGTTACATTTTCATTACGTTGTTCCATAAATGTATGATAGGCTGATTTAAAAAACAGAAATGTTGCAATAAAAAATACGATTAAACCAATGGCCGTGACCGTTATTGTTGCTATTAATTTGGCCTCTGTTGCTTCCGGTCGTACCATAAACCAAAGGCCAAGGCCTAAACAAATTATCAATGAACCAATTAGGCCCAAATATTTAGCATAATGATATGAACGATAATGTGTAATATGACGACGATCTTTTTTCCTTTTCCTATTCATCACCGATATACATGTGCACAGATTAAAAGACATTTGGTTTAAATTTTTTTTAGGAAACAAAAAAAAAAATTTACAATTTTTTAAGAACGAAAAAAAAAAATTAATAAATTTCTATATAGAATTTTTTTTTGTTTTGTTTTGTTTTTGATGAGAAATCACAGAAAAAAATTTTTTTTTGTGCAAACAGCAGACATATTATAACAAAAAAATGAAATATGAATCGATTCCATTTTCAAAAGAAAATGATTGATGTTGAGTAAAATAAAAAAAAAGTGTTGAGAGTTTTGCTTTTTTTGGTTTGTTTAATTGTTGTTGTTGTTGTTGTTGTTGTTATGACAATTAAACCTTGAATTTGGATGATGTTATAGCGATGTGATAAATGATACAATGATGATTATAAATACGAAGACCACCACCCCAAAAACATCCATATGCACACAACAAATATACATACACACACAAACACATAGCTTGTTATCATATCAACAACAACAACAACAAAAATTTATTTTTATACATTTTGCAACTTGATTATCATATTATCATATAACCATTGCATTATTGCAATTTATTATTATTATTATTATTTGTGCGAAAATTCAAATTATTGTTTCCATTAATGATTGATTTTATCAATTGATTTGATGATTGATGATTGATGACTAGTAAATCAGAGGGAAAAAAACATCAATTTGTTGTGTAAATATCCATTGTTGATCAACAGTCATCGTAGATCAAAGATCGATTAAAACATTCCATCTTTAATGCCGACCGGTAATAATATAAGACAAATTATGCTTAGATTACGTAATGTATGACGCCAATCATTTGTAATTAAACAATGTACAATACAATCGGTTATTATGTGTATATCATGTGCAATCGATATGAATATAAATGATGTGATTACTACATTCAATACTGGATAGCCTGGTATCAATACCAGTATTCCATGTGTATCAGCAGCCAACCATATATGATATTGACATAAGAATAACTTAATAATAATGAAAGAAAAAAGAAATGGTTAAATAGAATAGATTAACGAATAAAATTTGTATCATTATTTTACCTCAAGAGAAATTCGTCCAAACCAAGCAAATAATAAACTAAAACGAGAACGAAACCATTTCGATGTATTACGTAATATGATAAACGATATTATTGGTACGAATGATACATATGGATGTAATTCATTACATTCAGATTTATTATTGCAAATAAATGTCAACGCTATGTAGAACTGTAAGTAAAGGTAAATAAATTTACTCTTGTTTTTGAATATGCAATCATTCTACTTACAATCAAACCGATAAGGGCGGCAAATATTGTGAAAATACTGATACGAAATGTAAACAAATATGGATACGTATCATTCTCCCAGATAAGCTGATGTTTACGTAACATTTGTAAGCCAAATGCGGTGACCATTCCAAACAGGACACTCTATTTATATAAATCGAAAAAAAATAAAATTTAAAAACAAAAATTATCATTCAACTTACATAGCGATCAATTTTCCAACGAAACCACCATTCTTTGATTGAATCATCTGTAGTGACAAACAATGCTTTCCATGGACGAATAAGAAAAATATTTTCGAAAAATACTTCCGATGTATATAATAATGAAACAATGGCAAACAAAGTGACAATTTTCAATACAAGATAAAAATAATGTGATGAATTTGATTCGGCCGATTGTGTTGAAACATGTGGTATAATTTTGAATGTGGTGAACATTATTATAAACCAGAATGTAACAAGTGGAACAAAATAATAAAATTGATAAGGACGATTCATACAAAGACAAAGGCAAACGGCAAGAAAATTTAAACGAAAAATTACTTTCCAAAATCTTGTAAAACTAACATCACCGGTAGTATAGAAATAGGTAAAATGTCCATATCCACTTAGAAATAGATACAATGATACCAATAATCGAACGGACATATAAATGGGTAAAACTTGTGATGCACCAGTATAATGATAAGCCAAAATGACCAATTGCATCCAGCCTTTCATTTCGTTTGTTTGATCTGTATGCAATACGTTAGTTTTTGATGATTCATCCGTAAAGAATAAGCCTAATGCAAATACATAGGCAATTGGAAGTAGAAAATTTGGTCGAGTAAAATATTTGTTTTCTTTCATAAAAAAATTCGTACGATCACAGAGATAAAAATATAACATTATGATTCCCAAACGAGCCAATGGAAAGAATAAATCTCGTTTCATTACTGGTACATTTTTTTCGTTTGTTGATGATTGTTGTTCTTGATTTGTAATGATTCTTACTTCTTCAGTATCGTTATTTTGTTGATCATCATTGTGATTATTGTTGATCTCGGTATTGTTATTATCAAAAATACCATTCACTTCAATAAGTTCAAATTCACAATCATCATTTTTTAGCCGTGTCCATTTATATTGTCGTCGTCGTAATCGGAAATAATTTTGTCGACTAAAATATCGGCTATAAATATAAATCGTTGCACTGATCACAATGATCATTGTGAACACCATTAAAACAACACATTGAATGGCAGTAATTTTCTCCGGATCACTACAACATGTTCCATCATTATAATTCATATGATCATTACAATAAAGATTCAATAGAATTTGAATGGAAAATCGTAGAGAATGTGGATCGATACGAAGTTCATCATTTGAACCATTTATTGGATCTTCACCACTGAAACCTTGTGCTACTAAACGAGCTGAACTCCATACATGTACCGTATTTGCTTTGGCAAAACGAAGTGCTTCCATCGCTGCTTTATTATAAAGATCGATTTGTTCATTTGTAATCATCGTTGTTTTAGGTTTTTCTTTCCTTAAAAATCCGGAATGTTGTTGTTTGATTGGATCTTGTAGAACCCATAAAAATCTAGTCGTTCGATTCAATGCTTCCATGCATGGTAACATTATGGTAAGATTTTTATGATAAAATTCTAACGCTTCAACACTACCATTACTTGAGCGAATAGAATTTGTAGCACTACCCATTATGACAATATTCGGTTTAAGATGATCTTTTATCGAAGACCAATGTTTACATTGATCAATCATTGATCGATTCACAACTGGACGCCATAAAAATCGAATGTTTAGATTTAGATCTTTATCCTGATAACCGGAATCTCCAAAATGATGATCGATTGTTGTTGTTGTTGTTGTCGATGATGGGGGTGGATCCACACCAATAGATTGTACAAATTGTTCATATAATTGATGGATACGTGCATCACCCATGAATACAATATGATTACGGCCACCCCAATAGGCAATGTATTTGAGGCACATTCGTGTATCACTTAGAAGAAATTAGAAATGAAAATTTAAAATGTTTTTCAATTGGAAATACTTGACTCACATTTTGGAATATGTATGCAACATACAGCCGTATGGTTGCCAAACACGATAGCTACCGAATCCATGAAAACTTCCATCACTAAGTAGCCATTTGCATGATTTTACTCCTGGAAACAAATATTCCAATTATCTACAATCGAAAAAAAAATTTGATTCAAACCTGAAGTCAAATGAAGAACGCCATGATATCCAATCAATATGAATGTAAGTAGAAAGGCAACTTTTTTAATATTATTAGATGATAATAGATTTCTTATCATCCAATGATCACTAAAACCATAGGTGAATATTTCCGATTTCATTATCAGAAAGAATAAATTATTTTTTTAATCATTAAAATTTCATAAAAATAAAATTCAAAGCCATCTCTTTTCTCTCATGCTTTGATGTAATAATTTATCAAACAACAAAAATATGGGCCGATAAACATTGCCAAAATATCGATTCTTATTGCGCATGGCAAACAATTGGCTGGATCAGCTGCAAATTGTCGTCAATAAATTATCCAAAAATGTCCCAAAATTCGAGATTAAAATGCACAAAAAAAATCAATCAAGGAAAACATTAAAAATTTAAAAGAGACAAGTTTTTTTGTGTATGTGTTTAATAAGACATAATTAGAGTTTTTATTCAGAAAAATTTAAATATTCAAAATGAAACTACATGAATTTTCTTTCACGAATTTTAATTATTATTATTTGTTTTCATACAGATGTTTAATATCTTTCCATTGTTTCTGAAATTAATATTTAAAAAAAAAATAATTAGTGATTCTGAATAGGAAACGAAAATAATAATTTACTACTTACACCTTTATTGATCCTATCGAATGTATAATCGGAAAAGCCCGAAACTCCACGTTCGAAAAAGAATGCCATAGTGATGACGGCCAATGCTGCTGTTGATGTCCGTGCAAATACGGTCCTGTAGATTGTTTGTCCTAGACTCATTGTTTTTTTTTCAAGGATGTGAATTGATGAGAAAAAAAATTGACGAATTAATTTGAACAGCAAAATCGTCAGATATGTCAACACGACAACATCAATGCATGAACCAAAGTCGCGAAAGGACGCTTCTGGAAATATTACCACACTTTTGAATGGAATTTTTCCCCGAAAACTTTTTCTCAAAAATTTTTTTTTGTTTGAATTTTTTCAATTTCAATTTTTTTTAATAAATTAAATTTTAAAAAATTAACAAATAGAAAAATTAATGTAACAAATATAGATAGGCAACAATAATAGATCGTAATTAATCAGCATTAGATTTGATATCATTTTCGGAAGATGATTCCAGTTCGGTGGTCCATATCCATTTTTGAATCATTTTCATCATCATCATTTTTATAGATTCGAATGCCAATTTTCTCCAAGACTGCATCAATTTTCTTACAATAATCCATATGGCCTTTTATCTATTAGAAATCAAAATCAAATTAATAATTTAAAATTTATTCGCGAAAAAAAACTTACCAAATCTGTTAGATCATGATTTTCAAGTTTTTTATTTTTCAAATTAACTTCTTGTAGGCCGGCAATCCTCATCGTGGCGGTCGATGTTCGATATAAAAATTTCAACAGCCAATCATCACGACAAAAACCATTGATAATTTTACCGCTTATGATAGACATAAATCGTTCCCAACGTTCTGGAACGGCTGATACAGGTGCACCAAGTAGAATGACATCTTCAATAATACCTTCGGAATTTTTACGTTGTGCTAGTTCTTCAAGACAGAAAAATATAACCCTTGCACCCAAACTGAATCCAATCAATGAAACTGGCCGTTGACCTTGTTGCCGAGATAATAGAACTTCGGCAAGAAATTTACCAACTTCAGCCGATCGACTTATACACACACCCCATGGATTATCGATTACACTTGAAATAGTTAATAATGTTGCTGGCCAAGCTATAGCTGCCATAATACCGCTAAGAAGAGTATATTTTAAAGCTTCTTGAGCTGCCATCGAAATGGCAAACCCTAAAAAATAATCCAATGCTCTACCCAATTCCAATAGATAACAAGATTCATATCTTAAAGAATATTGTTCTTGACTAAGTGCTAATGATCTCCAATGTTTACTATAAGCATCAGTCGATTCTTCCGTTATCCAACCGGATATGGCTATCGTTAGCGTTAAGCTTCGATTATCGGAAAGATTTTCGAATGAAAATTCTTCAATATTGCCGACGCGTTTATTCATTTTATAACCAGCAAGTCCAGCCCCGGCTACACCGAATAATGATCCAATGACAGCAACACCGGCTGGTGTTCCTAGAATGGCTGCACCACTGGTCAATGCCGTTGCTCCAGCTGCAAGTAACGGTGCAGTAAGACCACCAGTAAGACCTAGAATGGCACCACCACCAATACTGGCCAATGCTATTAGTGCATATCGTTTAATTTTTTTCGTTTGATTTCTTCGCCGCTGTCGTTGATCATCATCGTCATCATTGTTGTTTTTTACTTCGGCCGTCGATAACATTTCGACCAATGATAATTCACTTAATTCAAGATATTCCAATGAACTACCGAGGAAATTGGCCAATTTAATTAATACTACACGCATCCGAGCATCATAATTGCCATCTTTAACAGCAAATACGACCATATCTTCAACAATCTGTGTAGATTTCATTGCTTTTTTATCCATTTCTTTGTATATTAATTTGATGAATGAATTTAAATCGGCACCACCTTCACCATCGATCATGGCTATCATTGATGCACCAACTTTTGTTGGTAAATTAAGATAAGTGACCAGATCTTTGACGGATTTTTCAATAAATGGCCTGTTTGAAGGTTTCAAAAGAATATGACAATCAAGTAAAAAAAAAAAAAATTCGAAATCACTCACCGATGACAAGATTCAGGAAAATATTTATTAAACAACAATGTACAAAGACCACATAATGAATATGAACCAGCATCACCAAGACAATCTATCAAAGTACTTTTATATCGGGTCATACGTGTTGATATCGATGAATTCATGGAATCCACTGTAGATGGTCCAAGTAATGGTATCGATGTTGATATCAAAGATGTTCCTATTAAATGACTAGAACGTTCATCATTATTTTTATCATTGCCATTCTCATCACCGATGGCCATTTTTATTATATCATCATCAGAGTTTTGATTATTCATTTTCATAAAAAACGTAACATGAATTTACGACGAAATAAATTGATGATGATGGCCCAATTTTTGACGATGGGAGTCTATGGAACAACAATGATAACAAACAACAACAATAGAAAAGATGTTGATCCATTTAGTGTGTGAGTCATATATGAAAAATAAAGATTTCGTCAGATGGATACAAAAAAATATCAACAGGTAATACCTGTGTTTATGCACGAGCTTTGTGTGAATACGAACACTAAAAGTGGCGCCATCCAGCAACAGATGTTATTCATTCATTTTTTTTTCGAACACCAGTGTCCCGAGGCCATTTGATTTGGTTATTGATAATTATGAACTAACCTGTTTTTTTTCTGAATATTTGGACTGTCCATAGAATATTGTTGTAGCACACGCACAAAACCGACCATACACGACCATTATAATGTTGATCAATATGTGCAAAAAATAATAAATCTACCTGCACCATTTTATGAGCGCTCCACCTTGCATACCATGCTATGCAAGAAGCAAGTTTTTTTTTCTTCAATGACCAAAACATATCGGGATCACAGGTAACACTGGTTGAATGATTACTGGTGATGCCTCAAACTATACTGTTGATGTTGATGATGATGATGATGAGGTCGATGTCATCAATGATGCTATAAGTGGTCGATGAAAAATACGTTGCCCTTTTCAAGAGTGAAACAAATCAACAACAACAACAACAACAAAAGAAACATTCATATATTACAAATGCCCGAATCGATCCATAACAACAAAATGGATAAACGTGATGAAGAAATTCTTGAATTGAAGCAAAAACTTATTGATCTAATGAAAGAGAATAATGAAATGAAAGAATTGATCCTATTTCTTGATGATGAACGAAATTATGCTCGACAATTTGTACGGCAATTCAATAGTAAACAATCGATGAATTGGAATTCATTAAAACAGAAACTTAACTATTTGGAACAGAAACAATTCGAATTGGTAAAAGAGAATCTCTCTCTTAAACAGGTAAGGCATTCTTGATTCAATAACTATCTAAATTAGATTTTTAACATTCTTTTTTTTTGTTGATTAGCTTTGTGTTTTACTTGATGAAAATTCCAATCTAACCGGTTCAGAACACCAGAATCCAACATTGCCAAATGGCCGACAGATTGATTCGAATAGATCCAATTCATCATCCAATGCTGGCCTATCCTCATCCGTTGTTTGTCAATATATTTTACAATTAGAAAATGAACTTAAATCTCGTGGTGTATCAATGCAACGTCCTAAATATGTACATGACATTATTAAATTAAATTCATTACGTAATTGTGAAACGAATGGCCACGAATCATCAACCACCGCCACCAATAATAATAATCCAATGATGACAACCAGTGAAGAGAAATCAATTATTTATTCATTAAGTGAAACGGCAATCAAATCAATTGTATTCAACGGCAATGGCAATCATCGAATGCAATGATCAATCTTTTAAACATCTGTAAATACACAGTGTCTGAATTTTTATTTATTAATATATATTTGATTAATAATATTAATACTTTTTTTCACATGTCATGTTTTTTTTCGAAAAAATAATGATATTATGCAAAGAGAAAGAGAATAATGAAAATGTCAAAAAACAAAAAAAAAAATCTGCTTCATTGTCATTCATTAATCACTATTATATATCCAATTGATCGGTACCCATTGATGTTCAATCGATAGACTATCCACTGCTTCTCTTAATAATTCAAATGTTTTATCATAATTATTATTGATAATAGTCAAATCAAAATATCTTTCATATAATCGTTGAATTCTTGCCGATTCTTCAATGGTTACTTGTAGATCTTCATCTTCATAGAATTCAGCTAAACTTTGCATTGTACGACCACGTCTAGATCGTCCGACTGCTCGATCAAACTATAATGATAAAAATTAATTATCGGAAATTGGACTAAAAGAATTTGAACTTACCGTATAATATGTACGAGACCCGTATGTATTACTTCGATTCATTTCATTTATATAACGAAGTTGATCCAATGCCGGTGCAGCGATAAATACAACATAGGGCATAAATTCAGCATTTTTCAACAATTTCAAACATTGTGGATTCGGATCAATAACACACATTTTACCCGATCTGATAACATTTCGTATTGTATCTAATTTTGTTCCATAAAGATGGCCTTGATATTCACCATATTCAAGGTATTTACCTTCAGAAATTTCTTTTTCCATTTGTTCACGTGATACAAAATAATAATGACGACCATCATTTTCACCAACACGAATTGGCCTTGATGTATGTGGTAATGGAATCTCAAATCTTTCACCATCATAATTAACCATACGAGTTTTTAATTGTCCACGGCCAACACCTTGTGCACCGATTAGTATCAATGTTTTACGTTCGAATGGTGGTGTACGACACACTTCTTCATATAGACATAATTCTGCTTTATCAAATTCAAAATTCGATTGTAGATGATACATTTCTTTTTTCTTCTTTTTCGTTATTTTCGTACCACATATACTTGTTTTGGTTGCATAATCAAATTCTGGTCGTACAAATGCTCGTCGTCTTTCTTCCAGTTCTTGTGATGGTATTAAACCGGCACGACTATTTGGTGAATCAACACGACGTGCTTGCCACCAATTTGGATCCTCTTGATTCAATACTTCTAATATGTCACCTTGTTTGAATAAGATGCCAACTTCTTTGCAAGGAAGTAAACGATCCTGGTTTGGATCATAAGAAAATAATGCTCTCATAAAACATGCAGATGCTGGAACCGGATCCTTTGCTGATGGTGATATTTTAAAAATGACCGATTCATCAGATTTTCGAAGTTCTTCCTGTAATTGTTCGGGTGAATCAATTTCCTGTCCATTTACTTCTAATATAATATCGCCCACATGTAATAAGCCTTGTTTTTCAATTAAACCACCGGCTAATATCCTGGCAATGACAACTAGACCATCTTCAACTTTTACTGTCATGCCTAATGGTTCATTTTTTGATTTACGTATACCGACCATTCGTATGGCACTGGTTGCAATATCGTTATGTGTAGATCCTATCATTGCCATATCACCATCCACACAATTATTACCATTCATTATATCCATTTCGTATTCTTCTTCGGCTGCTAATTTTGTTTCACGATAATCTTTTTGAGCAATACGATCATGTGATTCTATCAATGCATCAATATGTGGATCATCCAATAAACGTGATAATTCTTTTGCTTCTTTTGGATTATGTCGTAACATTTGTGGTTGGCGGCAAATAGATTTTACTTCTTCTACGATCGTTCGTGCATCATTAAACCATTGATCATTTTGTTGTTGATTTTGTCGTATACGTTCGGCTGTTTCTTCAAGACGTTCTTGTACTCTTAATAAATTTTTTACCACAGGAGATTCAATAAGACCTTTAAGAAAATCGATATCGGTTGTACTAATACAATCGGCTTTATTATCATCGGCTATTTGTGGATTATCTGATTGATCATTTAATACTTCAAAACTTGCCCGTAAAGTATCATAGGCGGCTAGTAAGTAACATAGGAAAAAGAGAGAGAGAGAGGGTCGATTAGTTATGAATAAATCAACAAATAAGAGGAAAAATTCAAATTGAATATCGTCAAGGCAACCAAATAGATGGGATGTGTCAATGAATCGGTTGAGTAAATTTGTCGTTGTTATAAAAACAAAAACAAAAACAAAACAAAAAACAACTCAAAACAACTAATGGTGACAACAATCAATAGAAACATAAATCAAGTTTTGTCTCTTTTTCTTGAAACAATGATTGAATTAATGGCACACATGAGACACACCTGTAATAAATATATTTCAACACACGCCCTATTCCAATGATGTTGTTGATGATAATGGACAACCACGTAGCATCATCATCATGTGTGTGTGTGTGTGTGTGTGTGTTATTAAGCTTAAACATCAATTGTTGTTTGTGTGTGTGTGTGTGTCTATAGCTCCATGGCGAAAAAAAAACTAGCTTAACCACAATCGATGGAGATGGTGTATCCAACCACCATTCATCATCGTATACGAGGAGTGAGTCACATTCACACATCGATGGATTTGGTGGATGGATGCCATTTATATATACAGAGACAGGATACTTCACATTTCATACAATTCCTATATATACTTACATTTTCGACCATTTGATTTTCCGGTTGATTCAGGCATTATTTTCAAGGCATTGAATTGATATTAATCGAATATTGTGTTAAAATTAATATATTCAGAATTGATAGAATTCATACAACAAAAAAAATTAAGGCATCAAAGAATCGAAATTTTTTTCTTTTCATCAAATAAAACAATAAACAAAAAAAAATGTCTAGGCCCTTGTAAATAGGCCTTTACTGGATGAAGATTCGAATGTGAATGGCCACATACTATTCAGTAGTTATGGTAATCGTATCCATGGTATCGTGTATGACCACCATACAACATTGAACAATCAACTCAATGGATCTACCACGACGACGACGACGACGACCACCACCACCACGACAATAAAGATAATGGCTTCAATTGTGATCATCAACTATACCATACTATTTGTATCGGACCGAAAAAAAAGTAGTGGCCATTCAAACAATCAGGTAACTCATTTAACCGGTATATAAACAAACAATACCGCCACCACCACCACCACCACACTCATACATATATTGATAAATATAAATGTTTTACGAATATTCGAACAGGTGTAACAACAAAAAAAAAGAATTCGGTTGCGAAATGCTCACCGCGTGTCTATGTTTATATGTGGGCGCCATATACATGTCATATTGAAATTTAGAATCCAACAACCAAAAAAAAACATTAATCAAATTAGTCATAAAAGGTGGTATTCAATTTCAATCAATCCATCACAATCACCACCACCAACAACAAAAGGAAGAAGAAATATGTGCGCGTAACCACTTTTGATTTCAATTTCAACTCAAAAAATATATCAATCCCATTTAGAGTTCCATTATTTTTTCTTTTGGTTTGTTTGTTCATTTTCAATTAAATTACTCTCTCTCTCTCTCTATGATGATGATGATTACCTGATTATTATTCTCCATGATCATATTCATCATTAAATCAATGATTGTTGGACGCGTCGACATCTTTTTCAATTTCTTTTTTTTTTACGCATCGACTCATAAACTACAAAACAACGACATATATACACACACAAACACATAGAGAGAAGTATAAGATACAAAAAAAAATACTCATACATTGAAACCAATTTGGATATTCTTGTTACTCACATAACAAAATTGTCCAAATATTTATTACCATTACCATTTTAATGAATGAAAAAAAATGAAATGAATCCTAAAACACTTCCTTGGCTGCTTGCCTGACTGATTTATTTTTTTTTTATTTTTATTGTTGCCATTGTCATTGTTGTTGTTGTTGTTGTTGTGCACACGCAAACACGGCAAAAACGAAAGAAAAGAAAAAAAAGAAAATTTTGTCTTCGTGTGTGTTTGTATTTCGCCTTGTTCACCCATTATTTTTATGGGTGATGATTTGGATTTTTTCTTTCATTTTATCCTTTGTCATTACTATCTACGTGTCGATATATATTTTATATATATAGTTTGTTGGCATTCGGAAACATACCAAAATCATTGTATAAATTGTATATCACAATTATAATGACCATGGCCGATGAAATAAAATGATATCATCATTCTCATCATCATCTTCATCATCAATTTCATCACCACCACCACCACCATCATCACCAAACACTACACACGTCAATGGCAAAATCAAAATTATAATCTTGGCTGATATCGAATTTCATATATTTAATTATTAATCTATATACTACCAATACTAAGCTAGTAAGAGAGAGCTATTTTGTTTCAAATTTTTTTCTCTTTATTCACTTTGCATGATAATTGTTTTGTTTTTTTTTTATTTATTTATTCAATTTATTAAAACAGTTACGAAAAAAAATAAGATTAAGAATGATGGAATCGAATGTGAATGAAATCAATAATAATAACATTATTTTACAGCAACAACCAGCCATGGCTTCATCGATCGATATTGATAATCAGGTAAAGATGATTTTATAAACAATTTAGATGCTATTAAATTGATCATTTATTTTATTTTTTTTTTTGTAGGAATATTATGATCAATCTAATTGTGATTTAATCACAGACAATCATCAACTTCAGCAGCAGCAGCAACCATCGAACAAATGGCATATATTGGAAGGCCTTAAAAATGGCCATCAACCATCGGATAAAAAAACCATCGAACATAAACCACCATTATTCACTGGTTATATATTGAAACGTCGAAAACGCCCATTAAAAGGTTGGCATAAACGATATTTTCATCTAGACAGTGGTATATTATCGTATGCAAAAAATATCAATGATTGGCAGAAACGAAAACTACATGGTTCGACCGATATTGGATTATCTGTCATTTCATGCAAACCATCTAGTCGTCGTATCGATATTGATTCAGATTCGGGAATATTCCATTTGAAAGCCAAAAAAGAAGATTATAACCAATGGGTGCATGCACTGCGAACACATCGATTAGCACGACAACATGAAATTGCATTCGGTAGTAGTACTGGTAACGATAATCATGCTGCATTAGCTTCAATCACCGAAGATTCAATTAATTCATCATTTTGCCTTCAGCAAAATCGGCTAAAAAGTCCGACAACTTCATCCGGCCAATCCCTTATTCAAAAATGTGATAAATTATCTTCACAATCATCATTGTTGTTACACAATCAATCCAATTTAAATGTAGGTAAAATACAAGAAAAATTGATCAAACTAAGTTCATTGCTCAAATTTATTGAAACCGCACCGGCAAACGCATCGGCTTGTGTTCCTTGCATTGGTGATCTTGAAACATATAAATATACAAAAAAATCATCGAAACTTCTACGATTTCATCTACATAGATCGAAGAATAAAAATAAATCCAAAGATCATGATCAAAATGGTCAGCCTAAATTCTCATTACAGCAACAATCGTTTCTAAGTATTTCACATCCATCATTAACCGATGATGATTTAACGACTGCTGCTGCTGCTGCTACTACTACTGCTTGTGATAATCAATCAATTACAACTATGACCAAGAATGTAGCCATGAAAGATTTTGTTCAATTGGCAAATGAAAGTAAATGAATGAATATATCGACTTTGGACTGAGAATTAATATTAAATTTTTTTTTCTATTCCTCTTTCAATCTAGTTAACAATAATTTTAGACAGCTATTGAAATCGATACAAGATATCAACTATAATGAAAAACAAGATGATGATAGTGAAGAACGATCGAAATCGATACGAATTTCATTCGATAAATCTACAGTTCATCATGATGCTGATGATGATGGTGATGGTGGTGATGAAGATGTATTCACCAGTAGTGAACAACAACAGCAACAATCGCCTTATCATCGAACATATTCGATGGATGAAACGTCTGTGATGAGTATTTCCGAATACCATGATGCCGAAGATAATGTTGGTTTTCTTGGACAACCAAATCGTTCATCCGATGATTATAATTCATCATCATCATCAGCATCATCATCATCGATCGAAGATGAAGATGATGAAAGTATTATAACTGATTTTAGTGAAGATAGCCACAAACAAAATAATTGTTGCCTAAAATCGGAACAACTTTTGGCAGTAAAACGAAGAACCCGATTACCAAGTGTTGAACCTACAAGTGAGTTTTTAAAAAAAAATCATGTCAATCAAACACATTGAGAAGAACAGCGAAATTATTCTCAACATATTCGTATTCATAATTGTTTATTAGATGATATTAGTCTTTGGAGCTTGTTGCGAAAGAATATTGGTAAAGATTTATCCAAAATATCCATGCCTGTTACGATCAATGAACCATTGAATCTATTGCAACGACTATGCGAAGAATTGGAATATTGTGAATTGTTAGATATGGCAGCAGCAATGATCGATGATCCTTGTCAACGAATGCTGATGATGGCCGCATTTGCCATTTCATCGTATAGTTCATCCTATTATCGTGTTGGTCATAAACCATTCAATCCATTATTAGGCGAAACATATGAATGTGTTCGTGATGATAAAGGTTTTCGTTTTATTGGTGAACAGGTTAGCCATCATCCACCGATTTCCGCTTGTCATGCTGATTCAAAAAATTATGTTTTTTGGCAAGGTTATTTATTGATTTTTTTTATTTTCTTTTCCATTATTATTTTTTAATTGAAATATTTCTGACTTATTAGATATGCGAGTAAAGACAAAATTCTGGGGTAAATCAATGGAAATTATACCGATAGGAACTGTGAATGTTGTATTGCGACCATCAAAAAGTCATTATAAATGGAATAAGATAACCACTTGTGTACATAACCTTTTCAAAGGTGAACGTTATGTTGATATCTATGGTGAATTGACGATAACTGAAATGGGTAATGACCTCAATGATCATCTAACTTGTAAGATAACATTCGATAAAGCTAGCTATTGGTCTGGTAGTCAAAATGAAATCCATGGTATGGTTATGAATAGTCGTGGTCAGATTATTGAACGTATACGAGGCCGTTGGAATGAATCGGTTTATGCTGGATCTCGTTGTATATGGCGTGCCTGTACAATGCCCGATAATTATGAAGCCTATTATGGTTTCACTAGATTTGCTATTGAATTAAATGAATTAATTGATAATGAAAAGCCTTGGTTACCACCAACAGATACACGATTTAGAACAGATCAACGTGCTCTAGAAGAAGGTGATGTACAACGAGCCGAAACGATCAAATCAGAACTTGAACAACAACAACGTGAACGGCGTAAAATGCAAGAAACAAACGGCGAAACTCATTTACCACTTTGGTTCAGGTAAGCGCTATAAGATTTCTAAACATTTTATAATAAATAATAAAAAAAATTAAATTCTCTCCCCTCAGTAAACAACTAAATGGTAATAAAAATGATGAAGCAACGGATATTTATACATTTAACAATCAATATTGGGATTCACGTGCGAATCATTTTGATGGAATCGATTTTGTTCGATTATGGTAAAAAGAGCTTGAATTATGATTCTAGTCAATTAATAATAATTGGATAAACAATTACATACATACACACACACCATCCGTGATTATTGATTATTATTATTAATATAAATTGAATGATGATTCTTGGCTTCCATTTTCTTATTATTATTATTTTTTTTTTTGATTGTTACTGTTGTTTACAGGCATAGGTTAAATATATTTTTTTCAATTATCTTATTCTTTTTATCTTGTTTGTTTGTAATTTGAATTGGAATTTATTGATTGAAGGGGGCTGGGTGTGTGTGTGTTTGTTTTTTTTTTTTCGTTGTCTGCCGTTATGAATTTTTTTTTTAACAAAAGCTGTTTTTGGACAAAACAATAATCCAAAATCAAATAAACAAATAAAAAAAGTATTTTTTCCAAAGTTGAAGTTTGTTTATCTTGATTCACATAATGATTGATTTGTTTTGTTTTTTTTCTTGTTGGCTACAAGAATGATCAATGAATCATTGGTGATGCTTGTTTTTTTTTATCATCAACAACATTACGATCATTAAATGGTGATGATCACTAAGGAAACGATGTCAATTTTATTGAATTGAAAAAAAAGGTGTGACCATCATGACGACCATAATCATCATCATCAACATCATCTATTGAATCATGGTAACCAGGGATAAATTTTGGTTATATTTGTCTCTCTGCAGGTTGATAATAATCCGTTATGATCAACAAGCAATGATCGTTGATTGTTGTAAAGATTACTAATGGCGACCAAAATGATTAAAGAAAAAATTTACAAATCTCGGCCCGATAGTAGTGTTCGATTATTATTATTATTATTGCAACAAAGTTGGGACATTATCAACATTTTTTGTTTTCCAACAAAAAACGACGCAATCTATTATTTTACGGTCACATATTCATCTAAATCTAATTGATTGAGTGAAAATTTTCTTTTTTTGTATTTGTTTTTGTTATTCTTCTAAACATAATTGCAAATTCAAAAATTTCGATCCATTTTACAACAGAATCAGAAAAAAAATGAAACAATACGGAGAATCCAAAGTTGATTCATCATTAGTGTTGGCCATCGGTGCCATCATTATCGGTAATTATTATTCATTATTCTGTATTGCCGATCATGAATTTGTTCATGTTTCATCACCAAAAATAGGTCTAATTTTCATTGTATCGGGCGCGATTGTATCTGGTATCGCGTATACGGAAATCACACCACCAAACTATGATGTAAATATTCCAAATAAAACTCATCAAATCATGACTGATTCAATTTTTTTTTTTGGTTTGTCCACTCCTCTACTTCGATATATATATAGGATAATTATGATCGTTATATTGGATCCAGTGTACCACGATTATTAGGACCATTTTTATTAGTATTCGGTCTATTTATTGTTGTCGGTAGTGGTGTTATGGCCGGTCTGAAAACAATGCGTGAAAATGGAAAAGCTTATCATGGAATTGCACAGCCAACAATGTATTCGGCAGCAGATATTGATCAGGATGATTCACCACCATCACATGAGGAAAAGGTGTAAATTTTTTTGTTTTCACAAGAAAAAATGTTTAAAAAATCAAAAAAAAAAATTTTTATCAACATCCACATTATTCATCATCGAAAACATTTCATTCCACATTCCATGGTCAATATCATTATCATCATTTTTTTCTTTTGATTCATCCAATTTATTCACGAAGTCTTGTTTTGTTCTGCCATATCTTTATTCCTATTGTTCATATATAATGATTTTATTTTGACAAATAATAAAACACATTTGGTTCAAAAGAAGTTTTATTTCAAGATTTTAGGTTTTTTTTCAAAATTCAATATGAAAGAATACAAAATGTTCAATCATTGTAAGAGAGAATTGAAGCCGATTATATTGGAATCATTTTTTTTCGAGAATCAGAATATAAGTTTATCGAAAATTATATCCAATCCAAAATCTAATGATGATGTCCAAAATCGGCATGGATGATGGTCTACTTGGACCTTTCCCTCATCTTCCTACGTTTTCGTTTCAACCTTCGCATTCGCTTCTTACGCCACTGTTTTCATTAACAAAACAAAGAAAATTAATTTTTTTAGAAATTTTAAATTAAAAAAAAAAAAAAAAAACCATACCTTGGCTCGCATTTTCGATTAAATTTTTTAGAATAACGTGTGATGTTTCACACACACACACACATACACTGCTCAACATTGACCAAAACCAAAGCACACACAGTGTCAGGAAAAGGAAATTTTCTTTAAAAAAATTTTCACACACACATGTAACGTTCTATATGAAAGGAAAATCGTATTATACATTGTTAAATTCAAAAATTTTTTTCCATTTTTTTGTTCGAATAAAAATTCTAAAAAAATCATTTTTCATTATTATTATAATTGCTAAATATAATTCATTATTATTCATCATTTATATAATTTGTTTTTAATTAATATCATCATCATCATCATCATTCGAATCCATTGTTTTCGGAATTCATCATTAATATTGTGGAAAAAAAATTGAAATGAAAATTAATGAAAAAATAAAAGAATCAACTATTTTCGAATAATAAAAAGAGCAAATTAAATGGAGCCCGTTTTTTGTTTGTTTGTTTGTTTTCCTTGTGTGTATGTATTTGTTTGTGTATAATAATCATCAAGTGTAAAATTCATATTCTAACCAAACAAACGAAAAAAAAGACTTGGAAAAAAAACAATGTTATAATTATCCAAGTCAATCTGAATCAAAATTTTGGTCATTTGGATTCAATGGTATGTGAGTGAATGTGTGTGTGTGTGTGTATGTGTTTATGCATGGGTATCTCCGGGTAAGTATTGATTGAAAATTTCAAATTTATTCAAACGATTCATTGAAGAAAGGATGGTGAACGGGTTTGATTTTTTTTTACCACCAATTTTTAAATAATCTTCTTCATTGCATTAATAAGATGAAGCAAAGAATTCTTAATATAAATATATATAAAGTATAAAACAATTTTTTAAACATTCGGGTAAAACATATTCATGGGTTGATGGGTGTTGTGTGGGCTTGTCTTGCTGTTTTTTCTTTGATTTTTTTTAATTTGCTTGATTATTCATTTGCTTTTTTGTAATTATTTTTTTTTTGTAGCAGACCGGATGATGATCATGTATGTGTTTGTAGAAAGACTCGACGAAGACAACCAGACCAAATGTTTATGTTTTGTTGGGTAGTTGTATTTTATAGTTGTTCCGCTGATTTGTTATTGTTGATTTTTTCAGACGATTTTTTATATTCACTCTTGTCATTTGATGTGTATAGAAGGGGTGGTGGTGGTGTGTTTATTTTCGATTTTTTTAAGATTTACAACAACCTGATGATTGTTGTTGCGTATCATTTAGATCGATTCGTCTTCCGGCACCTGATTGACCACCAGCACCACCACCGGCTGTTTGATCTGTTTTAGGTAATTTTTTAGCTATAGCCAAAAATATATCATTAACATTCATGGCGGTTTTTGCCGATGTTTCCATAAACAGAAGGCCATTTTCATCGGCATATGCTTGAGCTTCTTCCGTTTCAACTGCACGTTTGTTGCTCAAATCGGATTTATTACCAGCCAATGCGATCACAATATTTGGACTCGCTTGTCGTTGTAATTCTTTTACCCAGGTTTTTGCTCGATTAAATGTATCCTATAAAAATTAATATTAGAAATTAAAAATAACATTTAGAATAGAAATAAGAAATACCTGATTAGTAATGTCATAGACAACGATAGCGGCCTGTGCTCCACGATAATACATGGGCGCCAAACTATGATATCTTTCTTGGCCAGCCGTATCCCAAATTTCAAATTTAACAGTCGTATCATCCAAACACACCGTTTGTGTGAGAAAAGCAGCTGTTGTTATTAATTTACAAAAAAAATCACTGTTATTTTTCAATTGAATCGAAAAATCCAGAAAACATACCTCCAATAGTACTTTCTTGATATTCATGGAATTGACCTTTGACAAAACGTAATACAAGACTTGATTTACCAACAGCCGATTCACCAAGCAGAACAAGTTTAAATTGACAAATTTTTCCTTGCTGTCCACCAGCCGATGCACCACCACCATTTGGTCTTTGTTGTGCATTACGATTCGCCATTATTGTTTGTTTGTTTGTCTGTTAGGTTTTTTTCTATGTATTTGATTGTGTATATGAAATGAAATGAAAATTAGTTAGATTATATTATTATTCATCAATGAGAGATGAAAAAAAACTCACTCAAATTATTATTAAATTTATTATTATATGACGTAGAAATCAATATGATGTGTAATGCATATGAGAGAATCACACAAGTACCGAAAAAGTAGAGAGAAAAAAAATATTGGACCAATATGAATTGAATGAATGGATGAATATTGCTTGTCAGATGAAATGATGATTAAAATTGCCTAAAAAAAAATAATCCACAGATATAATATTCGCTATACACACACACACAAAAAAAAAATCTGGAATGGAATCGTATTTTTTTTTTTTTTTTTTGAAGTTTAATTTTTGACAAAGAAAAAAAAATTCACAACACAAACATACACACACACCGTGCACAAAGAGTGATAAAGAGGAGTTATTATTATTATTGTTGTTGTTGTCGTCGTCGTCGTCGTACTATGACTGATGCTAAAATATTGATAATGACGATGATAGATGTGTGCTATTGAATGGTGGTGGTGGTGGTTGGTTATATTATGGTAAGAGAAATGGTGACAAAGAAAAAAATCAAAATCAGAATCAAACAAATAAACAAAAAAAAAATCAACGTTTTAGCCAATTTTTTTTTGTTGATGAATAAATGTAAAAATGGGAATTGTGTTGAGATGAAATAACAAAAAAAAACAAACAAAATTGCGAACCACCAATTAAATCAAAACAAAACAAAACAACAAAAATGGGCAGAAAAGGCAACAAGACACCTTTCTCTCTATCTCGTTTTTTTTCCCTTTGCTCTCAAACACGATTTTTTTTTTTATTATTAATTATTAAATTTTTTTTTTCAACCATAAGAAATAAAAATCGTTGATGGAAATTAACAACAAAAAAAAGCCAAAACAGTAAATGGCCGACTCACAATATATTATCAATAATATAATATACACACACAGACAGACAGATAGAGATACGAAGAGCAGAACAAAATAATCCTTAGCCTTTTGTATGCATTGGTTGTGGACTGATGATGCGATATATTTTCTTGATGACAAATACATTCATTCGAAATGGGCTGTACTTATTTTTTTTTTTTATTACAACCAGCAATAGTCACAATGAATAGATAAAATACAGTAACATTTTAAATATTCAACATTCAATATCATGCTTCTACCTTTTAACGTATAGAAATAGTCTCAATGAAAATTTTTGACCAATTTGGTTATATATTATCATTATATGATAACCCCTTTTTTTGTTTCCCACATATTAATGCTGCGTAGAATGGCTAGAACTGCTAGCAGTAGCTAGGGTATGGATGATCAACCATCCAATGAGGACGTTCACCATTAATTTTTTTTTTAAATTATGAAATTAGAACGTTTATTATTCCATTGTTTTGTGATAAACAACGTAAATAAATTAATAAATTGTAAATGAATACATTATGGCATTTATTAAAAAAAAAAAAAAAAAAAATTATGATGCATGTAACAATTTATTAACAAAATCAACAATTGCATGGGGTGGTTGATCTGATTCGTAATGTCCAAATATTAAACATTCATTCTCTAAAGGTGTATTTTTCTTTCGTGTTACAAATCCAAATAAATAGCTAGAGAGAAAATATATTTTTTAAAAATAGTAGTTATTTTGATTTTTTTTATAATTTACCTTTGAAGCTGTTGTACATGATCCGAATGATATGTCCATGAACGATTATCCGGATCAATTGAACAGAAACTGATCGATTTCAGTGGATAATGTTGACGAAAAAATAGCCTTTACAAATGGATGATTATTATTTTTTTTTGTTTTGTTTCGGATTTTATATCAAACTTACCTATGGCTATTGTCTGTCAATGTAATACCTTTACTGGATGCTTTAAAATGAATGATTGCTGGCTGAATTTTCTTTCGATCACTAATGTTCATCATTATATCAATAACTTTTTTTATAGCTGCATTTCCGGTCAATGATTCCACATCATCAGTGATAAAATAAAGTACATTACAAGCTGCTCCGTTATCATAGAATTGTTTAAGTAAAATATTATCCGTATATAATGAACCATAATTTGAAATATCAATATCATCCGATGATGGAATAATCAATTGGATAGGTAATGATATTTTGGTTATTGAATGTTGATAAACTAATGCAGCTAGACTGCTAAACACCGGTTCTTCTGGACAACCTTTTATTTGGACACCTTTATTGGTTGATTCGATAAGGAAATGACGAACAGGATAAGCCTGATCCGGTCTGGCATCTTCAGGTGCAACACGAACTGCTAGCCCATATGCATTAGGAAATGAATTCGAATCACGAATGATAAATGATCCAGGTGGCCGATCTTGTAGATAACGAACAGCTACCATAAACATAGTTAATAGTAGTGTTCTCATCAAAATAATAGAATATTCTTACCTTCTTCACGTGAAATAGTTGGTTTGTACCAATAGGATGATGTATCCTGAATGAACATCGGTACATTGTGTCGATGTAGTTGTTGGCCATCATCCAATGTTTGTTTCAATGATGATGATAATTTTCGATTCTTTTGTCTTACAGGAAAAGCTGGAGTCGAAGATCGTAGCTGCTGTGTATCAGATCCAGATAATTTAAGTCCGGCCAAAAACTGAGATGAACTAGTAGGAATTTCAGCCAATGAATCGACGTGTTGATTAACACCAGCAGTGCCGCTATCGATTTCATCGATTTGTATGGGTGTCGCTTCGTTAATTAATTGATTATTTCCATTCTGTATTTTATGAATGATACCGTAATCACCATTGTCAGTATCATCTGAATGAGGTATGATACCAAAAAAAATATTTCGACTAGATGTACGTGTTGGCACTTCAGGTGGTGTTGAACGGTTAATCATATGTTGAGGTGTTTGTTTAATTGTCGTTTTTAATTCGGCAATCAATTGTTGTTCAGCAGCTTGTTTTGGCCGATTTCGACGTATTGTAAGTAATTTTTGTTGTTGACGCTGAAGCCATTCTAGATTCTGTTGTTGTTCACTTGTGATTGGCTCAATATTTTCCTTACCCAAATCACTACCAGGAATTTCATTCGGATGTTCATGACCATTTTTCGTTAGAAAATCATAATGCGATTCTTCCAGATTATCGGATGGTGTCGATGTTCGTAACGGCTTCGGTTTGGTTTCCGAATTTTTTCGTAAATCAGGGAATGATTGAATTTCAGTGAATATTTCATTAATCAATTCATCGAGAACGATTTCATTTTCAATTTTAGATTGTTGCGGTTGTTTCGTTGGTGATTGCTGTTGATCAGTCGATGGTTCAATACTAGTTGGTTTTTTTAATACAGTTGCATAAAGACTTCCGTCTAAAGGTCCTTTGGTATATTCTAATGGTGGCGCACATTTATCGTCGAAGGCATCAGCATCCAACGGAGATTCAACTTTTTTCGCTGTAGTTGTGAAAAAATTTTCAAATGAATTACATCGAATAATTTGACTTTCATCAATGATTTGATAAGATATTTGACCGGATTCTTCCATTTGATTCGATTGATCATTATTAAATACAAGCTCAACACAGATATCATCCGGTAATCGTCGATCATAAAGGGCACAATCTAAATCTGATTTATTAAACTTGACTGTGGTCGTTGCCAAAGTACCCGTATGAAATTGGAATGCAAACATTTCCGTCTTGGAGCTAGGCACAGCAATTTTATGATAACATTTAATTAGAATTTCACCACGTAATTTCAATGGTGGTTGTATATCGAATATGATATAATTCCAATGTTTCAAAAATTCATTATCAATATCGACAACAGGTGATGAATATCGTAGTTGCCAATCTTGATAGATTTTAATGAATGGACGGCAACGACCACAGCCATCAAAATTTGGCACACGATGAATAATCACTTGATTTAGATGAAGTTTTTGTACATTAATTCGGCTATCACCATTCAATAAGCTCTTGAAATGATTGACATATCTAATTAAAAAAAAATTCGAATTATCACGACAATCAATTTATAGATTTAAATGTTACAAATACTTTTTCTGTGATGGCTGTAGATAGGCCTCCAGATTATAATGGAAATAATTATACATTGATTCAAAATCAAACATTGTTGTATTTGAATCATTGCCTAAACAGATGTCAATATATTGTAAAAATACGGCAATAGCTAGACTAGCACGGCTGAGATCACGTTTTGAATAAATTATGGCCAAATTATGATCATTTTGTGTTAACCATGAATCCAATGATTTACATAGGGAACATAAACGTTCTAATGATGGTGCACGACGTTCAGGCCAACCAAATTCCAATAGTTGAACATTAGCAAGAATTTCATTGCTGTTGGTATTTTTATAAAATTGTAATGGTTCAGCAAGATTGAAAACCGCTATATGATGACCATTTTGTTGTTGTTGTTGTTGTTGTTCGTCAATTAATTTTTTTAGATAATTTTCCAAAATTTTATTTGGCGATAGCTTTGTAAACGTATCAACAAGTGAGAATACTAACAAGAATATAATTATGATTAAAATGTCAAATAAATGTCAATCAATCAATCAATCAATACCGATAAGTCGTTGATCCACTTGCAATGGTTCCATGATGGCAAATTTAAATGGATCCAAACGGATCAAAATTAATTGGGCAACTTTTTTTGGTCGTTTGTCAGTTGATGATATCTTTGTTATTTTACCACCACCAACAATATTCTGGCCTGCAATCGCTGGATGATCATAGATTATGATGTCACTGTAATAAGATTCTTGTTCTTGGTTTTGGTCTTTATTGTGATGATGAGTTTTCACTTGTTTATTATGAGAATCGATTCTAAAATTAGTATCTAATACAGATGTTGTAGTAGCGGCGGCGGTGGTTAATGGAGCCAAGCCCAGATGTTGATTCGAATTTCGTTCTTTCACTAATGTCAATGATGATGATGATGATGATGATGAAGAATCGATAGATTCAGCAGCAGCAGAAACTTGTTTATGAATCTAATAAAATCAGAATCGCAAAGAAAAAAAAATCAGGTCAGCTATAGTGATCGAATCAAATCAATCAATCAATCAATCAGATACAGATCATGACACAATGACAAGAATGATTTATTCGTATGAAATTTCGTTGGGAAAAAAAACAACATTTAGCTGCCAAAAAAAATGGTTGTTTATGATAATATTTGTTTTCAAGATTTTGTTTAGATAATAATAATAATCAAATCAAATCATAATCAATATTAAATCATAAACAAAACAAAAAAAAATCTGGTATATTCACTAAAATCACAATGATAATCAAATGGTAAATATTGTGCACATATGCACACACACATCGAGGAGACACGTCGCGATTAGATGCTTGTGTGTGTGTGTGTGTGTGTTATATGTCTATAGAGATCCAAATATAGAGAATCCAAATAGGCGACAAAAAAAAAATTTTTTTTCCTTTTATAATAATGCTTGTTGTTATTTATTGTTGCCTTGTCAACATGTAAATATATAATCAAGCAAACGAAGGATGTTTTTTTTTCGTTGTCAAAAATCGATCTGTCAAAACATAATGATCCTCTCGTTGCCTGGTTTTTTTTTGTAAATGTGTGTATACTACTGTTGACAATCAATCTATGTCATTTGATTTTAAATATTTTTAATGAATTAATCGATTTAGATAATATACCTGTGGATTCAGCAGCGATGAATACAGGTGGCTAGATTCGTTATTATTATCGATATTATTATTAGTTACTGTTGATGTTGGAGTTGATGATGATTTTGTTGTTGAATAATAATTGTAATCACCACTTAGATGACGAAATTTTTTCGCCAATATAATTGGTTGTGATGATAATAATGTCGAAAGATGATATGGTTGATGTCGATGATAATGATGATGACGATGTTGTTGTTGTTGTTGTTGGTGATGATAAAAATTATGATGACATGAACAATAACATTCAGGTGATGGTGGTCGTAATTTCAATTTATGACGATGATGATGATGATGATGATGACGACGACGACAAGGAGGAGGTGGTGGTGGTGTTGGTGATGCAGATGATTTTCTTGCTGTTGAAGATTTTCCCTTCTTCTTGATCGTATGTTTCCAACAATCAAAATTAATGACCATTATTTCGGGTAATAAGTTTGGTATCCAAAAAAATGCAATATATAATCATCATCATCATCATCATCATCATCATCATCAACCATCATTCGAATCTTGATGAAAATGATCCAAATAAAGAATCGAATCAAAAAAAAATAAAGATTCATACAAGCCGCTCGAACAACACACAACCACACATACCACATAGTCATTCCATTCATAGAAGCTCAAAGGGTGTGTGTGTGTGTGTTATGTTGAAAATGGCATTCGATCGCGATCGATGCCCTTTTTTTTGCTGTATATGGAATTTTTTCCACACACACACACACACACACACACCAAACAAATGGTTGTTGCTTTTTACAAAAGAGATTCAATGATTTGTTGATGATGATGGCGGTTATAATGTAACCACACATTCAGTTGTGATCTCGTGATGATCATGTCCCGTTGTTGTCGTTGTTGTAAACCACAAACAAAAATGAATGATCATCACTGATGATGATGGTGATGATGTATTTTTATTTGCAAAAAAAAAATTTCGGTTATTTTCTTCCACTCTTTAACCGTTTACGCTTGTTTATTGTTTGATTTTTTTTGATCAACAACAAATCAATCAATTTGTTCAATGTGTTGTAAATAACCGTGTTATTTGTGAATTTTTTTTTTTTTAAATTTATTGTAATGAATTTTGTGTTCAATTCAATAGAATGATTCTTTTCACAAATAAATGAAAAGCTAATAGTATAGGATTTGTTGTATAAAATTTTTCAAAATTCATTTTCAATTCAAACTAAAAATAGAAATTTACCAAAAATTCTGTTGTGTGTTTATATAATAAACATGGCATTTGTTTATTATCATCATCATTCTACCTCATTCCCCACTGTGTGTGTGTGCGTGCGTATCCACAAGCTGAAAAGGGAAAATTCCTTTTCTTTTTTTCATCATCATTTGATTTAAAGTGGCAACCTGAACAAGTGTCTTTTTTTCAAATATTATACAAGTAATACCTGCGTTTGTTTGTGAATCAAAATATTATTATCATTACGCGGAACTATTAATATAGAGTAACAAAACCCCGTGGCTGCAATGGCCATATTTGGCCATAACACACAACAAGGTTGGGTTAAATTGGGAATTCGAATAAAATATGTGCAACAAATGGTTTTTTTTTGCTGGCGTAGGATGTCTGAATGACTGATTGTTTTGTCTGAAAATTTGTCTAAAACAATCAAAAATCTGATAAACTTTATTAAAGATTAATAACAAAAAACAAACAATTGACAACAACAGAATTTGATAATAATTAGCCTAATTAGCTATACGGATTTTTTTTTAGAAAATCAACTGAAATATCGATAAATTGTTGTGCTTTTTCCACATGTAAATAATGACCAGTATTGGCTATACTAACAAATTGAACGTTTGGCATTATCATTCGAATCTGATCAAATTGATTTGGTTGTACATAATCCGATTGTTCACCATAGATAATTAATGATTCACCCATAAATGGTCGACTTGTATCCAATTGATGAGCCATTCGATTTCGTACCAATGTTTCCAATGCACGTGTATTGAAATGCCATTTAATTTTACCATCATTATTATCTTGATAAAGATTGAGTAAGAAAAAATCAACGATAAATGTATTCGAAATATTTTCGATTAATATTGTACGGATATGTTGACGAGCTTGACTTAGATTCATTTCGGCAGGCAATTGTTGTATACAATTTTCAAGTAAATCAAAAAAATTTTCAGTAAGAAAATCAATTTTAGGTAATGTTGGCAGTGGACTTATATCGACTAAAATCAATCGATCTACACGATCCGGCCAATCGAATGCAAATTGTGATATAACACGGCCACCAAGGCTATGTCCAAGAAGATCGGCACGATCAATATGGTTTGTATCCATCCAGAGGCGAATATCTGATGCCATAGCACGCATATCTGATTTATCACCATCAACATGTGGACTTTCACCATGATTTCTAAGATCAAATGAATAACATGGCTGTTTTGTACGTGCACAAATTTGATTCATCAATGATCGTAAATTTGTTTTTGAACCAAAAAGGCCATGAAAACTGAGTAACGGTTTTTTGTTCAAATCTATTGAAATCGATTTTGGTTGAGCTTTCACAAAGGCTAATGGCACTGGTGATGGTCCTGTATTCGATTCATAGCGGATAGATTGCCGAAAGTAATTTCCGGTCGTCATCAATCTAAATCGAAAATTCATGATCGATTATCATTGATTATTCGAACGATCGAATGATTTAATTTACGCAATATCTCTGTTATAACTATGGAACACATTTTTGGTCGAAATAGTGGCGATGATAATAAATCCTCCCGTTCAATCGTTCAATGGTATTGATATGCAAACTTTTCATCAATTGAAATTGAAATGTTTATTTAAAAAATTTGTTTTTAATTTTTTTTGTTTTTTTAAAAGAAAATTTTTTGTTAATCAATCATGTTTATTGTTGATTATTTTGGTTATTGTTGTTGTTGTTGTTGTTGTTTATTTAGTTCATTCATCAATGATTATATTATTCTGGATTTCATCAAATGATCATCGTTTTCATCATCATCATCATCATTAAATCTATTTTTTTCAAACCTACAACGTATAAAAATAAACACAAACACACACACAAAAAATGGATCTATTTTATTATCCGTTTTATTTGTTGATATTTTTCATATTTGGTTATTTTTTATCAAGGTAAATTGAATTTTTTTGGGTGAAAACAATTTTGAATTTTTTTTTCTTTGGAATTAATATTTAGAATTTTTCTATGGCTGTTAAATTATTATCTACGATTGAAATTTCAAATCAATCTTCAAGTGAAATCCATCAGATTCAATTCATTACGAACAATACAATTGGCCTGTCCATCATTAGGCATTAATATCAATATCGAACATATTGGTCTTTCGTCCAAAATATTCAATTCTAAATATAATTCATTATTTGTATTGAAATTTTCCGATATTCGTCTTGAAGGTGATATTGCTGCTGCATTTTTAAAATTACGTTCAGCTACTTTATCAATCAATTCAGATCAAGCTCAATCAAATGATATTACATTTCGACAGGATGATGAAACCACTATTCAACAATTATTACGAACATTTTTCATCAATAAATTATCGATTCTAGCCAAAAAAACATTTTATTTAGGTTCAAATTATGTATCGTCAAATTTTCAAGTTTCATTACATAATATTAGTCTTATGCAATTGGGAGTTCCATCACGTGATTATCGTATAAATGATTGTCTTCTTCATTCGACCATACAGTTGATACAATTTGGTTATGCGAAATCACAAAATCAGATCACATTCCAAGTGGATGGATTTGCCATCAAAATGTTTAAATCTCAAACATCAATTGTGAGCACAACGAATGAAAATGATGGTGGCGGTAAAAAATCTTACTTATTCCAATGTTCATTTCCATTTCGATTTGTTTATTCTCCTGGTGATCGATCTGCCGAAATGTTCATATCATCATGTGAGATTATCGTATATGACCTATTGAAATTAGCCAAAATGGCACCAAAACGTATGAATCGTATCGAAATGGGAAGTTTATCAAAGGCCAAAATTCTTGACAAACTAATGATGACTTTTAATACCATCCTAAAAGGATCATTATTCAAAAGTGCTTCATTCAAATTAATTTCGGCAACTGTTAAATTGGTACGTGAATCTGGAAAAAAAGAGCTAACATTTTCGGTTGAACCTATTGAATTATTTTTAAATAAAGTGGATAATCATCGGCTAGAATCAGATCTATCGATAGCCAATTGTATACTACAAGATTCTGAATCAATCATTGATTTTTCGTTGAATAAATGTAAAACACTATGCACCATTGAAAGAGATAAACTAACGGACAAGCTATATATTCAGTTGATTTTGGAAATCCATAATTGTTCATTCATAATCAACATCGATTATTTGATAAATTTCTGGTTCCAAAACTATTTTGTTCAATTATTTCACAATGATTTCAATGGAAAAGTCAATAATCCTGTTGATGAATATAGTCATAAAGAAGTGGCGGCCAAATATATTAATAAATTTGTCTTTCTTATGGTCATCCATGATATATCATTATCGTTGAAACATTCAGAAAATTTCGGTATGGTTACTTATGGCCTTAAACATCTTAAGACAACTTGTGTTCGAAATGTAGATATTTTCCGTGAAACAAGTGTCGAATTGCTGCTTGAAACATTCTGGTGTTGGAATGGAAACATTCAACTTAAACCATTGAATCCGAATTCATTGAAAAAATACAATGAAAAACATGTACCATTATTCATGTCAACATTGTTACTCAAATTCGGTAATATGAATTCATCAGATCTTCGAATCAATTGTGTTATGGATGGTCTACAGGTTAGCCTCGAATATTTTCTGAATACTTTGGAAAATTTCAATCTAGAATCATTGAAGAATACGATTTCGATGAAAGATGGTCATAACAACATTTCACCAACTTTCCATTCACCATATAACCTTTTGGGACAAATTAATTTCACATCTGTAAATGTATTTACAAGACAATTAATGATGCGTATCGATTCTATGGCTTGTGATTTGAATGGTGCTAAAATAACAACCAGTATTAATGGATTCGGTGTCAATTCTATGTACGCTCCTTCTGCAACGTTAGCTTGTTTGAAAGCATCAGAATTGGTTCAACATCGAATTGTTTATTTTTCGGTTATGCGAATTAATTTTTGTCAAGATAATGGTCAAGATGTTGCCCTTAGTTTAACAGAAGAAATATTCATTCAATGGTGTCCGCTATTTCATGTTAATGTTCTTGAACTTTGGGAAGATTTTTATCATATTTATTTAAATTTTAAACCCGATATTCAATCTCAATCTTTATCTGTGACAGCCAACAATGACGATGATCTTCAAATCGATACGAAACCATATAGTCTAAGTTTGAAACTTGATGGAAAAATTTGTCTCGGAATTCTTCTTTCCGATGATGGTGATACGATGCGTTTTGAAACTGAATATTTTACCATCGCATATCAAAACCATAATCAATCGATGACAATCAAATGTGAATTGCTCAATATTTTCATCAACGATGTTCTCAATTGTAAAGTGGAACATCTGTTAATCGGTCATCTGGCAGCGGCTAAAAGCTATCTGGATCGTCGATCATTCAAACTAACTGAACAGGAACAAAATGATGCTATTGAAATTAATGTCGACAAAGTGACAATGAAATTTCCATATCAATTCAATTTTGCTTATTATTTTAATGAAAAATTTCTTACCATTGTTAAATGGCTACGATTATTCCATTCAAAACCAAAACAATCACAGCCACATTCTCCATCGATTGATCAAAAGACGTTATTATCGCCAGATTTTATCATAAAAATTCAATCAATACTCATGGAATTGGGTGATGATCCATTCGAAATACGATTGAATAATAACTATGAATTAATGGAAGATGAATTTAATGAAAGCCTTAAACGATGGAATATATTGATGGAAAAAATTAATGAAAAAAGTTGTGGCCGTAATAATGCTGCTTTATTGTTGACAGATGAATTAAGACGTGCATTTGATCGACAAAATGCTAAAACCTATGTTGAACGTTCGAATAAAATGTATGATGCAAATCAAACCGTACAACGGACACAATTGTTTACAATTAAAATGGAAAATTTTCAATTACATCTAATAGCAGATTCATCATATGATTCGTATGAGAAAAAAATTCGACTAATTAAACAAATTGATTTTCATAGTCCATTTCCGGAAGATCTTCGTTTTTCCACCATTTGGTGTCGACAATTATTTGCCAGTATTGGTGTTTGTGTCATATCGTTACGTGATTTTCCACAACCAATGTTGAATGCTAAAAAATTATATTTCAAAGGCGTATTACTTGGTGCCGAACAAGAAGCAAGTGCTCGTGCAAGACGAACATGTGAAATTGATATGGGACCGAATTTTGCTAGATTTAAAATTGAACGTTCAATGACCACAATGAAATTTTATCATGATATAATTAGTAATATATCGAGTATGATATACACACATGGTGCATGTTGGGAACCAATCCTACAACAGGTGAATTTGTCATTTGAATTAATTTTTCGTCCTTCAAATGATCCAAGTCCTAGTTTAACATGGTGGGATAAACTACGATTTCTTTTTCATGGTTCATTGAAAATGAGCAGTAAACAAATATCGATCGTATTTCATGCATCACTAGATCCATATAATTCAACCGAATTGATTGAATTTTCATTCGTTAATTCAACCACCCAAATCGATACTGGTAGAATTCAGATTCTATGCGATCTGGATGTATTTGTTCATGCTGCATCGAAATATGATGAATGTCGAATCATTCATTTGCCTGATGTGACCATTACATTCAATTTGAATTGGGATTGTAGTGGAACTAAAAATGATCATCATTCAGTAATGCCATGTGCACGGGATAAACTGCCTGAATATACCTGTAATCAGGTACATGATTCATATCGTGCATTTAGATCACACCATCTCAATCTTTCAGCATCGATTGAAACAAAAGAATATGATAATACCGATTCGAATGATAATCTGATAAATGATCAGACCACCGATCGTATACCATGTATATTGATCTATAATTCTACACTCAGATGGTTGGAGAATAAAAAATTTATGATTACCGGTTTTCCACGATTAACAAGACGAGGAAAATTGTACAAGAATACTCGTCCACGAAAAATGCCATTCACAAGATTATTCAAATCGATTCAATTGACAATTTATCTGCAAAAATTAGAGGTATGTACAAGATAACTTATAATCGACTCGATTAGTAATTAAGCCCATTGCATTTTTTAATAATTACAGGTCACTTATTGGTCATCATTCAATCGTAATCGTGGATTTAAAATTCGTAGTTCAAATTTATCACATAGTGCTCAACATGCACAAACATTCATTAAGATTAATGATAATCTTATCCATAGGTAAGTGATCAATAGAAAAATGGATTTTTGGTAGTAAAGCTAACTTTTTTTCTAATAAAAAAAAATCTCCCGTATACATAGGCCAAAACCATTATGGGAAACCATCTACATGAATTCAGAATTATCCGAAGTTGATATTGAATTATATAAAGCACAAGGAACCGGATCTGTTTCTCTATTGAATGTACAAAAAGTAACATATAATCGTGAAACAAAATTACCACAAACCGTACAAGAAGAAGATGGTCCTAGTCCTACACATCGTGTTGTCGTTCACGGTCTAAAAGGTGCATGGACCAAAGATAATCGAGACATTGTAATCAGTTTATTTGATTCGTATTTCAAAACACAACTACTAAAACGTAATCTTTCGACTGAAGCACTTCGTTTATTCAAAGATCAATTGAATGGTACACCATCGAAAAATTCTGGCCATTCTGATTATCACCATTCCCATCATCACCATCATCATCATCATCATCATCAACAAAACCATCAACATTCTAGTCCTTATGTTTTATCCAAAGGAAATGCTGCAAATATGTTACAGAAATTAATTTCAGAAAGTGAATCATCTGAAAACATTGTCGATACCGAGCAAATCGAGAAAGGAATTAATGATCGACAACAATTGTATGGTATTGAAGCATGTCAAGGTAATGATGTTCTTCTTGACAATTGGCTTATTGAATTAGTCAATTCACAAGTTGTTTTACGTGGTTGTGAAACCGATGGCTATGTCATAGTAAGCGCTGCTAAAGCACAGATTATGCAACGGATACATAGGCCGGTATGGAAAAATCGAATTCTTTATTCAAAAACAACATGGCAAGGATCATTGGAATGTATGCAATACTATGCTACAGTCGATGCAGGTGGGCTTAAAATTTATCAGATTACGTGGTTAGATTTGGATGATATCGAAGAACCAATCAACAAAGAGATTGCCGAAATTCCCGATCTAGTGGGTAGTGGCCGTAGTGTTGGTGGTGTTGTCAATTCAGAAGCTGGTGGATCCACTTGTACTGAATCAATAAATACAGTACCAATTCAGTTACAACGAATTGTATCAAGATGTCGATGTAAATTTTTCTATGCAAGTTATGGTGAGAATGCCGATCCAAATAATTATGAATCGGTACCACCATTACCAGCGGATGATGATCTTTTACCTCTTGAACCATGGGATCGAGAAGTTGCCGTTGACACGTTTACATTGACTCATGATAATCTAGAAATATCGACAAATTCTCAACAGTATGCAATGATAATGGATCTAGTCAACAATTTGTTGCTCTATGTAGAACCACATAAGAAAGAAATTTATGAAAAACAACAACGAATCCGATTTAGTATGCAATTGAATTCATTGGAAGAACAACGTGAACCGATATCCGAGTTACAAGAAAAAGTACGTTCTTTATTAAACAAGATAAAATTACTTGAAAAAGAAAGCTTTATTCTATACAAGAAAATCAATCATCCTCATCAAGAAGAATGGAGGAAATTGGAAATCGAATCTGAATTGGAAAAATGTAAACGTGAATTGAATGTTGAAAGTGAAAATCTAAGCATTATGATCAATTGCTATAAAGAAGCACAATTGATTGCAATGAAAACTAAAGAAAGACAGGTGGCCGCACAAGAATCTCGTGTACCATTCATGGCCCAAGTAATTCGACGTAATGAAGTTTGTTTTCGACAAGCTCGTTGGCGTTTGACCGATTCGGATGGGCAGCTTGGTCTGGCTGATCTTGAATTGAATAATTTCCTTTATACCAAAGTCAGCAAAAATGATGATTCTGTTGAACATTCATTTGAATTGGGTTACATACGTGTGCAGAATATGATACCAAATCAAGCCTATAGAGACGTATTACAACCGACTGAACTTCAACCAAACATGCCAGTCGATCGTAATCGAGCTCTGCGAATTCTTTGTATTGAACGAGCACCTGTTGGTGGCATAGCCGTTAAAGAGCATTTAGAAGTAAATGTCATCCCATTGACTGTTGGTCTTACTTATGCATTTTTCAAGAAAATGTTAAAATTTTTCTTTCCCGATCGAAATTCCGATACTGTTTCGGTTTCAACAGTATCCACATCGTCACAACAAGATTCAAACGATGCAATCGCACAGGATACAGATTCGGTTTCGATGATAAGTTCATCCACATCGTTATCATCATCAAAAGCGAAAACGAAGAAAAATTCTGCTCATCATCATCATCATCATTTGAAACGAGATGAAAGTATGGCTAGTCTTACAACATCACTTTCATCGTATAATTTTCCTATGATAAACAATTCAAAAATGGTCAAAGAAATTACACATATTGAAAAGATGCGTGAACGAGCATCGAAAAATCAGACATTTGTCTATATTAAAATACCTGAAGTACCGATCAAAATTAGCTACAAAGGTAACAAAAATAAGAATCTTTCTGATCTACATGATGTTTATCTGTTAATACCGACGATTGAATATCATAATCGAACATGGACATGGCTTGATCTATTGATGGCATTGAAAAATGATTCGAAACGTGTACTTTTATCACAAGCATTGAAACATAAATTTCATATATCAAAATCTAAACCTCTACTTGAACCGGAAAAGAAACCAAGTCAAGTGGCTAATAATCAGAATACAGAAGATGAGGATAAAGCTCGAATTCTATTAGGCAACATAGTTGTTCCACAGCAGAAAAATTCTCGCACTAAATCGCTGTTATCGTTTGGTGGTAAAAAGTGATTTTGTTAAACATTTCCTGTTTTTTTTTTTAATTAATCAAGTAACAAATTAAAAAAATGAACTAATGAATATTCTCAAACATCGGGCCAAATGAAGTTATCCTCTATTTTTGGATATTTTTTCTTAGCTCTTAGTCCAACCACTTGTGGTATGTTACCAGGGAATGCATTCACACCGTCGAAAAATGTATCCGTTTTTGGATTAAACCTCAATGGTTCGGGTATTAAGTTTAGATTTGGTGGCAACGTTGATTTCTCATATGCCCAAACATTATATTTGGATCGGCCACGTACGGGTATCATATAATATTCTCTTACATCATCGACTGTGTTCATTCGATAAAGTTCTGAATTGGTCACTTCATGATCAAATCGTTCCTGACATTTGGTAAGAAACTGTGAAAAAAAAGATTTTGTAAAATTGTAACCATAAAAAAGATTTCCCAAGTCTTACATTGAATTTTTCAGTTAGATTGGAAAAAAAATTTGATCCTCGACAAATTTCCTGACAGATTTCATCAATAATTTGGCTGGTATTTTCCGGTGGATCGTATGGTTTTGTATCACGACATAAACTTTTTGACATAATAATGAGAAACTGAATTTTTTCAAAAAAAAGAAAGAAATCATACCCTGAAGATTTTAAACGATCAGCTAATTGTTGAAATTTATCTTCAGCCATTTGACGTGCTTGTTCTGGATCTGCATGTAGTCTATCGTTGAATTCGATTTTACGTATTTTTTTCAATTCATCTTCAAATTCCATTGCTTTGACATTTTGCCATTTTTCACGTTTCGATCGAATATTAGTACGTTTACTTACGACAACTTTTTCACCATTCTGATTGATGACATAATGTGCTAATGGTCGAATTGTATGATTGCATAACGATTTAGTCGTTATTAATGATTTAGTCAGATTGATGATAAACATTTTTTTTTTAAATTGAATCAATCAACACGTGAATCGGCACATCGATTCATATCAATGACCGAAACATATGACATGACGGCTATATACACCCGAAATGATCCACGATAGTGATGATTACGATAATCGGTGTGGCAAATAGAAAAAAAAATAGAATGTATTACACACAAACAGAAATAACCAGAAGACAAAAATCATTTAACCATCACAGTATGTGTGTTGTATGATTTTTTATAAATAAAAGAAAAAAAAAGGAAAAAAACACCTCACCTCTTTATCATCATCGTAATAATTATCATCGCTAAGAAAAACAAATCGATCGACAAATAACATTGCCATCCTTGTAATCAGTCCGACCAAGATCTATCGACCTAAGCGCTAGTGTTTTTTTCTTTAAATTTCATATATTCCTAATAAATTTTTTTTTAATCATAACTCATCATCGCCACTTCTATTCATGAATGTTTGGTTGATTATTCAATGAAAATTTATTCATTACAAATTGTTAATGTTATCAAGTATAAAACACCTGGATAATAAAATTAATTTGGCCAAAACAATTATTAATGCAAGTGGGTGTGTATAATCAGAATTATTTCAATTGCAATTGGAATGGCCGAACGTAAAGATTATGATTATTTATTCAAATTGCTCATAATTGGTGATAGTGGTAAGTTTGATTATTGAATTCAACAATTAAGAATGTAACTATTACCGATTTCAACTAGGTGTCGGAAAAAGTAGTCTATTGTTACGTTTTGCTGATAATACTTTTTCCGGAACATATATCTCAACAATTGGTGTTGATTTTAAAATTCGTACAATCGAAATCGATAATGAACGAGTCAAATTACAGATCTGGGATACAGCTGGCCAGGAAAGATTCCGGACAATTACCTCTACGTATGTTTGAAATCAAATCGAGTATTGCAGTTATATTTGTAAATGGGGTTTTTTTTTAATTACTTAAATCTAGATACTATCGTGGCGCCCATGGTGTCATCATTGTATATGATGTAACGAATGGAGATAGTTTTCATAATATTAGCCGATGGCTACAAGAAATTGATCAAAACTGTGAAGTTGAAAATAAAATTCTAGGTAATCTAATCCAATCTCTTTGTCATTAAACTATTTCATCATTGTATTTTGTTGTTTTTATTTTTTCCTAGTGGGCAACAAAAACGATGATCCAAGTCTAAAAGTAGTATTGACAAAAGATGCTCAACGTGTTGCCGAATTGATGAAGATACAAATGTTCGAAACGAGTGCCAAAGAAAATATTAATGTTGAAGAAATGTTTTTAGCCATCACAAAGATGGTGTTGAGAACCAAAAAAGAACAACTAAATCGACAAACAAATGAAAAGAATGCTATAAAAATAGCTAAAGGAGGTGGTGGTTTCAAACCACGGAAAAAATGTTGTTAAAATTGCGCCTAATAACATCAATAATCTTATTTTTTCCATCCTCCTCCCCCCAAAAAAAAAGTTTAAAGCCCTAATAATCAATTGATTGATATATTATACAGCATGTAATAAACATTTTACACACACACACACACAAACATAATTTTAAACTAATTTATTTATGTACAACATGAAACCTTGTTGCCACATATTAAGTGTTGATTATTATTATTTTTTTTCGTATAATGAATTTGTGTAAAGATGTTAAAATCAAATTCTAATTAATTAATTTTAATCAATCAAATCATCAAATATTTCTTTAAAACGATTATTGAATTCTAATTTTTCCAATACAAAATGTTCGATACTTAGCCATCTGGTATTCCGGTTTTTAACGGTGTTATTCCAAATCGATTGTCACTTAAGTCAAAGATATGAGTACTCCAAAAGAAAGTATCCGATTAGATCCGAAAACAGCGGCAGTTTTTCGTAAAAAAGGTTATTCCGTTGATAAAAAATTGAATGAAGGTGCCTTTGGTCAAGTGTACAAAGGTAGTAATACAAAAACGGGTGAATTAGTTGCCGTCAAAGTGATGGATTTGGATAAGGTGGGCGATAAATTCAAACAAAAATTTTTACCTCGTGAATTGGCTGCTTTGATCGGTATCAAACATGAAAGTGTCATTTGTATACACGATATAATCAGGGCGAATCACAAGATTTATATTTTCATGGAATTCGCAAATGGTGGTGACATTACTGGTTATTTGCACAAAAATGGATCAATTTCCGAACCATTAGCCTGTTATTGGTTCACTCAAGTATCGAATGCTTTGAGTTATATTCATGATGAATTAAAAATTGCACATCGTGATATCAAAATCGATAACATTCTTTTACATGATAATATGGCCAAATTAACTGATTTTGGTTTTGCAAAAGAAAGTTATGATTGCCATACGGATACGATTATAATGTCTGAAACGTTTTGTGGTACAGAACCATATTATAGTCCACAGATTGTGGCCAGAAAACCGTACAATGCATTCGCAGCTGATGTTTGGGCCATGGGTGTTACATTGTTCTGTATGCTTAACAATAAATTTCCATTCCATTTTGGTGATTCGAAAAAAATGCTAATCGAACAAACGGATAGAGATTTCATAAAAACTCGTTATGTTAAACGTTTTCCATCGGATTTAAGAAATTTTCAGGAAAAATTTTTTGTCGTCGATGAAACAATTCGTTGGCAAATTAGTGAAGTATTTCAACATCCTTGGATATTACGAAAAGGAAGATAGAAAAAAAATCAGTAAGCATCAAACAGAAACAATCGAATAAAATAATATTTTCTTATTATAATAAGAAAAAGGTTATAAATTGAAATTTTTTTTTTTAAATGAAAATTGTCGAATCAAAATTTTCTTAGATAATTAATACATGAATGAATGAAAATAGAGTGTAGGTGTTGTATGTATGAGATGAAAAGAGTGTTGGTAAATATCACATGTCCCTATTAATGTTTTTTTTTACACAATTGGATGTTCGTCTATTTTTTTCATATATAAACAAAATTGATTAAGATGACAAAAAAGATGATAATATGATGGGAAAAATGTATATAGATAAATAAAATACAAAATGCAGATTAGTGTCTTGTTCTAATAAAATTTTTCGTTAATGTCAATGTGTGTGATTGAGATTTTTTTTTTGAATGGATAAAATTTGAAAGCTTTTTAAACATGTGAAAATTTACAACAAACAAAAACAAATTCATTTTTATGTAATCGGACTTGGCTGTGGTGCTATTGGTGATGATGAATCTTGTAAATCCATGCCAACCGAACGTGATGATGTCTCCGGTTTATAAATTGGGCCAAATTGTGACATGTGTCGTTTAATGAAATCTTTCGTTTTATGTTTAACCGTATCGGTAAAAGATAGATCTTTACTGCTTTTTACTTGTTTCAATTCTTTCTCCACAATGGTATGCGTTAACTAATTGGATTGATAAGACAGAATACAATTTGAAAATCATTCAGACAAACAAAAAAATAACTTACCTTTCGAGCTAATGATTTGAAATGGCTACTATTGGTAATACGGCCTTTCGTACATGAACTTCTCATATATGGATTTAAACATTTAACAATGAATTGTGATACTTTGTAACGAAAATGTTCACGGGAACGGCGAGATTCTTTACGTTTCAATTCATCTGCAGGCATTTCAGTCGTACCACCAATGGGTACATCTTTCGTCGTATTTATCAATGAATTAGGCGATGATGACGTCGATGGATGACTTATATCACACGATGGCAAATCACTACTGATGATTATATCACCATAATAATTGTCAATTTGATTATCTTGTGGTGGATGCCATTGTTTAATTTGTTTCCGTCGATTATAATAATAATAATGATTATTATTGATCGAAGTCGATTTCCAATCATAAGAAAGATTTTTTTGGTCAGGCGTATTGGTTGTAAAAGAAATGGGTAACGGTTCAGTAATATTTTCTTTAACGTTGATTCCTTGTGATAATTCGTCCGGAATAGGGAAATAATATGTTTTTGAATCATTCGTAACGAAAAATATACCAGCCGGTGGATAGATTTCATCAAACATTCGTTTTTCCATACTTTCAAGGCAGTCATCATTTTCAAATTTAATTTGATTAAAATCAACATTATCGATTGCTTCGGGTGGAATGTCTTGCTGTTTATAGCCGATATTGAACAGGGATTGATATGATGAATTTTCATTAACATTATCATCATTCGATCCGACCAGTTGTATCAATGGACTTTCATATTTGGGTAATAAATCCTGAAAATCAACAATCTCATCGTAATCATAAGAATGAATTGATTGTACATAGTTTGAATCCATCAATTCTTGAACTGGCTGTTCTTGTTGAGTATCGGGGAGGTAACTGACTGATTGTTGTTGCTGGAATTGTTGTTGAACATGATCGAATGTGGCGCCAAATTGTAATAAGTTCTGTACATTAGTGCCTACTTCATTAGTACCAGCATTATTGTTCGAAAAGGAAAGATCCGGATTCATGAACATAGGATTGTTCGAAGCAAATGTCGTTAAATACTGTTGATAAAATTCATTGAATCCAATCATTGGATTAGCCGCAGCATTAGCCGATATCAAATCATTAGTACCAGAGCTAGCAGTGCCTGAAACAGAATTCTGTAAAGCTTCCTTATACAGTTTCAAATGTTCACGATATTTGTTCAATGCTTCAGTATAATCATGTTGTACAATCGTATATTCAAATCGTTTTCGATGTTCTTCTTTTGTCAATTTTGGCGAAGTTGAACCTTGGTTTGGTGTTTGATGGAATGGAGATGGGATGGAAATATTATTATTCTGACCATATAATGATCGATGTTGTTGTTGTTGTTGTTGTCGCATTGATGATCGACGATTAGTCAGATTTTTCAAACAACGACGTTTATTACCTAATATACCGGCAATTGTATTGTAGCTATCACCTTCCATATTATCATCATCATCACTAAATGATCGTTTATCATGATTGATAAATGGTAAACCTTGTGAACGACGTTCTTCTTCTTCTTTCGAACGTCGATCTGCTTCGGCTTCATCATCATGTCGTTTTTGTCGATCAAGACGAGGTATGCGAAATCCTTCTTTCAAATCTTTCCAATGAATTAGTAATTTTTGAGCAAGAAATCCTATTGTTACATTTGATTTTGCTTTAGTTTCATTGGCCGTAGAATTAGTTGTATCCGAAGATTTAGTTTTACTTTTTATCACAATTTTTCCTGATAATTTGGATAAATCGGTTATTAATTTAGATTTTTGACTATCTGTAACCGTTTCTTTATTGATACTTGGAGATTGGCTATTTGTTTCTTCTTTGGGTGATTCGACTGTAGCAGCATCTTTCGTTTCTTCCACAGCTGTTTGAGACGATTGATCGTCAGTGGCTTTTGGTGTTTCAGATTTTTTATCTTGTTCACCAATGTTAAGATATTGTTGCGATTCAGGGCTATCAATAGCGGCCCATCGTTCAACTACCTCTAATACTTTACAATCGACTAACATTGTTTTGTGAGGTATGGGCAATACTTCCAGTAATGCCAATAGACGTGCTTTGAGTTCAACATTTTCCGCTTCAATCATCCAGCCCCAGATTATACGAAGACCATGATAATCGATGAAAAGTCGAAGATATGCTAATTCAACTGTTGACATTATAATATCAATCAATTGTATGCGTAGTGAACATTTATCAGCTCGTAACATGAGACGTGAAACCTCAAGAATTTGTTGACGATTACGAAGGCCACCATTTTCGGCCAACATGTCGATTTCAAGCTAATTTGTTAAAAAAACAAAAAAGATAATGAACGAAATTCTAGAAACTAATAAAGTAAATATTTACCGCAACATCTTCAAGAAATGCTTCTTTATCTTCATCCTCCTCTTCTTCAGATTTCTCAACATTTTCTTCATCCTCTTCATCAACTTCATCCGCGGAAACACCCGCTTCTTCGTCTTCAGCAATCTTTTTACTGGCCACTTTCTTCTTACTTTTAGGTATTTTAGAACCATCAGTTAAAATTTCTCGTCCACTTTCTGATGATCCAATATAACCACGACAACATTTCGATTCACAATAACATTTTTGTGCCTTTTTTCTATACAATGAAAAAAAACTTGGATTAGTTTTGTAGCCGATTTTTTTTTGTTAATACTAACCCATATCGTTGAAATTGATAATCAAAAGTAATCTCTTCACCAGCGGCAACTGGTTTGATTGTGAAAAAACCGATTCTAAGTTCGCCATTTACAGTCCACTATTGTTTCAGGAAAAATAATTCGAGATGAATTTTTTTTTTGGTAAACTAAAAATTAGAAGGTACGAACCTTTTGTGTGATTGAATTTGGTTCACAACTATGATTAATAAAACGAGTCATATTACCCTTATAAGTAGCATCGATAATTTCATCACTTTTCAATGCCATAAAATAATAGTGTTCCATTTTTAGTTTAGAATATTTATCCGTGCGTTTATGGAACATAAATGGATCGATAACTTCGCCAACATATTCCATTATAAATGAATTGCTATAATGGACAGTAGATATATTTTCAATATATAAACAAACTCCATATGAATCACAAGATTTACTTACGCTGGTATCGATTCAAGTGTCATCAGACCCCAGCCTTTCTTTTCGGTTTTGAACGGAGTCAATTTCATGTATTGTTTCTGAAAAAAATAAATGAAAAAATCAGATTCACTGAATAATTGGAAAATGTGACAACAAACCTTCTGGAAACGTTTATTGGAACAATGTTCACCCAACGGACAACGTGAACCACATTCTATCATCAACATTCGATTAAGACAATCTTCACCGCAGCCCATTAGACCACGAGCACGTTCTTCTTTCATTAGTAAACAATCGCATACCATTTTTTTCGTCTCTTTTTTTGTTTTACATTTTTTTCTATCAAAATAAATAAAAAACAATTATAATCAATGAATGATTGAAAAAAGTGAAAATAACATACTTTTCGAAAAGAAAAATATTCTCATCAATCTGTTGATATGAAGGCATTGGCGAATCTGCTATCATTATCGGATTCAATGATTCTTGTGATGAATTAATTGTTGAATGTTGTTGACCAGTAGGCGATGAAGGCGTCGAATCCATTGGTGATAGTGTCGTGCTAGTAATTTCCAATTCTGAATTTCGACGCCATCTTGATTTAACTTTTTCCGGTCCCTGTTTATTATTATCATTAATACATTCTATAATTGTCGATGATGATGGTAATGAATCTTTGGTCTGAGCATTAGTACTACCACCATCTACATTGTTATTTGGTTCTTGTTGTGGCAGTGTTGTTGTGAAATTCTCCTTTGGAGTCGCTAATGGTGATTGTTGATGGTTGGATAATGATTTCGATTCATGTTGGCTATTAATATGATTATGATGATGATGATGATGATGATGATTTTCAACATCATTGGATGATTTATGCTTTGATTTCACTTTACGATGTTTTTTAGATTTTTCATCTTTTTTACTACTTTTTGATTTATGTTTTGATTTCTTATTCGAGGATGATGACGATTTAATTGTTTGTTGGTCTGAATTTTTCAAAGATTCTTTCTTCGATTCCGTATTGTCCGACATGGCTGGTGTATATGTATGGTCATTATTATTATCGACTTCGGAATTATGATGATCATGACCATTTGATTGTTGCTGTGATTGCTTTTCATCCATTTCCGGTGAATTTTGTTTTCCAAGATTTTTTATTCTCGTACTTCGTCTTCTAGTCGATGATTTTGTTACCACTGGTTCATTTTTATTGTCTTTCTTTTTCGTCTTTTTATTATCGTCAGTTTTCTTAGCTTTACTAGTGTTATTGTTTTTCTGATTTTTAGGTTTTCGACCTCGACGATTTGGGGTGGATGATGGTGATTTTTTACTTTCATTTTTTTCATCTTGTGTGGAAATTTCCAGATTACTTGAACAAACATCCACTTCACTGCTTACAAAATTGATATCATATGATTCATCATCATGATGATTATCCAATGTTGTTGATCCATTCATCATCACCATGGTGGTGGTGGTGGTCGTCGTCGTCGTATTCGGTTCAGATGATGATGATTCTTGACTATTATCATTAGCATAATCTTTCATAATACGATTTTTGTATTTAAATGTAGAATTATTATTATTATTAGAATTATTAATATTATTACTATTGATCATTTCTCCATTGATTGAATGAACGCTATTGTTATTGTCCGTTGTCAAATTAGATGTTTCGATCACAATTTCCGTATGGTCTGATGTATGATTCACATTTACGACTGTAGAATCACCATTCATCGTAGCCGTCGAATCATCGTAGATATATTTTAATTCTAATTCTCCATTGGTCATATTTTCTCCATTTGTGTGATTCGTAATGATCCTTTTAAAGAAAATCAGGATAAGTAAAATCTACAAAAAAAAATCAAATACAAAACAAAACAAAATTTAAACTTACATGTTTTTCGATTTTACTGTCGTCGTGGTCGATTTACTGCTCATTGCGTTTTACACGCGTTTGGTGTTGTTTATTTTTGGAAAATCGATTTTAAAGAGACGGCCAATAGAATCTTTATTTTATCGTTTTATTAGGAATTTAAAATACAAGCATTTAGATGAACAAGCATTTATCATATTGAAAAAGATAAAATTTTCATAGCAAAAAAGGATAATAAATAATGAATCATTTCTTTATGATCAACAGAGAGAAAAAAAGGGGAAAATTCCATTAAAATCAGCCAGATTCGAATATTATTTTTCAACATTCAATGCTGTATGTTTGATATATATTGGCCAATTAAATAATCGAATAATAAATTGATTCGTCCTTATAGAATTTACAGGATAATGTTTAAATTTACATTTGGATGACCAGAAATTAAAAAACACGATAAATACACACAAAAATACATATACATAACAAGACAATAACCAAACATTGTCTATATGATGATAAAACACACCAAAGAATCAAGCAGCCAGCCAGCCAATCAACTAAAATAAAGCTTCTAAATAACCATAGAGCAGCATTAAATCTGCATCTAAATTAACATTGGCAAACCGAACAAGTCGAAACGGTGATCCATGCTGGGCCTGCCTGCCTGCTTGCTTGCTTGCTTGCCTTTATAAAAATAAAAGGGACATGAGAATCCACAAATCTGGTTTTAATTTTGTAGCTACAATCCATATGACTAATGTTACGTATCATTATGGCCGGTATGATTTATTTATACATGTTTGATTTCTAAATTTTTTCATTACAAACTCATTTTTTAAATCCAATAGATCTGTGGCCACAATATCAAAATATGGATGGCCAGAATTAAACCTCAGAAAGAGTGAAAATGAAAAAGTAGGAGGAGTTAAACATAGGGAAATCATAAAACATTCGAAACTATATATATATATATTATCCACCAAAAACGAAAACAAACAGAAATTTTGGTTCTCGCGCGAATTATATTATTGAGCAAAAACCAACAAAAAAAAAAAAACAAAAATCGATTTCATTTCTGATCAATTATATTAAAAATTTGTTTCTAATAAAAATGAAGACAATTAATGAATGGCTCCGAAAAATAAGAAAAAACTCAACAAAAAATTTTTCATCATCGTCACCATACAAGAAAAAAAAGCACCCATCAATCGATGGAGATGATGTCAATGTCAATGAGAATAATAAATTAAATATATAGAATGAATGAATGAGAAAAAAAGATGGCAAATATCATACAATGATGCATATATTGCTTGTGATGAGCATGTATATGATACAACAAAAAAAATGATAATGATATAATATGATTAAGTATTTAACAAAAAAAAAATGGCAGATTTACATATTGAAGATCAAAGCGTTTCAGATTTATCAAAATGAGCCCAATGAAATCTTATGCAGTGACCGATTCGACCATACTTTTCTTAATTATTTCAACAAAATTTTCATTGGAACCTCCACCACCAACAGCAGCAGCAGTTACTAGATTGGCTGTATCTAACAGACCGATATCCGATGATGATGACGATGAACTGGTTGTGGATGTTGTCGACGTTGAATCAATCATTTCATCATTATTTCTACCTGAAGATGATAATGTCGACGATGAAGATGATTCATTTGTAGCGTCCAAATTATTGATCGTCATTTGTGAATCCTCGAATTCGTTATTCGTTTGTTCATAATAAATAGTATTATTATCTTGAAGCTGTTGACATGTTGATACATCATTTACATCTTCATCGCCACCAACAGCAGCCATAGTATCATCATTATCATTAGATGGATGATATGATTGTGTAGCCACGCTCGATGATGTCGTAGTTGAATATGACGATTGATGTGCAGCTGCAGCTGCTGCGGCAAGCATTGATTCAGTGGCCGATGATGATGGGCCGCCAACCGATATGCTTAGGTCGATATACTTTTGTTGTTGATGATTATTGCCATGATCAAGTTGATTAATGTCATTTGCGTGGGTTGTAGCGGTATGATGATGATGCTGTTGCTGATGTTGATTATGCATATCATACGATGAATGATGATATAAACCATTATTCGTATAGCCATGTGTATGGACCGGATATGATTGCTGATGATGATGATGGTGGCTATAATCAGTATTACCATGATGCTGATGATAATGATGGTGGTTTACATGATGATATTGTTGCTGGGCATCACAATGAATCGATGGAAATGGTGGCAATGAAATTGTTGTTGAACAATTTGATGTCGTTGAAGATTCTGTGGATGGCTGTTGTTGTTGTCCGGTCGTTGAGATGTAATTACCATAAAGCTGTTGCTGCTGTCCTGATTGATCTTGTTGTGTTTGGTGTTGTTGATCATTATTTTGTTGATATTCATCATCAAAATCATCGCTTGTATAATCAGAATTCTCAGAATATGAAGAAGAATTATCGGGACTATATGATTCATCATCATTTGGAAGAGGTTGTTGAGATTGATGATGTGGATATAGTTGCATACAATCAGTTGTATTGAATTGTGATGAATTATCTGTTGTCATCATTGTTGCTGCATTGTGATGGTGATGATGATGATGATTGTGGTGGTGGTGGTCAGTTCCAGCACCGATTACATTATAATGATGATGTAATTGATTTGGTTGTTGTTCCATATGATATAAATTATTATGTGGTGATTGTTGATATATGGAAGTTGATTGCTGTGATAATATCGATGATGATATACCATCAGGTGAATCGATAACCAATCCACCATTAGAGGTTTGATCGTATGATTGAGCATGAACCATATGATGATTCATATGATATCCACTATTGTTTGCCTCTTTCATTGTTGCTTGTGCATGATGTTGAGCGTAATTCAATTCGGAAGCATTCTAAAAGTACAAAAAAAAATAAAAAAAAAAAATAGTTGACCAAATATGATTCAAATAATTTATGTAAATGACTCATTCAATCATCATCATCATCGTCATTATGACAAACACAATCATACCTGATTTTTATTGACCGTATCTACTTTCATGATTGTTTCGATAAAATGTTTACGCACACGAAGTGGATTAAATTCAATACGCCCATTTGAATTACCACAACCTTCTCGGGTACATCCACATGGGAATGACATTCGATCTACTTGGCATTGAATACCGGCTTGATGACAAGAACAAACATCAGGATTACAATATACACGACAATCGCAGCCACAAAATTCTCTTGAAATTCGTATATCACGACATTCTTCTTTTTCGGTTGTTTCAATTTTACGTACACCCGATGCACGTAATAGAGCACGACGTTGTTTGATTGGGACCGGCTGTAGAAAATAGCAACTATCATTTTCGAGATCAATATCACTTAAATCACTCAATTCATCATAGGATTCATCTTCAGATTCTGATGTCGATGATTGTTTATTAATTTTAGCAAAACGTTTTTGTCGTTGTAAAATTTCTTTATGTACACGTTTTCTTTCTTCGGCATGTGTTTCCAATGTGAAATTTCGATGATAACTATGTGTGGTTTCCATACCGAGTGTTGAACCACCTTGACTTGGTACACATGTAAATCCTTGTGATCGTTTGAAATAGAAAACGGTCACATTATTAAAGATAACTTTTTTCTTTTCATTTTTCAATTTTGGTTTTCGTCCAGATACTTTCAATAGACTACGTAATGGACGAGACGATGCTGTTGTTGAATCAGATGTTGAGCCACAATTTGTGGTTGTTGAATCCTCTCCAGATGATGATGAATTGGCCATCGATATTACTCCACTACTTGATGATGAACTAATACTTGTTTCATCATTTAATTCTATTTCAGTACTTGCATCTTCAATATTTTCTGCTGGAATATTCTCATCATTCTGGATTGTATGATGAATATTCTCCTCCTCCTCCTCTTTGACATTACAATCATTACCATCAACAAATTCGATTGGATTTTCTTCTTCAACAATTACATCTTCCTCTTCATCATCATCATCATCATCATCGTCATCATCATCATCGATATCGTCGATATCAAAATCATCATCATCGTCGTCGTTAATTTCATTCTGAACAATATCATTTTGGTCATTATCATCATCGAAGCAACATTGAGCTTCTTGTGACTGTTGTTCATTTTGGCAAAAATTTTCAGTTGAGGAATCATTCAGTTGTTGTTGTTGTTGTTCGAAATTAATTGTGGATGAATTCAATTCAATTTCAACCACTTCATGATGATGATCATTATTAATATCATAGTTTGTTGAAATTGCATCGACATCAACCGTTTTTGGCGTAGTATCAACCTGAATACATTTATCAATCAATTCTGGTGGTGATTGTGGCTGTGGTATTAATGGTGAGGTTGATGAATCTATCAGTTGATGGTTATTGTCATCGATTTTCAACAATTTGATTGCTGGTTCATCACCATCATTGACTATTGCATCATCGTTATCATGATTTTCATTAAGACCATTTTGTTGCTGTTGTTTTGGTTGATAATATTGATGATCAATCATTTCGGTGACAATAATTTCATCATCACAATCAATTGATTGTTCATTTTGTATTTGTTCATTATCATCGATTATTGGATCGGATATTAATGGTTGTGGATCAATCTGATCAAATGTTCGTTTTAATGATGACATTATATCTGTGAAATAATAAACAAATTTCGAAAATGAATTACTATAATATATACACAATACGCAACAAAAAATAAAATTCAAACAAATTTTTAATTTTAAATTGGAAATTTTACCGGGAAAAAAATGATGAACCTACTTTATGAAATTTTTTTTTTATTCGGTACTGATGATGTAATCAAACAATTTACATGTATACACACACACATATATAAAAACACAATTATTATTTTCGACAAAGACAAACAAACAAACAAAACAAAAAAAAAATTCGAAAATTTTAAGAAAATATTTTTTTTCAAAATCAATGATTGTGCGCTTTTCGATACATTTTTTTATTGATTTGATTTATAATTTCTTGATTGAATGAATTTAATTGATCATTGAAATATATTCTGGTGTGGTACTGTTATGCAAAAACAAAAAGAGATTTTTGAAAAATTCGAAATATTAGGAATAATGATGATGATGATGATTATAAATTATAAATTTTTTTTTTTGAACATGATCACCTACACACACACACACAAACAACAATAAATGACGGATGATGATTAGGTGAATGTGGCGACACACAATGTGAATAAAAATCAAAAAACATAAAAAAAACACAGACAAAAATTAGATTGAGAAATAGCCAAACACAAGCAAAAAAAGAAAAGCAATCCAGCCAAGCCAGCCAGCCAGTCAACGAAAAAGAAAAAAAAATATATTCAATTTACGACGTTTGGATCACCACCATATATATTTCGAGCGTCATCATCAATAGCGTTAGTAAAAAAAAAAAAAAAAATGTGCAGCTGCATCACAAATTGAAATCAGTAAAGCGAATGGAAAAAAAATAGGAAAATTTGGCACACACACACACACACACACACAAAATGCAGCACAGAGAGTCGCTGTAATGCAAAATACGAAAAAAATTCTTATAAAAAAAAAAAAGTAATAATAATTTCCAATATATAACCACCACCACCACCACCACCACCACAACCACACACACAGTGTGTTGTTGTTGTGGCTCTATTTTTTTTTTTTTTTTTTATTATCCGATTGGAAAGAATTTGTTCAACTATTATTACTACTACTACTACTACTACTATGGATCCATTAGCTTCATATATATATATATATCCAATGCTACTACTTTATATGGATCCTAAAGTTGAGTCCAAAGTTTCAAATTGGAAAAATGCGCATGTATATGTTGATGATAAGATACAAGGACGGATGGACGGAAAAAAAAACTGGATATATGTATGTATGTATTGTGGATTATAAGCATCTTGTTTCGTTTGAAAATGGCGGCCTATATGAGAAGATCTAATGCCAAACACACACACATATTATAATATGAAAAAATTCCAATTTGTGCAAAAGAATATTTTCCAATATGAATGGTGTTTATGCCAGTTTCAAAATGAAAATTTTTTTTCTCTTTTTATTTTGCCAGTTCAAACTGGCTAAACTTGTTTTATTGGCAATGCGCACACACACACACACACACATGCTAAAAAAAACAGAAATCCATTCCATCTATCGGAGTTTTCATCATCATCATCATCATCATCGAGTAACAACAAAATTTTTCGCTCGTCCTGAATTGACGTCGAAATTTTTTTTTTCTTTTCTATTTGTTTGTTCCTTTTTTTGCACATTTCAACTTAAACATAAATTATTATACGAGCGCCACCATGTGACTGTTGGTTGAAACAAACAAATGTTATTTTTGTGCAGACATACTCCCCGATCTTTGTGTGATAAAAAAAAAAAAAAAAAAAGAAAGAAATGAAAAAAAACGAAACGAAACGAAACGAAACGAACATTTTTGAAGAGTTCGTTCTATCCGAAATACAATGTGTAATACACAGGCATCCAAAGATTGAAACATCCATTGAAGGGGGGTGGAAGCATTCTTTCGCTGTACATTTCTCATCCTCAAATGAGGAGGCTAATTTTTTTTCTCTCTATGTATAAGATTCAAATATGCAATAAAAAATTATCAACATGAAAATGAAAATCATCATCATCATCATCTATATCTCCTTTCAACAATATAATCAATATTATTATTATAATATATAAAACAAAATCTTATAACGCCATCAATTCTGGCTTTTATTTTTCTCTTTCTGTACATATAAATCCACAATTTATTATCATCGTTTCTATATCACCATCACCACAGATCACATTATCTAATGAAAATTTTTCTTTTTCTATAGCCAGGTGGCGCCCTCATTCATTTCCTTTTTTGCTCGTTCTCTCTCTTTACGTTCTTTATAAAAATAATAAAAACAAAACAAATGATGATGATCAAGTGTATTGAGCACTGTTTTCAGCTAATAACTTGATTGTTGTTGTTGTTGTTGTTCTCGTATATATTGATGATGATGATGATGGTTGAAGGCGTAGTCAAAAAAAAAAAAAATTTTTTTCTTTTATTCCTCAACATTTTTATTCTCAATATCGACCGACCTGATATATATTGTTTGCAAGTTGGTGTATGGCACGCAACTTATATATGTGTGTGTTGTTTATATTGCCAAATTTTTTTTCTGACCGAAAATTTTGGTGTTTTTCTACGATGGGGCCCAATTTGGTATTTTTTTTTTTTTTTTTGGGCTTCCATTCCATGTTTATTTATCAAATAGATTTACTCTAACACACACACACACAGACACACTATAGAAAGAAAAAAAAGGACAAGAATTTTTTTTCCTTTTTCTTTCTCATTTTCTCTTCCGTTAGGCGCCCATTGATTTTTTTCATTCGATTCGATATCACGATGAATTCCATGTGATGTGTTGTGGATTTTTTTTTTGTTTTGTTTTGCCTTTTCGCCTCATCAAAATTACACAACTTCCCCGAAATGGTTTGCTTCTGCTCCGAAAATTGGCAAAAAAAAACCACCATGTTTATATTCATTTTCTTTTCGGAAATTCAGGCCTAGACCTTTTTTTTTTTTTTTTTTTTTTTTGCTTTCTTCACATCCATAATATATCCACATGAACATGGAAAAAATGATAATTCATCAAACAATTGCCAACGAAAACAAAAAGAGAATCTCAATGAACAAACAAAAAAAAATTTGAAATATTCTGATTATTATGATGATGGATGGAACAACAACGAAATACGAAGTAGAAAGAAATGGATGCTTTTCTTCATTTTTTTTGTTTCATTTACTATAGCAGAAAAAAAATTAACACAAAAATATAAAACCATTTCTTTTTGGATTTCGTTTGATTTGTTTTTTTTTTTTTTTGGTTTTTGTTGAGAATTATAAGATAGATCATGTATGTGCCTAAATTTATGTATAGTGTTGTATATATGTGGGTGTGTGTGTTTTGGGTATAGATAGTCGATAATTTTGATTTATTGATTGATTGATTGATATATTTAGTAGATAGATAATCTATCGATTATTAGATGAATCAAGATATTCGATTCCATGAGCAAATATCATTATTAATCCAGGTTCAAGTATCATATCATCATTCATATGTTGATTTTCATAACTAGTAACCAAAACAGCTTGTTGTCCAGGTATTTTACGACAAATATAATTATCAAACAATGAACGATTTACCTGACGAATTTCCAATGTACTTAGACCGGGTGGCCATTTTCTTTCATGTGAATTTTCCATCAATTCATTAACAGTTGAATTTGGACATCCAGTATCAAGTAATGATTTTTTCACAGCAAATTGTATCGATAAATCAGGTGTACTGATTAGACCACCCCAACGTAAAACTCTTGCACGAGGAAAAAAATGACACCATATTGGTATCGGTTTAAATGTGGATGATAAATTCGGCGGTAATGTACAGCCTATAGTTCCGGTCGTTGTCAATGGTAATATCTGCCGTAGACAATCACGTATTGAATTCAGATAGCCTTTCAATTCTTGATATTGTTGTTCCATTTTTTTCGATTCTTGTTCAACGAATACACGGAGATCTTTGAAACAATTATGATTCTAATTTAATACCAAAAAAAAAACACGAATTACAAAATTTTAATGAAAAAAATTTATTATTTCCATTTCTTACCTGTATTTCATCTTTAGGTATAACAAATCCACATCCTTTACTACATTCAATTGGACGTTTTGGATTAAATTTACAATCCTTATGATGTGATTGTAATGATTCTAATTTGACAATTTCTTGGCAACCAAATTCAGCATTATCACAGAGAATATCAAGGCGTGCAAGCAAATTTCTTAAGATTCTAGGCACAGGTTTCAATTCATTCATTGTCAATGGTTGCCGATCAACAGGACAAATTGAATCACGATCAAGCCATTCCTAATTACAATAGAATTAAAAGAATTGTGTTTAAAATTTAAAATTCAAGTTATACCAACTTTAATACAATTCGAACAATATGCATGTTCACAATTTGGTGCTTGTAAAGGTTCTTCCAAAACTGAAGTACAAATCGGACAGATAAGTTCTTCATCAACATGACCATTCTTAAATCGAGCTATATCGTAACCCATTTTGTTTTGTTGGCCATATATCATCAACTAAAATATATGGCCTATCAAACAAATCGTGAATGAAAAAATTTTCCAAATCCAAATATTATTTACAACACACAAAAATAACAAAACAAAAACTGCGAATTTATATACTGTTCGTTAATGCTTTGTACATAAAGGACGTGACGGAATGGGCGATGAAAGAATATTTTTTTTTTTTGAAAAATAAAATTCCCGCTTCATTTTTAAATCCATTGATGACCAAAATATTGAATATAAATCTTTCAATTTTATATAATTTTTTAATATTGTATGCATGTATGAGTAGGACAATTAATTTGTAGGTGTGTGTGTGTATGTGTGAAATTAATTGGAAAATAATGATAAAAAACTAATTGAATGGAAGAATCAATCGCAACGGGATGCATAAATGAAATATGATATAAAATAATGATCATTACAAAAATAAATGGAATAATAGTGAACAAAAAAAAGGTAGAAAGAAAAGGCATCCACTCCTAGAATAATTAGAATTCGTCAATTTGCCGATGATTTTACCTGATCATTCAATGATCCAATATTATTAGATGTTATTATCAATGTTGTTGTTGCTGGTGCCGTTGTCGTTGTCATATTATTCGTAACATCATTCTGATTCAATTGTTGTGGCTGTTGTTGTGGTGTAGTTTGTATCTGAATCTGTTGTTGTTGAGCAGCCTGTGCAATACGTCGTGCTTGATGTGTTTTCAGATGTTTGGATAAATGATCACTTCGCATGAAACGTTTTAAACATTCAGCACATTGAAACCTTTTTTCACCTTTATTTTTAGAAAAAAAATTGATCAGAATTTTCCACGAATTTTAAAGCCAAGTTATTCAATTTACCTGTATGCGTTCGACGATGTCGTTGAAGCTCATCTGAACGGGTGAAACGTTTTCCACAGAATAGCCAATTACAAACAAATGGTCTTTCACCTGTATGCCATCGTAAATGGGCACGTAAATGTGATGTTTTCCCATATACTTTATTACATCCAGGAATGTGACAAATATGCTGTTTCTTTTTCGTATCACTATTACGACCTTCACCATCACGACAATTTGGACATGTACAAGCAACACGGCGAAGTTTTCGTTGTGGTTGTCCATCAGGACCAACAGCAACGCCACCACCACCACCACCACTAACCGGAATCGTTGATCCATCTGTACCAGTAGCTGCAGAAGTTGCTGTCGTAGCAAAATTTGCTTGTATAGCTCCTTGAACTTGAAGAGCATTTGTCGGTGTAGCTACAATTTGCCATTTACTTGGATCATTTGGATCTTGTTGTAGCTGCTGTATTAATTGATTACTATTGGCTATTTGAATCGCTTGTACCGGACTTAATGGACCAACGGGTTGACCATTAGGTGCATTTGCAATTATGTTACCTAATCATAAACAAAAAAAATCATTCGATGAGAAAAAAATAGTTCAATTTAGAATGATGTATGAATTTAAAATACCTCCTTGTAACTGGATTGTCTGCAAACCTTGAACGCCCTGTACTCCTTGAACTTGAATGACATTCTGTCCTCGCATACCAGTTAATAAATCTAATCACAAGATACATGTCAATTAATAATTACTCTATACTGATTGATTCGTCTGAAACTTACCACCAATATTGGAAATGTTTACAGAATTTGCTGGCCAAACCGCAGGTGCTGCTGATATGAGTTGTCCAATTTGACCATTTGGAAGTTGAATATTCAATACCGTTTGTCCGGTTTGAGCATTCGTCAGGTGGCTATTAGCGTTTGCCTGATATCATTTTTTTTTTTTTTTGTAAAATTAAAAATTGCAAGTTAGATTATTGAAATGATTTTGAATCAGAAACTTACAGCTAATTGTGTGGCACTTTCGGAGGGTTCCTGTTTTATTGGTGATGCTGATGCTTGCGATACGGCAATGGGCGTCATTTGAACTTGTTGCAATTGTGGCATCATTTGATGTGTGGCTATCTGTGGTTGTTGAACATTTGCTCCAAGTGATTGTAATGCTTGTATTGGTATTTGGATTGTCTGTAGTATGGTTTGACCATTCTGTGTCGATATGGATTGGACGGGTATGGTTTGTTGAACGGGTAGCTGTAATGCTTGCATCATACTTCCGGCTTGTCGTACGGCTACCGGTTGTCCATTACTAATTACCGCATTTCCTAATCCTTGTATATACACCTGTTGTCCTTGTTGAGCTTGTTGGGCCTGTGCTTGTGTTTGTCCGGTTCCAGTAGTACGTACCACTTGATGATTTGGTGACAATAATTGATGATGATTACCCGATATCTGTATCGCTTGTTGTCCACTTTGTAGAAAAATAGCTTCAGCTGTTTGGCCATCAGCTAACTGAATCTGTGGTTGTATGATACTGTATTGAACAGCTTGAGCTGTTCCACCAGTGGCTGCTGTTGCTTGTGTTAATATCTGATTTGTAGCCGTTACCGTTGTTGATCCTTTCATTGCGGTCTACAAAAAAATTTTCTCATTAATTTAATTGACAAAAAATGGAGCAATTTTCCAATAACAACTTACTTGAGCACCATGATCACCATTCCCACCACCAGGCCCAGGACCAAATAGGCCCTGATTATCATCGGCCTGTTGATTATTCGACATAGTAGTCGCTTTGGATTTCCCACGTCGCGCCAATTTGAATGAGTTTTTAATTACCAAACCAGATGAAAATAGTATTTAAAATTCGCGGGGTTTTTTTTTGAATTTTTTTTGTATGGTGATATTTGAAATGACCACCATACAGACAAAACAAAAACAAGTGAGTGGGATGAGGATAAAATTCGGGACACGCCGAAAAAAGGATGTATCGGTGATCCAAAAAAATGACAGAGAAAAATAGAACGAAAGAGGAGGAGGCGTCGGAGAACAAGTAGGAGGTGGCCAAAGAATCGCGGGTTTTTTTCGTTTTTGTCAGTTTTTTTTGAATGTTTTGATATGATATTTATCTAGGTGTGTATGTTTGTGTGTTATTTATATATTCTCTTTTCACATTTGATGATATTTTCTGGGTCGAATTTTTGGTTACGGGTTGTCAGATTATTCTGAAAATTTTGTATATTACATTACACACACACACACACACATGTACATGAATCCAATAGATCAAAAAAAAAAAAAAATAAAAATAAAAGAAAAAATTAACCAACCAACACCTACAAGGATGGATGTTGTTGTTGTTGTTGTATAAAGATGATGGGATTCACCATAAATACACACACACACATCACATTAAAACAATTTGGGGCGACCACACCACCATACACAAAAAAAAAATTTAGATAGAATGAATCGAAGGAAAAAACATATACAAAACACAACAAACAACACACACAGGAAACTCCACCTGAATTTGCCTCTGGCCTCGACAGAAATGGGACGTGGTTGTGGATGAAGAGGGATCGCCGTCAAGGCTGGTCACTTCTTTTGCTACATCAATACAAAAAAAAAATTCATTTGAAATGGCTATGAGCCGTCGTTGTTGTTTTGTATATCTGTGTGTGTGTGTGTGTGTGTGTGTACGGAATGGAGTGATTTTATTATGTTGTGACTCAATGTATGGAACTTTCTGGTGGTGGTCGGTCAAAGGGAGGTTGTTACCGTCAATATTATTATATTGGCGAATGGATGTATGGTATTATCTCAACCCACAAAACCGTTTTCGATAGAAAACATTAAGAAATGGCGGCTCCCGAATGAACAACGATACAATGGGTGGTGTCGAAGGAGGTCTGCGCCGTATTTTACTGTAAATCGATGTTTGCTCGTTGATAATGAATGAAACAGAAAAAAATGGCTGCCTGACTCTCTCATACTCACAAACTTGAACTGCTCTCTCTTTTTTTTTGTGTTTACAATCCAAATGATACTTTTATACAAACTGCTACTTTTTCACGAGTTGTCCATTTCATATATATCGTTACTGCTAGTAGTAAATTTTTCAATATAATTTTAATTGGCGCGAATTTTATCATTATTATTATTATTATTAATTGAAATAACTGGATTTTTTACATATAAATAGATGGAAAATGATACGATTATGATTGATGTGAATGTAAACAGATTTACGGCTACATTCAATAGCCAATATGAAATGAATGTAACTAGAATAAGATGACAACCGGTAGCAAAAACTTTCATTATTGAATTGAATTGTGAAAGAAAAATGCTAGCTGCCATGCCACAAAGAGCATTGTTGATGATCAAAATAAAGAACCAGAAATTTTGTTGATAATCATCAAATACAATCAAATTCATTATTCGCCAACGTTGTCCATGATCCGATGGTATCATTGTGAATATAAATAATAAATTAAAACCAATTGATAGAATATAATTGTAAATATTCTGCATCATAAGATGTACCGTTGCTTGTGATTCTTTAATCAGATATTCATTATAAACACCACCGATTGTTGAACACAATATTTGTACAATAACCAATATGATATAACGATCAGGTAGCTGAACATGGAATTCAAATGTTCGAAACCATGAATCAAACAATGACCAATTGATATGATCAAATTGTTTAAAAATACAACCAATTGTTAACAATGTTAATGATAACCATTGAATTCGATTCAGATATCGTTTGAATACGAATTGATATACAATACCGGTAGCAATTAAACGACATTGCATCCACACTGAATATGTAACTGGATCATAATGTGACATATTGATAAATTGTAAATTATTTACAATACAATATAGAATGGCCGGTATACAGGACAATAATAAAAGACGATTATGTCCAAATAATTCATTTGGTATGTAACGAAAATCATTATCTTTTACATAGATACTAATGGCTAATAATAATTTCAATATTTCAGTTGCCAATACTATTGTTGTTGGATGTATGGTCGTTGTTGAAACCATCATCATATAATTTGATGTTGCCGTATCCACATGGATTAATTTTATCAATTGACTTTGTATTACAAACAATAAAATGTATGTGATGAAAAATATACGATGCCAATTTGTTGTGAATAATTTCATCATTTTTTTTTGTTTTGTTTCCACTGTGTTTTACATAAAACAGCCATAAATTCTTTTCCACATGCTTCTCATTTTTTTTTTAATTCTAAAATCTATTCGAATATCGAATTTGTTTTTTTTTTCATTTGATTATTTGATTACAACATCAAATCGCATATTGATAAATTGTAAATTATTTACAATACAATATAGAATGGCCGGTATACAGGACAATAGCAAAAGACGATTATGTCCAAATAATTCATTTGGTATGTAACGAAAATCATTATCTTTACATAGATACTAATGGCTAATAATAATTTCAATATTTCAGTTGCCAATACTATTGTTGTGGTTCGTTCGTTCGTTCATTTGATTATTTGATTACAACATCAAATCGTTCCTTCGTTCGTTCGTTCGTTGTTTTGTTTTTTTTTAATTTGAATTTGAATTACATAAAACAAATTGTCATTGAACTATATGGCTACTATCGTAAAATTGTTGACAGGATGTGACACACACACACACACAAGCAGACATACACAAAAAAAACAGAAGGAGGAAATACAGAAACAAACAAAGACCAGATAGACAGACAAATTCGAGCCAATTCAGATTCAGCAACAAATGATGTTTGACTATAAAAAAATGTTCATTGATCGATATTTAAATTTTTATAGAATCTTATTATATTGGATGCTATTCATTATCATTATCATCACATTTGTTGATGGCCAACAGAATGATGATGATGATGATGGTGGTGGTGGTGGTGATCATCAATCCATGCAATTCAATGTTGACTTGAAATTTCCAATCACAATTGATCCGATCAATCAATACAAACAGCAGCAGCAACAACAACAACAACAACAACAGAGTTTTGATAATAATTGTGTTCCATTTTTCAGTTCATTAGTGGCCATCAATGGTCACGAAGATCAGCAACTTATATTGATGGGATCACCAAATTTTCTAGATTCAAATGTCCAGGATCATCTTATCACCGGTGCAGTGTTTTCATGTCCAGTCATGACAAATTCATCAAATTGCAATAGGATTCTTGTAAATGACAAAGGTAAGTTTTTTTCTCGTTAAAAATTTCCTAATTCCAAATCTTGATCGTTTCTAAAATAGTGGAAATCTTTGGCTCAAATCTACATTATCAACAAACGAATAAATCATTGTTCGGTATGACCATACAGCTTACCAATCAGACAGTAATTATTTGTGCTCCTAATTGGGTGGGACCGGATGATACACCGGAAGGTATTTGTTTTGCAATGGATGGTCAAGAGCCAACCAAGCAACGTGTTGTATTCAAATATGTCCGTGAAACTTTAGTCCGTTCAAATCGACCATATGAATCACATAATCTTTTCGGTTTTTCAATAGCCTACAATCACCGTGACAATGATTTACTTTTCGGTCTACCTGGATTCAAAGATTTTTCCGGTGCCGTTTGTCGTGTTAGTGAAAATTTAACAGTGGAAAAAATTAAATTACCAGATTATCGAAAAACAACAACCAATACTTATAGTGGATATAGTGTAGCATATTACGCTTTGGATGAATCATTCGATGCTGTACTTGCATCGACACCTAAATATCTTAATTTCAAAGGTAAAATTGAACTAATCGATACGAATAGTCGTCAAGTGTTGGCCACGTTTATGAGTAAAAATGATACAATGGCAGAATTCTATGGAGCAACCATGCTGGTTGTTGATATTGATGGTGATAGTCAACAAGAATTGCTTGTTGGTGCACCATTTTATTCGATTAGTTCAAAACGTCGTGAAATTGGACGTGTATATCTTTATGGTAATATCCGTCAAAGTATAATCGGTGCAAGACGTTTGTATAGTGAACAAATTATCATTTCACCATCAAAAGTGGCTGGTAGTCGATTTGGTGCCAATTTGGCTGCAGTCGATCTTAATCTTGATCGATTTAAGGGTAAGATTTTTTTAAATTGGATTTCGATAATTTTGAAACTTACATCTCTTTCACAGAGGTGATAATCAGTGCTCCATTCGAAGAAAATGTTGATCGATCCAGTACAGGTGCCATTTACATCTATTATAGTACATGGCGTGGTCTTGACATTGAAAATTTCAAGGTTAGTGTCCTCAAACTTTTTTTAAAATTTAATCCATTTTTTGTGTGTGGCTAATTAGCGAATTGCACCTGAAAATCTTGGACAACAAAATCAGCTTGGATTCGGATTCAATGTATGGACAAAGACAGATTTCGATTCAAATGGTTATGTCGATTTAGTCATTGGAACATTACAACGGTCATTTGTATTGCGTTCATATCCAATAATCAACATTAATGCATCAATGGAATTCGAACCACGAGGCATTAATTTTTCCGATATTCGAAACTGTAAAAGTCGACAATATCCATGTTTTCTAATCACCTATTGTATTGATTTATCATCAAATCGTTTCCAATTCTCACAATATGAATTAACATTCAATATTGTCATATCGGTTACGGATAGAAATTTGGATCTAAAAGAAGAACGTGTACTACAAAAACGTCATAATCAAACAATCCATTCGAAATCAAATCGTTACTGTTCGAATGAACAACCGATTAGAATTGAATTGAAAAACAAGGAAGATATTTTCGATATTATAACACCAATTGAAGTACAATTATCGATTGAATTACAGCAATCAAAACAAATGGAAGAATTTTGTCCACATTGTCCAGTGGCCAATTCTTTTAACATTTATCAAGATATTGGATTTGAACATGGATGTGTACATCAGTTTTGTCTATCTAAATTGATGTTAGATGCAAATTTTAAATATGGTTCAATAATAATCAAAGATAAGATTATTGAAGGTCAATACAATACATTCGATGTAAGTGCATTGATTACAAATCTAGGTGAATCATCTATCAATACACAAATGATAATACGTATGAATCCAGTATTGTTGAATCTAATGCCAAGTTCAGATTTTTCACGTTGTCATTCAATCGATACAGAAAATGTTTATCGTTGTAATGTTAATAAATTGATGATAACTAAACAGAAAGAAAAATTCGTATTACGATTCGAAGCACAATCCATACAAAGTCGATACGTTTATTGGGATTTTGAACTAAAAACCAGCAGTCAAATTGATCCTGGTAGTCAACTTCGTTTCCAGAAGAATATAACCATATTGAAGGAAGCACAATTTGTTATGCGAATGCAAATGGAAAATCATTATAATTTTTCCAATTTTGTTTCACGTGTTTTATTTCCCGTATCGATTGTATTGGAAAAATCCGGTCCAAGCAATGTGGATGGTGCATACGTTCAATTCGAAGTTCCATGGATGATTGAAATGGAACAACCATTTCAATATCGATGTAATAAAATTCGTCAAGGATTGGAAAAATCCGTACGATTAGATCTTGTGAATGGAACATTGAAAATGTCGTGTTCGGAAAATCCACATGGTTGTTCGAAATATCAATGTAAATTGAATCGATTTGAAAGTGGTTTTCGTATGAAAAATTTCGACATAACATTATTGTTCATATCATCACGTATAAAACCAAGTATCAAATATCGTGAAGTAATATTGGAACCATCATTTTCACTTTATCCAAATGATAGCATATTCTTTCTATCGAATGAACCATTCGATGAAGTGAAACCATTTTTTTGGTTCAATCGTCAAAACAATGAAGAAAATGAACGATATCAGAATATGATTATATTTGGCAGTGCTGGCCTTGGTATCATCATCATCATATTAACAACATGTATATTGATTAAATATGGATTTTTTAAACGAAAAAAATTTGAAGAATTAAAAAAAGAACGTATGTCCATGATGATCAATCCAACGACAATGATGTTGCCCACAATGGATAATGCTGGTGGCCATCAAGAAATTCATCAAATTGGTTCCATTTCTTAAAAAAAAACAAAACAAAAAAAAAACAATTCTCTTTTGTTGTTGTTGTTATCAATGTAGCAAATTTATTCATTTGCTCTATATTGAAAAAAAAATTTATTATTCATTTAAACATAATTTTTTTATATATATAGAGAGAGAACAATAAGTAAACAAAAAAAAATTTGATGAAGAAAAAATTCAATCATATTTTCAGGTGTTGAAAAATTCTTTTTTGTTGTTGTTTTTTTAAAAAAAATAACACGATGATTATTGATTATTTTGGCCATTATTGCTTATTTGTTTACTTGTTTTTGTGTGTGTGTGTGTGTGTTAACCCCGAATAAATGAATGAATGAAAAAGTGAAAAAAAAACATAGAACCCTATACACGTTACAATTGTGTGTGTGTGTGTGTGTGGAAAAATTGAATATAACAATAAAATATATTATTTAACATTCAGAATTTCCATTTTCAGAAATTCGAATCGAAAATATGAAACCTCTTTTAGTGGTTTCATGTTTTGTTTACTTATTTTCTGTGAATTATTACATAAGAAAAAAAATTCTAATGAAAAGATAAAAGAGCAAAAAAAAAATTACGACACAATAATAAACGATGACCAAGGTTTATTCTTATAATTCTTCTAATAGAATTTCGTTCGTTTATTATTATTGTTCAACGATGAATCAACCATACAGATGTCCATCGATGATGTACGTTTACGTGATTCATTATGGCGATGAAATTGTTGATCAACAAATTCATGTAAATCTTCATGATGATGATTATTATTATTATTATGTGAATCATGATTATTTCGTTTCTGGTTTGTTTGATTTGTTACCATCGATGTTACGGACGGATTACGCATGTCTGAAGAGAGAAAAAAATGATAAAATTAGTCAAATTTCAATGAATATCATACGACGAAAAGACACATACGAAGTGCTTCTTTAAATGTTTCTAAATTCGGTTCAACATTATTGTTGTTGATTGAATCATTATCTGATTCATTATTATTATCAGGAGATAGTGTCAATTTGGATACCAAATCCAAACGATTCAATATACTATTATTATTGTTGTTGTTGTTTAGATTTGATGAACGAAAATTATGATTTGATGTCGTTCGAGTACCGGATCGATTTGATCGATGTACTGTGTGATGATGATGGTGATTATTAAGGTGATGAGAATGATAGTGATATGGACTACCATTTCCACCGAGAAACGCAATCAATTCTTCACGTCTAATTAGATTCTTTTTCTTTTTAATCCAATTCAATAATTCTTTCGTACGTTTATGATAGCCAATCTGACGATATCGATCATAATGTTTACGATGAAATTCACTACTCTCTTTATATAGACAGGTTACACTGGTCGATGCTTGTTGAAATGTGCTCCAAACATTGTGAGCTGTGGATAAATTGTCTAAAAAATATAAAATTCAATCAAATTGAATGTGAAAAGAATGTAATCACATACCTCTTGAGTATAATTGAGCAATGGCCATGGCTGAACTTTGGAAATAATTCCATAATTTACGTTCATAATTTAAACGTTCTTCATCATCCATATCATCATCATCGGTATCATTGATTATAACATTGGCCGGTATTGTTGATTCAATATAATCAATACATTCTTGTTCATGTGTAGAGAATTTATTCGGACCATTAACCGTCGTTCCATTCAAATCGTTATCATCATCATCATCATTATTATTATCGTTATGAACTGGATCCATTTTTTGTTTATGTTTTTGAGAAAATTGGACAAACGAAAAAAAAAATTTCCTATCGATGATGAAATTCCAATCAATATATGGTTGGTGATAATAATGGCCTTTAATTAGATGAAAAAATGATTTAGTATCAAGTGTGAATGGGTTATAGAAGAATAGCCTGAAAATTCTTCAGGCTTTCCACTATTGAATGGATAATAAAATGATGATATTTCGATGATGATGATTAAAAAAAAGGTTAGATGAATGATCAAAGCGAAATTAACAACAACAACAAAAATGAAAAAAAAACGCGATACAAGATCGCGAGAAAAAAAAATCAAAACAATAAACTCATAGTTTCGCGTACACACACACACACACACAACACACACACATCAATAAGCAATAAAAGTAAAAAAAATCCACTGGCGTTTTAAGAATGTATAATATGAATACACAACAGCAGCAGCAGCAGCTGATACAGCTGTGTAATGCAGCTGCTGCTATTGGGCCACCACTACCTCCTTATTTTTTTTAGTTTTTATTTTCCTATTCACGATAAATATGTATATATAGACATACATACTAAATACACATACCGCTACCACTCTCTATAAACACATATACACAAATCGTTTATATATTTATTATTATATCAAGTTTTTTTAAAGCTAAAAAATTTCGCGAAAAAAAAATTCGTAAATTTTTAATTTTCAATTTTTTTTTTAATAATTGAAAAATAAATGGCGAACGATTTTATTTTTATTTATTTATTATTATATGTCAAATGTCAAATAGTTAAAATTCAAGGAAAAGGATGTGAGATGTGTGTGTGTGTATGACTGTATATAGAGATTGAAAATTGAAAATTTAATTTTTTATAATAGAAATTTCGACCAATTCTTAACAATTATAACACACACACACACAGACAAAAATATTTGTAATGTAATTTGATTATTATGTATGTGTGTAATAATAATAATAATGATGATAATGTATAACATTTGGATTTTTTTTTATTATTATTCTCTGCAGTGGATGTGTGTTTGTCAAAAATGTGGACAAAATAAATGAATTTTTTTTGTTTGAAGAAACGTCACATGTACCCACCCACTTCCTCGTCGCTAGTTTGAGATCCAATTACACATGAATCTTCTTAACTGATTCGAGTTTCATTTTGTTTTTTTAGTTTCGATTCCGTTTTCGACGATCATTACGTTCCTATAATTTTGTTTTTAAAAAATATATGATTAATTTGAATTTTAAATGATTTAAAAAATAACCAACCTTTTCGGTAAGCAATATCAACAAATGACGGAAAATGCTAATTAAATCCATAAACAAAAGGATTGAATGACTAGAATATAAAAGATTAGATTAGAAAGGTCTGTGATATATGAATGCAAATAGAGAAACACTTACCCAATGTAATCGGTATCGCCACGAAGACGTTTCTCAATGATGAATGCCGTATCATAGATGACAAATGCACACATAATGGCAAATGCAATATAAACATAAGCCTAAAAATGGATAATCAGTAATTTTATAATTTATCGAATCTAAAATACACACATACCTTGAACATTAATTGTGATCTGAAGAACAAATTAATCAACGACATGTATGTTAATAATGATAGACCAGAGAATAGGATACCACCATAAAACAATGTTTTACGTCGATCACCATAAATGGCTGAGATGGTGAAACAAGCAAATATCAATGCTGTTGCCATAAATGCCGTCGGTAAGATGCTTGGATTAATATATAATGAATGTTCAATCAATGAACCGAGGCCAAAGCCAGAAAAGAATGAAAAACCAAGCAAATAATTCAAACGTAATGGTTGATTCTTTCCATTATCCGGTGTTGAATACAATGCAATGAGTAGACCTGTCATAAAGATAAAATTCAAGAATCCTCCCTAATATGTACGATTAAATTTAGTGATTAGATGATCAAATTTTCACTTACAATAACATTCGAAAGGCTAGTATAAAGATGGACATAACCACCAATAGAAGCCGACAATACCGAAATGGCCAATGTTGAATAGACTTTTTTCAAATGTGTTTGGACTTGTGGCTCCCTATTATAATAAGAAATTAAAACATGTCCAAGTTAAATATTTTAGCATTTTTTCAACGAAAATTTCAAAAACTTACAATCGCCGATCCAATGATGACATGAATGTATCGAATGCGTTTTTTTTTTTTTGTTTTGTTAGTTATCGTGGTGGTTCAATCAAATGAAAATTTTTGGAAACAAAAACAAAAAAATTTCACCAAAATATCGAATAATAATTGATTTTAGATTTGAAAAATTTGAAATTTTATAAACAAATTGTGAAAATCGTAAACAACAAAGTCAAAATGAGTGAGTAAAAAATGATTAGCAAAAAAAAACTTTTATAACACACACACACACAAAACCGCTATATATTGCAATGTAAATTTCATGCGTATTGGGGACGATTGTTTATATTTTTCTATTACACGTACCAACAACAATATTTCTCATCATCATCATGCAATGAAAAGTCATCATTTCAATTACAGGCAACGCCATCTATCGGTTTCAGATTTACACAATTCGAATTTTCAAGAATTTTCCCGTTTCAATTGTTTATATATCGAATCGAAAAAAATCAATCAATCAATTTTTTTATTTATTATTAATTTTTTTTTTACAAATATGAAAACAAGAGACATGAATTAGAACAGGAATTTTCTATCCGATTGATTAATAATAATAATAATAATAATAATAATAACAATGTGAAAAAGGAAAAGAAAAACATTTAACAAACGACAAAATCAGAATTTGATTTGAATTTTCTCAAAAATGTGTATCGGATCTGATTTGATTGGTGTACAATCTGTGTATGTGAATTTGAAATTGGAATAAATACAAATCAATCAATCAAATCAAATCAAAGAGTCATACACACACACACACACATACACGGATTGATCCGTGAATTTTCTTCATTTAAAAAAATTATTGAACACACTAACACAGACATCGTAGGCAAGAAAAAAAACGATTAATTTGCACTTGAATTTTTATATCAACACAATTCTCGACCAGAGTAATCAATCATCACCATCATCTTGATGTTCAACACCAAACACACATCCTTTTTTTTAGATGAGTACATTTGAGTGTTGTCAAATTTTCAAAATTCATCATCCCAACCGGTAAAATCATCCGGTGGATCAGGATCACGATTTGGTGGATATGTATCAAAATTTGTTGAATCGCATGCACTTTTGATCTGTTGAAATAAATTATCCATGAATCAGCAAATTTTTTAAACATTTAAAACTTACGATAGGAACAAATGGTGGTTTCATTTGGCGTGATTTCAATTGTTCGAAATCAAAATTTTTAAACCAACTTTTTTTTGAATATGAAAAAAATGATTGGTGGGTAATCATGAGACTTGAAAATTTAATTCAATTTACTATATACTTACTCATGATTTTTAATATCATCGATACCACGTTTCTGATATCCAAGACGTTCAGCAGGATTATCTCGACAAAGTTTTTTAATTAATTCAACACCTTCACGTGAAATCGAACGAGGAAAATCGATTGAATCGATACCTTTGAGTATCATGTTGTATGTACGCATTGGATCGGTACCACAAAATGGTGGCCTAATGAATAATTCAAAAAAATTCCGTTAAAAATTGCATGCAAAAGAAAAAAATGTCAAAATAAAAATACTTACGTTCCGGTGAGTAATTCATACATGAGCACACCTAATGACCAATAATCGGCAGAATGATCATGTCCACGATTCAATATGATTTCTGGTGCCACATATTCAGGCCTAATATTGGAAATGAATTATTATTCTTGAAATTTTTTCAAATAGAATACATACGTTCCACAGAATGTCCATGTCTTTCTACCTGGTGGCAATAATCGTTTGGCAAAACCAAAATCTGTCAATTTAGCATAACCAAATGGATCCAGTAACATATTTTCCGGTTTCAAATCACGATAAATAATATTTCTTGTATGAAGATAATCGAATGCTTCGATAGCACAACCAGCATAGAATCGAGCAGTTTTTTCGTCAAAATTTCCTTTATCCCTGAGTATGGTCCATAATTCACCACCAAGGCAAGCTTCCATCAACATGTATAGATATTTGTTATCTAATCAAAAATTGATAAATTTTTCATTTTCAGTTTTTTTTCTTGATTATCAACAGGTGGTGATTTTTTTTTACCTTTAAAAGTTTTATACAATTTGACGATAAAATTACAATTCGATTCAAGCATAATTCGTTTTTCATTTAGAATATGTTGCTGTTGTCTTGTTTCAACAATCTGTGCTTTTTTCATTATTTTCAATGCAAAACTTGTTGAACGATTTTCACTAAGGCTAACCAATTCAACACGTCCAAAACCACCAACACCTAATGTAACTTCAAATTTTAAATCATCCAATTTGAGATGAGCAAATCGTTCGTTTAAACTAAGAAAATCAAATAACATGATCAACAACAATAAAATTAATTTAAAACAAACAAACAAACAAACAAACAAATGAAGAAGAATATGTTGCTTTCCGGAAGCAATATACATACAACAAAAAATGAAAAGGACAAAAATTACCTCACCAACAAGAAGAGGAAGAAGAAGACGAAGAACAAGGGGTTAGTAACAGCGACTAGCAGTTAGTAACAATTACAATTAGTAGTTATATGTAAATTGATAAAATTATAAAAAGTGAAAAAAAAGAGAAAGAGAAAGATATTATTATAGACAGAAAGGCAACCGGAAAATCATCAACAGTCCAGAACAAAAAAAAAAACAATCATTTCCACAAAAAAAAGTCAACATACATTTTACGTTCGCTTATATCCTGATCATATCGTTTTGTTTTGATTTCGTTCAAACCACTGATCAACTGGTTGAATGAACTGGAAAAAACCGAAAAAAAAAAAAAAAAAAAAAGTAGGTCATTAATCATGATGAAAATAGCAACGAAAAAAAAAAATTATAATTAAATCAATTTTACATACGCTCTATCGATGACCAAACAAGTAACTGTTGGTGATTCGGCAATTATATTGGCTGATCGTGTTTCTTCACCTTGTAATGCACGTTCACCGAAAAATTCTCCACGTGTTAATGTTCGAATAAATTTTTCCAATGCCATAGTAGTAGATGTTGTTAGATTCATATTCTGATCACGTGATGGTGATGATAAAACCGTGTTGTTACGATCATTGATAGTAACATTTACTGTTCCCTGATTAATGATGTAAAAAGTATCACCTTTTTCACCTTGTCGTATGATATAATCACCTTTTTTATAGGTAATTTCATCCAATACATTGGCAATTTTCAATACAATTTCATCGGATAATTTCGAAAATGATGGCACTGTTTTGAGGAATTCAATATATTCTTTTTGTTTGAGTAAACCGGAACGCATCATAATAGTACGAAAACATTGTCTTTCAATTGCCCATAATTTACAATCAGTTATGGCTATATATTTGAAATGGGAAAAGAAAAAGAAAAATCGATTATAAAATTACACAAATGGACAATTCAAACAAATAAAACAAACCTTTAACGGTTGCTGTACGAGTACAATTGTATAGGATGGCCAATTCTCCAAACATTTTTTGTGGGCCCATTTTCGATAGAAAACGTCCACCTTTTGTTACTTCCAATGTACCTTCTTCAATAATGTAGACGGCCGAACCAATATCACCTTCTTTAATAATATATAAATCTTTGGCATATTCAACTGGATACATGCAATCGGTAATTTCATCGATTTGAAATTGTTCCAAATTTTTCATAAAATCATTATCCGATATTGCTGCTTTTATTAATTTTTTCGATCTACAATAATTATTTATATTTGTATTCAAATTAATATGGAATAAAGTATTGATTATATAAATAAATAATCGATAAATAATATCAATGATGATTTGATGATAATTATATGACCTATACATTGGCCACATTGATGATGATGACAATTTAGCCAATATTAACAATAAAAACGTTACATTATTCATCATTGTCAATCAAATATATGAATCATCATGATGATCATCATATTCATCATCATCATCAATATTGATTTATTTTGATTTTTGAACAGTTTGATCATTTTGACAATTCTATTCAATCCTATCTTTATAAATTCAAATTGTGTGCTTGTGTGTGTGTGTGTTACATTCGTACTTTGGATTCTATTCAAAAATAGCTATAGAGAGCTCAAATAAATGTCCATCATCATATTAACACCGCCATCATCATCGTATATCATATACCAACACACACGCACGCACACACACACACACACGAATACAGCCGACATTCATTTTCCTTTTTTTTTTATTCATTGATGATGATGATTGATGATTGATGGCAACGACATTCACGAAAAAAAACAACGATGTTCCTTTATATATAAATTCGTTTTATGTTCTTCTCGTGAAAAAAAAAGTGAAATAGAGAAAAATTTCCTGTCATCGTCTGACCACTGAATATTTTAATGAACGTCATCATCAATTATATTATATATTATTTCTATAATCGAAAAAAAAAAAAAAATTTTTTTGTAATCAGGAAAATGGGAACCAAAAAAACAACAACAACAAAAATCTTTATCGATATATTTTGTCATTTAATCTAACAAACTGGAAAAAAAAATTCATGTTCCACGTTATATATATAATGTGATGATGGCTATTTTTTTCCATTCGAATCAATGGTGAAGATCAAAAAAAAAAAAAAAAAAAGAAAAACCCAATAGAAAAAAAAATCATTTTTTTTCGAATCATCAAAATGAATATATCAATCAATCAATAACATTGACAGTATATCAAAGAAAAGGATGAAAAAAAATCAAACACTATTCATTGAATCAATTGATTTGATTTGGTTAATCAAATATTGATATGCAAATCAAACACACACACACACACATTTCATTATCATTAGTTGGCTAAGGTCGAATCATCATTATATACCATCATGTGTGTGTGTGTGTGTGTGTGTGTATATGGCATCAAACTTACGTTTCGGTTTTAGGATAATTTGTAAATTTAGTCTTTAATAATTCATCATATGTTAATGATGATTCTGGTTCAGCCGATATACCCATAAGACGATTTTTTCTTGGTTTTTGCATACCAAATCTAGTTGTTGTCATCATCATTAATGGATCAATGGAATGATGTAATTGATGATGAAGTGATCCAGTAGACAATGGCGATGTCATTGTTGCCGATGATGATGATAATGATGTTGATGATGAACCTGGTATTGGAGAAAATGTAGACATTGGACCAGTACCAGCAGGCGATAGATAGCCATCATACATTGATAAAACAGATTTATATTTATCCACCTGTGATCGTAAATCATTGATTAGATCATCTTTTTCCTGTAATTGTTTATGTAATAATTGTATTTGGTTTTGTAATGATTCAATTGTTAATGGCTGTGATTTTGCTATTGATTGGCATTGTTGTTGTTGTTGTGTTGTTGAGCATTATGAGGCTGTTCATCTTCATCCATCATCATGATGGCCGATGTATTTGTTGATGTCATCAATGATGACATTATTGTTGTACGTAATGAACGATATAATAAAAATAATAGATGGCCAATTGATTGTGTTAGCTGTAATTCGGTGATTGTCACCCGTAGGTCGATCAATCGAGCCGATATTTTGGCCCAAAATAATTCAATCTTGGATGTAATGATGACGGTTTCAATCAATTCAATTTAATCACAATTTTAAACACACACACACACACACACAAAATTTTTACAATTAAAAGTTTTATAATAAAAAAAAATTTGAAATTCTCATCAAAATCAGCATATCATGATGATGATGATGATGATTATGATTATGATTATGATGATGATCAAATGTTGAAATGTTCGCACATCTTTATGAATATAGCAGTTGAATTTTTGTTTTTTTTTACGAAAAACAACAACAACAAAAAAAATAACGAAAGGATTGATTGATTGATTGAATGATGATTGATTTTTTTTTGTATCGAAAAAAAAAAATCTTCCAGTAACAACACTATTTTATTTACTCTCTATCTATCTAGTTAATTTCAATCCATATGACCACAATGATGAACACATATATATTCGAAGAAAATTAATGGCACCAGACAAAAAAAAACCATACACACACAAAGAGAGTGGAGAATGAGAATGAATGAAGCAAACAAAAAAAAAAAATTTTTTTTTTTTTTGATCGGAAATCAGCATATCAGGCATCACATATACACACACACATATATATCGAATATTTGTATATCATACCATCATGGACACACAAAACCAAAAAAAAAAAAAACTAAGGAAGATGACAAAAAATGTATATCAGGATTTTTTTTTTGATTCGATGATTTCGACAAACGTTTTTTTTCTTTTTCTTCTTCTTCTTTCCAATCAAGATTCAAACAATCATATACCGCGATCATGTCTTCGAATTTTTTTTTTATTTCACTATAGTTTTCGTCTTCGTTTGATTTGATAAATAATAAAAAAATTTTTCTTTCTTTTCCTGTGTATTCGCGTCTTCAATTCGTTTTAGTAGTCGTCGTCGTCGTTGTTGTTGTTGTTGTTGTTCTGTATTTTGGCTTAGTGATTGAGCTATGATGATATTTTTGGTTATTATTTTTTTTTATCATTAATTGTCGTTATCACATTTAAACAAAAAGAAAAATGGCAGAAAAAAAATCACTAAAAGCCTTGTAATATCCTTATTATATTATTATTATTTTCATTATTGAATGGAGACAATTAAAAATCATTTGATTTTTGTGATGGTTAAAGTTAGTATCTTGATTTGAACACGATTTGATAATTAATGGATTGTTTCAACATCGAAAAAATTGAAAAAAACAAATTTTTTTTCAATTTTGATACACAATCAATTGAAATAATCGATTTTTGAGTAACTAGAGATAAAAAAAAGAGAAAGAAAATGAATAAATCAATTTTGGTTTTTTTTATTTGAAATTCAATCAAAATAATCAGCTACCCATAGATATATAGTAGTTGAAAATAACGGTAAATCACACAATGTGTACCGTAAGAAAAAAAAGGTTCCAGTGAAAAAAAAAAAACAGGACACGGGATGAATTTTCGTTCGAATCTGTAGATGATTTGATGATGATGATGGTGAAGATGTTCACTTTGGGTTAAAAAATCTTTAAGATTTTTCTTTTTTACAGTTTGATGCCTCGTATTGCAATTAATAAGAAAGACTACGAATAATACATTGGTACATTCGGTACATTTATCAATATGTGTAAATGTGTGTGTGTTTCTATTTCTCTCTCTCTCTCTCTATCATTCATTTGGTTTGTATTGTTGAATGAAATTTTCTTCTATTTTTTTTCTCTGCTATACAGATGCAATTTATATATTGAGTTGTATGTATATTTTGTCGATATATTGTTTGACTATATTGGCTGACGATGTAAACGATTCATTAGGATGATGATGATGATCCTCTTGCAGGATTTGAGGATCCATCAATGAAGATCATTGATATATCGCAACAAAACTAAATAACAACAACAACAACAACAAAAAAAACAACCACTATCATCATCATCATTAAAAAACAAAAACAACTAGTTGCATGTGATCATCATCATCATCAAAATATTTACGCGTATCATAAATAAATACAGATGTTTAACAAATACGTCCTTTTTGGATAATCAATTTTAATGTTTTGAATTTGCGATATTTTGTTTGTTTGTTTTCGCATTATAATCAATCAAATCATCAATCATCATCATTAATGATAATCTTGAAAACAATTTTAGGAGTATTCTTTCATTCTTTTCATGTGTTATATAATGTTATCACTCTTTCTTTGATTTCATTATGTCATCGGTTGAATCATCGAATGTAAATGATGCAAACAAATGATTTTTGTTTATATTTTGTCTAAATTTTTCTTTTTTTTTCTGTATACAGTTTGATATTGATTTTTCCATTCCATATGTTGCTGAAACGCCCACATTGGCCGAAATCCTTGCCGAAAATCATGATGATATTTTTGAACAAGTTGATCATCTAATTGAACAAGATCTTAGCCTAATAGGTGAAGATCTAGAATTTTCCGGTACCGAATTGTTGGATACAAGTTTAGCAAATGCGGCTATCAACCCATCATTTCATCAGGATCATTCGGCTATTCAGCCGGAAAGTTCATTCAATGTAGTTGAATTAACATTTATAAAAACACAACTTACTCAATCAAAAAGTGATCAAATTGATTCTGGCAATCCAACTGCGTTTGCATTGTCAAAAAAATTCTTGGCAATCGGTACGTTTAATGGCCATATTTTGCTGTTTGAATTAGCCAACGATAGACTAGCTGCGTTTCTAAAACATTCGAAAGAATTTGGTTCTATAACATCTGTCACAATAAATCGAGACTCAACCCGATTGTTAGCCGGTGGTAGCCGTGGTTCAATTTCATTATGGAATATAATCACTTATGAAATGATTCGAGTGATTGACGATCTAAATGACCTTTATAGCTCGATATTGTCCATACACTATCTATCCAATGGACATTTTGTCGTATTAAACGATACGAGTGGATCAATATTCATTATGGATGTGCGGAAGAAAAATTCCAGATTACAATGCGTATTTTCAGGCAGTCGTGGCGAAGCACTTGTATTGAAACCACTTACTTATGATGACATTCCTCATGATCAACCAGAATTCAGCGGTATCGAACAAATTTGTTTGTTAGCTATGGCAACCGTTACGAAGATGATTGTTATTTCATTACGGCCATCTGTTGTTGTACATTTTACCACAACATTACGTTCCACAAATTTAGAATGTTTACCATTGATTGCATGGAATTTGTCATTTAGATATGGTAATGAATATATGCCACTGTTGACATTTGGTCGTCAAAATCAAATTTTCATTCATCGAATGGTTACAGATTTTGTGGAAAAAATCAATTTTATTCCATTATATCAATTTATCACCACTAATTATATGCTACAACATTTAAGTTGGTTTGAAGATGATAAATTACTTGTAATCGATACAGATGAAACTGGACATTTGATCGATGTAATTGTACAGGAAGAAATGGAAAAAATTGATCTAAGTCATATAGAATTAGTTTATGAAAATGCCCATTATAAATCTTTAGTCAATGGTGGCTACGTTAGTCAAGCAATGGCTCAAGCAGGTGAACATGCATGTAATAATTCCATTTGTTTACGAATTATGAACGAAGATTCCAATAAACGTACTAAGAAAAATCAACTCTATATACTGGGAATTCAATCGATTTTTGTCGTAACCTTACGGAATTGGATAGAAAAAGTTAATCATTTAATAAATGATAGTCAAAATTATGATCAGGCATTACAATTCCTGTATGATCAATATGAATCGTATAAAGATCGACCAGATTCTGATTTCGAAAATGTCATTGATCAAGTCATTGAAATGATGAATCAGACATTAACAAGTTATATTCAATCATTAGAACCGAAAAATATGAAACAAACTGAAGATTTGACCAGAGAAATTATTGCCAATCTGATCAAATACATTGTTTGTTTGAAATCCGAACAACGACATATGGCTATATTTGAACTATTCGAACGAATCAATTTGAATCCGAAAATGAAATCAATTTTTATTGAATCACTTGAATCACATATTTTTGATGATCAATTACCATCATTGAATCCGTTAATTGTCAATGAAATGATTGATTATTTAATTGGTAAAGAATGGTATAATCTATTGGATTCATTGATTGTTCATTTGGACATTCAATCATTGGATATTGATCATATAATTCGAATCTATGGCCAATATCATCTGTACGATTCATTTATTTATATCTACACTTGTGCTATGAATGATTTTCTTACACCTTTTGATGAATTGCTTAAATTATTACGAGATTCGATTCAAACAAAATCACAACTTTTATCTAAAACCGACATAATCATTGGAAACAAATTACTCGTCTATTTGAATTGTATGCTTACATGTACGTACTATCCAAACAAAGGTTCTTTGCCCGAAATGCAACAACAAGATCATTTGGAATCTTGTTTCCAACGTCTTATGGCCGTAAATGATGATAATCGATTGGATATAATTGATGTTCTATTTCGATATGATTCAATCGAATTTCTCAATACACTTTTGATTGGATTCGATTATCTTGATAGTCATCATTCAAATTTATGTTATTTCAAACAGATTGTAATCGATAAAATGCTTGCCTTTATTGTCGAACAAAATACAACCGATTTCAATGATGATCATCGAAATTCATTTTTCATATTCCTTGGCCGATGCTGTATTTCAACGCAGTCATCATCACATGATTCGATCAAAATAATTGATGATCATTTCAATCAAATGATTGATTCATTGTTTGCGGCAAGTTCGAATAAACGTTTCGAAGAACGACAACAAATTCTTATTCAACTTTTTCGGAATCGTCCTTGGAATCAACGTCTAAATGCAGAGAATTTTCTACAAAAAGCACAAACAAGTCGAATGTATAAAATTTGTGAACAAATCTATCGTGATCGTCGTGATTGGATTAATCTGTTTCGTATACATGTTGATGATTCCAGTAAACATGATGAAATTTTTAATTTTATCGATTTGATTATCACTCAGGATGATAGATTTTTCAATTTACAACAATCCACTGATAATTGGAACAAAAGTGATTTTCTAAATACCGTATTTGAACAGTTTTGTTTTTTGATCCAAATAGATCATCGAAAATCTGCTCAACTTTTTTATCAATTTGTTGAACAATGTGATGGACTTTTTAATATAATTATTTGTCAACTTGAAAGTGATCCATATCGTCATTATCAATTTCTTCGACAAATTATGGTCGAATTTAATCAGAACAATAATGATGAATCAAATGTAGTGAATAAACCGAAAATATTGGAACAGATTTGTAATGATGGAAAAAATCAAGATATTTTCCTTGAATTATGTCTACAATTTGAACCTGAACAAATTGTTTCAATGTTTCAACTATTGAAAAATTATGATCAAATAAAAATGTTGGAAATTTGTCATGAATCACAATCATATGATGGCCAAGCATTCTTGTTGGAATCGATGAAACAATATGTAAAATCATTTGAAGTTTTATTCGATCAATTTCGAAAATCATTGGATGATATTGTCCATATGGATCGCTTTTTAGTTAATGTCGAAGATAATGAATGTGCAATGAAAAATTTTCAAAAAATTCTTGAATTTTGTGATCGTCATCATGATCATGATAAACCTGAAATGTATTGGCTTAAGCTACTTGAATATCTTATATTCATAAAGTCTGGTTGTCAACAACAACAACAACAACAAATATCGGCGAAACAAAATCATCATCATCATCATCATCATCAAAACGTCGTGAAATGGCTGGACAAATTGAATTGAACAAAATATTGAATCAATTATTCGAGACACTTATAAGTGAAATGCTTACTCATTTGAATTTGGTTCTATTTTTAGATATAATTATGGAAAAAATTCTCAAACAATCCGATACAATATGTGATTTTCGTGAAATGCTTCTATGTATATTGGAGAATTATAATTATGAAAAAATTCTATTAGAATTAACAACTAATATCCTGTCGGTTGAACATCGTCAACTTATTGAACAATTTCGACGATTAAAATTTCGTTCAAAAATATTTCGTCGTTCAATGATTCATTGTGAATTATGTGATGATAATGAAAATAATAATAATGATGATGATGTTGATGATGGTGAAAAATTTGTTACATTCCATAATTGTGATCATATTGTTCATTGGACATGTTTACAACGATACACAAACAATCAAACTAATAATTGTCCATTTTGTCATCATATAATACAACAACAGACTAGTCGAAATTATGATAAAACATTTAGCAAACATCAGAAAAATCAAAATAATCATCAGCCAATATTTAATGATATTCAATTGAGAATTTTAAATCAAATTCATCATGGTCGATTAAAATCATTGATGATTCATAAACAAAGACAACATCATAGATCATCACCATCTAAATCGAATAATTCAAGAACAATATTATCACCATTTAAATAAAAATTATTATTATTCATTTATTTTTTTGTTGTTGTTTTTGTTGCCATTTAAAAAAAAAATTAATAAATTCATTTTTACATTAAATTTTCATTATTTGTCTGTGTGTGTGTGTGTGTGTGTGTGTGTGTGCGTACGTTTAAATTCGACATAATGATTTATTCTGTTGCTGAATCCATGCAATAGGTATCCATGTTGGTTTCATTTCAACCATTCGTACTGTATCAAGCAGTAGATTAAATGTTTCCTTGAGATCATCATTGATCAATGTGGTATCAAATTTATGGCCATACAATATTTGTAATTTATGTGATTCATATATCATTAGATGCATTTCATATGCAAATCGTTGTTTAGATTTTCGTTGACTATATTGACTACTAACAGAATCTGAATGATCATAATAATTACGACTTCTTGTTTCAATCAATCGATCCAGGTCATATGGTGGCTGTATGAATATAATGTATGGTTTGAATTCAGCTGTATGAACTAGTCGTAAAAATTGAGCATCCATTTTGAATATGCAAACAGCACCAGCATCGACAATCTGTTTGATTGTATCTCGATGTAGACCATAATAATTGCCACGATATTTTGAATAACAAACAAAATTACCTGTTTGTATTTCATGTTCCATCCAATCTTCATTGACAAAATAATAATCGATAGAATCATTTTCCTGAAATCGTTTATAACGTGTTGTATGAGCTAATGGTTCACGATATCGATTAGGATTTTGTTGACATAATAAACTAATCAGTAATGAACATCCAACACCAGAAGGACCAACCAAAACAATAGGACGACAATGATCTGAACGTGGAAAATATCTGGCCACTGGTTCATATGTACTGATCTCTTCACGATCATAGCGGATACAATCACTTAAATCATACATGATTTTTTTGATTTTCTGTGCACACCATTTATTCTTACGAAATGGAAGTGGCAATAATCCACCAAGAATATGTATATAACGTTCACGATCAAGTTGACTTTTAATGTCACGAATGGCAACGATTCGTCGTTCTTGTAATCTTTTGAAGGAATCAGACCGGCTATTTGAAATATTTCCATTCGTGATTTACTTGATAATTCAATCTGTTTACTTGCTTGCCACCAATTGGCATCGTCTTTATTCAAAACATTCAGGATGCTACCTTTATCGAATGCCAATCCTATGGATGGACAAGGAATCTGTGGATCTTGTTCTGGTTTGTAATCGAAACATGCTTTTACCAGATAGGATTTTAAAGCCTGACTATTGGCGGTAGAATCGAATGATGGTTGCCTGTTCATGGCAACAATTTTTAACGTTATAATCGTTTTCATTGATTCACGTTGCAATATGTTTATCACATCTAAATGTGAACGGCCACGTAATGGAATTCCATTCACTTCGAGAATATGATCACCAACTTGTACGAGACCACTTCGATAGGCTGCTCCGCCGACCAATATTCTTGCAAGAATAATGTCACCAGTTCGTTCATCAAATCGAACTGTTACACCCAATGGTTCATCACTTTTGATGACTTGTATGATTTTTTGACAAGGTCGACGTTTTTTTCTTGGCGTTGAATATACCAATGTGGTTGTGGCAGTGGGCATTTTTAGTTTCATGGTTTTGGCAGAGGTAATATCGAGAAATGTTTCCAATTTGGCAGTGTCATAGTTTTCAAGATTTTCAATAATTTTTAAATTACTTTTACTGGTGTTATCGAGAATCATTTCAAGATTGGCAAATATTTCAACATCAAATATTTGACGGGCAACACAATCGACCACTTGCATGAGAGCAAGCAGATGTGGCCGTTGTAATAATTGGCACAATTGATCACATTCGGAAATCCATTCTTGTCGTAATGATACGAGAATTTGTTCAATTAATGTATTGATCGGTATCAATGATGATGATGATGATGATGACGATGTTGATACCGATAATTTTGACGATTGTTTTGATGATGACAATAGCAGTGGTGGTGGTGATGATTGGTTATCGTCCATATTCATTGTACGTGATTACGTTTTTAAATCACATGATGATTGACAATGAAAAAAAAAAATTTTTGGTCCAATATAATTGAGATGGAGATGTTGATCATCATCATCAACGCAGACATATAAATACAAACATAAACACAATTGCATTCAGAGAACATTCTGCTCATGTCCGAGCGTTCCATTTGGAACATTTGGAATATATTCTCGTATAGAAATAGAGTACTTGCCATCACGCATACAGTGTTCCATGAATTATTTGTTTGAACTGGCGATTCTATTATACAAATTCAAATCAAAATCATGTGATTCATGAATTAATAAACTGTTCATATAATACGTCATTTTCTTTTTCCTGTGTTCGATGTAAATATCGATCGATGAATCGATTACAATTCAAGCCTAAAGGTATGGCCAAAAAAAAAAAAAAAATAAAAACAATTTTCTCATGATCATTATAAACAATAATAATAATAATAATTTTTTCTGGTTTTTCAGAATTTTTTTTCCCAAAATTATAATAATTTTCCAGGTCCATTGTGTGTGATGAATATTTTAATTGACCATTGCTATTGTTATTTGTGAAAAGAGAAACAAAAAACAATATTTTTTCAGCAATAAATGTCCACATTTGAAAAAATAGAAATAGAAGAAGAGAATGCTAAAACTGCACTGTAGAAGAAAAAAAAATGATTGTCGACCTTGTTATAAAGAAAAAAAGACGAAGCAAAGAAAAAAAATTGAGCTAAAATCAAATGAACTTGAATGATGAAGATTTTTTTTTTCGTTTGACTTCATTCTTTCAATGAGATAGTCTCGAATGTGAATGGTCGAAAAGAGAACGTGAAATGAAATTTAGAAAAAAAAAGAAAGACTGGCTATTCTTTCAAAAAAAATGATTGGCCTCTTTTAGTCGCTTCGATGGCCACCACCACCACCACCACCACCACCACCACCACCATCATCATCATCATCATCAAAACAAAGACATTGGAGAATGTAACCAATGTCTGAAACGAGAAAAAAAAATTACTCCAATCATCTTAGACTATCTCAGGTAAATATTTCTTTCTTTTTTTTCTCATTTTACAGTCGTCCAACAACTTTGATTGACTCTTAAACTTGCTATAGTATAGTATTTTTGCTGTTGTTGATCATCAAAGATTTCTTTCTCTCTCTCTCTCGTCTAATGTCTCTCTTTGCTTTACTTTTATCGATCAATGACTTGTAGAACCGAAATTATTTGTGGCTGTACATTTTATTTAGATAGAATGGTCCACAAAGTAGCTCATCGTTTGAAAAAAAAACAACTATGGGCAAAACCCGAATAAACCGAACATTCGATGATGATGATGGTGGTGGTCGAATACCTTTCTCTATAATAATAACAATGTAATGGCCACTCAATGAATCGAACAACACCAACAACAACAAGCCTCAAGCAGCATCATTCTCGAAATAGTTTGATTTGAACATTGAAACAAAAAAACAAAAATTTTCGCTTTCGTCCGTGTATGTGCGTGTGTGTGTGTATACATGATACCCGGATCTCAATTTTTTTCGGGCCGAAAATAAACCAAAAACAATCTTCATTGACAAATGTTTTCAATCAAAAATGTGAATGATTAAATTCTATGGCCTGTCATCTATGATTTATTAATTTAAATTCATCATTTGAAAATTTCATCAACATTTGATTAACATAATTTAACACAAAACAACAAAACAACAACAACAACAACAACAAAATAATTATTCATGTATTCATCATCTGTTGTACTTATGGAACGTTGTGGCCATCATAATGCTGATGATCATGATCATGATCATGATGATGAAATGATCATTATACAGAAAACAACAAAGATGAAAATGAAACGAAAATTATCAAATAAATTCATTAAATGGTCAAATAAGACCAACAACACCATCAACACCACCGACGCCACCACATTATTATCAAAAAGTTATTTTCAATCATCATTAACAACAATAACAAGGTTTGATTATATTACTACCAGAATCATCAGTATCATCATCTGTATTATAATCGCATGTTTATCATCATTACCATTGATTGTTTCAGGTAAATATAAAAATCCATTCATGGTGTCAATGATCGAAATGAATAGAGGGGAAAACCGACATATGAAAAAAAAACATTTGCCATTTGATTTTATTTTGTATTGCCCGAAGCGAATGTGAATTATTTTTTGTTTTGTTGCAATCGATCGTAATATGTCAAAATGTCGAAATGTTAACCCGAGTTTGAAATCTGAGAATTTTTTTTTCTTTTGCAAATGTTTTCAATTGGTTTTTCATTTTTTTTCTTGAATACACTACATATATATAGCATTCAATAGTCCACCGGTATTTGATTTTAAACGAGAAATATTCGTGTCCGAAAATACACCTGTCGGTATGTATGATTGATTGATTTATTATATAAATATGAATCCTTCTAATCTCTAATTTTTATCGCCAACATAGGTCAAATGGTAACGATGGTACGTACGATCGATAAGGAAAAAGATATAATCACCTATGGTATTGATCCGGCACATTGGAATGATGGATCAAAATATTTTCGTATCGATGAAAAAACTGGACAGATTTTTGTACGGGAATCATTAGCTGGTCAGGTAAGAAAAATTTTTTTTTTTTGATTATCGATTATATCGATATGTTTGCTTGCATGAGTGTGTGTGTGTGTGTGTGTGTGTGTGTGTGAAATCGGTTCGATATTATCAGATTAATTTTTTTCCCATTATCCAATTGGTTTTTTTTTCATTAAGATTTGACGTTATGTTCACGATCTGTTTCGTCGTTCATATAACAACTTGAACTTGATATTTACAATCTGTTACAGATCAAAGATTTTCTGTTTTTCTAACCATTCTAATTTTTTTTTGTTGTTTGTTGTTGTTGGGAATTTCCTTATCATCGAATTGATGATAAATTTAAGCCAAGTCCATTTCATCCTTGTTCTACCAATTTATTCAGATATCATAATATGGCGATGGTGGTTGATAGCTTAACCACCATGATCGTCATATTATAACTAGGTTTCCAGAACTTGTGACAAAAATAACTTTTTTTTTCTTCTGGGAAAATCATCCTGTAAATTTTGATGATTGGTAATAGCAAAGACAAACAGACGACTGCTTTTTTTTCATACTTAGTTAGAGGTCTTGAATTTGAAAAAAAACGTTAAATGAATAGAAAAAAAAACAAGTTGAGAGAGACCTACTTAATTTTTTTTCTTTTCATCTTCAATTCATCACCAACCAGATTGGCAAATATGTCTCCCATTATATCCCGAATCTTTATTTCTTTTTTTTTCTCTCTTGAATAATGATCATCATCATCATCATTAATATAGCTTTCTCTTCAAACTCTTTTTTTTCTGTTGTATGTATTTATATGATCATCTTCTTGATGATATGGCCATCGAATCAAATGACGATATATGTGTGTGTGTGTGTGTGTGTGTGTGTAATTGCAAACTAAAAATAGAATTTCGATTTCAATTCAAATATACATAATATGAATTGAGGCCATATAATAGATAAGCTATATAGATGGGTTGCCAATCTAGCTTTAATCAAAATCAAATCGTGATTCAATTGCGGTTGATGTTTGGTCATCATCATCATTGACGCATCTGGTATATACCGAAAAATTGATCAAAAAAAAAAAAAACAAGAAAAGGTGTAACCTAATTTATTTTCATATATAACAAACATAGGTAATCATAATAATAATAATCATACCTGATTGCGATAAAAGAGGCGAAGGGTGGTAGCGATGATGGTGTAAATAATAATCAATGATGATGATGATGATAAGGGTTAAACAACAACAACAACAAGTCTGGAAAAAAGCTTTTATAGAATATCACCTCTTTTTTTTATCAAAATGGATTTTTTGTTTTGTTTTGTTTTTTTTTCTCGCTTCCTTGTCGAATCATCGTGATTTGACCTGAATTTTTTTTATCGTTGAACTTATTTTTCCGTTCTTTTTTCGAATGACTCCCTTTCTCAGTTAGAGAGTCAATCACAAATAATAAATAATGCTAATGTCTCCAACCTCAATATTATTAGCTATTGTGTTTTGTTTGATGGTGTTTTGTTCTAATTTTTAATTTTTTTTTAACCATTTGAATCAGGGTGGAAATTTTCTCAACATGTACATCAAAGCCAATGATGGCCATCAGACTGTAAGTTGTTTTTTTTTCTTGAGAAAAAAATTCATTTGAATTTTTTTTTTTTTTTTGTTTTGATAGGCCAAAATTGAAGCTGTAATCAGTGTATCTAAAGCCACTGACAAAGGTCAAATTGTTCATTTTCCCGATATTCATTTGCCACCATCACAGATTTTCAATACAAATAATATTCTTATGAACAAAACTGAAACAAGACCTTATCATCCACCCACACCTAAAGATGTTCCATTGGAAACGTTAAGACCACAACGAAAACAAAGGCCACCAATAACCAAATTGAATACATTCAATAATCGAGTAAAAAATGAAACTAAAAATCAACAATCAATAACTGTTAAACCAGATGTAGTAGATCATCGTGATGATCATTATGAACAGATGCCTACGGAAGATAAGCCACATAGACATTCATCATTACTTACCGATATTCTGTGGCCAATAGGACCATACATTCTTGTCAGTATATTCGTACCGACCTTATGTCTAATATTCTGGTGTTGGATACATAAACGTAGTATGCCCAGTCGTAATGCAATAAAAACATTTTCACATAAAATTATCAACAATAATAAATCGAAAGTATCGAAACAACTACCAGTTCTTTTACCGGCGATTTCGATGTTTCATTATTCAAAAATAGTGGACGTCAATTCCATGAAACAAGTGCCGATAGCGGTATGGGTATTTCTAGAATTTCAAATCAATGGGAATTTCCTAGACATCATCTACGATTCATGCACATTCTTGGTCAAGGTTGTTTTGGTCAAGTTTGGAAATGTGAAGCATTCAATGGTAATCAAACTGCAGCAACACAAACACAAATTGTAGCCGTAAAAACATTGAAAGAAAATGCTGGTGAAAAAGAAAAACGTGATCTACTTGATGAATTGCAAGTGATGAAAATACTTGATCCACATCCAAATGTTGTTACATTGATTGCTTGTTGTACGGAACGTGATCCAGTCTATTTGATAATGGAATATGTACCATATGGTAAATTGCAAAAATATCTGGCCGATAGTCGTGAAGATATTGCCTATGGTAGTAAACAACCACATGAAAAACTTGAATCACATGATCTGATTTCATTTGCATATCAGATTGCCAAAGGAATGGAATATCTATCTTCCAAAGGCGTAAGTTTTGAATTGATCAAGTCCATACGGATTGTCATTTTTTTTCATCCATAATTTTCATTCATATAGATTATACATCGTGATCTCGCCGCACGAAACATTCTTGTTGGTCATAATAAAATATGTAAAATTGCCGATTTCGGTCTAGCCAAATATAATCAGGAAATCTATGAACGTAAATCTGAGGTAAGTCATTAACAGAAATGATTTCTAAATGATGTTGACCTACATACATTTCTGTCTCTTTATATGATAGGGTCGTTTACCAATTCGATGGATGGCAATCGAATCATTGAAAGATTTCATTTTTACAACCAAAAGTGATGTATGGAGTTTTGGTATTCTAATGTGGGAAATTGTAACATTAGGATGTACACCATATCCTGGTTGGACTGCATCCGAAGTAATCAAAAAAGTTAGTGAAGGTTATCGATTAGAAAAACCTGAACATTGTAAACGTGAAATGTATAATATAATGTACTATTGTTGGGATCGTAATCCTCATCATCGACCATCATTCAGTGAATTAGTATGTCTATTAGATAATCTATTCGGTAGTGATGATGAATATGTTGAATTGGATAGATTTCCTGATCATTGTTATTATAATCTATTGAAACCACCGGGTTGTAATAATGGAAATTCTGGTGAAAAATTGTGATCACACACACATACACACACATTCCTTGTTGATTAATGAACACATTCATAAATGGCATGGTTATATATACTTAATATAGTTCCCGATTTTTATTTTATTTTTTTTCTGTTTTCTTTTTTTATAAATTGTTGTAAATATATTTTAAAATAATCGAATCATGCATTTTTATTTATTAATTTTCATAAGAAAAAAAAATTTGATCAATCAAATTAAAACATTATTTTTTTTTTTGATGAAAAAAGTGCTCATTTTTTCTTCGATGTAAGACCAGCACCAGCATTGAATTTAAACAGAATAATATCACCATCTTCAACAATATAATTACGGCCTTGTTGTCGATATTTTCCAGCAGCTTTCACTGCAGATTCACTACCATGTTCTTTGAAATCATCGAATTTCATCACTTCAGCCATAATGAAACCTTTTTCAAAATCAGTATGTATACGGCCAGCTGCTTGTGGTGCTTTGGTTCCTTTTTGGATGGTCCATGCTTTCACTTCATCTTTACCGGCAGTAAAAAAATAAATCAATTGCAATGCCTTATAACCGGTGACGATAATTTTGTTCAATGCACTAAATGATTAATTTTAGAATATCAGAATTAGATTAAACTTATTAGGAATGGAAAACGATGGCAGCTTACCTTTGACATTTATTCAATTCACAAAATGATTTTCGTTCATCTTCACTTAGTTCCAACAATTTATTTTCAAACAGGCCACTAAATGGTATCAATACTGCATGTGAATCATGTTCATCGATCCATTCTTTAATCTTAATAAGCCATTTATTCTTTTTACGTATGTAATCTTTTTCCGATAAATTGACCAAATAGATCATTGGTTTCGATGTTATGAACAGATATTTATTAAGAATTTCAATCTCATTCGCATTCCAATCACCAAAACGAATATGTCTTTTTTGATCGACCAAAAATTGTTTAATTTTCATTAAAATGTCCTATAGGTTTGTTTCGAAATTATTAATATTAATATTAATATAAATCTGTATGATTCATCTTACATATTCAGCTTTGTCTTTTTTATCACCACGTTCAACAAATCGACGAAGTTTTTCAATCACCGAATTCAATAGTTCTTCATCTTTGAGCCGTAATTCTTCATTAATGATTTCGATATCTCGTACTGGATTAACATCACCTTCTACATGTGTAACATCATCATCTTCGAATGCACGACAAAGATGAAATATGGCATCACAAGCTTTAATGTGTGATAGAAAAGCATTGCCTAGGCCTTGTCCTTCGCTAGCTCCTTTCACTAGGCCAGCAATGTCCACTACGTTTAAAAACGCTGGAACTTTACTGTGAATGAAATGGGAAATTAGAAATATTGACAATTGGAAATTTTACATCATACCTGGCTGGTTTGTGATATTCACAAAGAAAATCGAATCGTTCATCCGGGACTGGAACTCGACGTAAAAGGAAAACAAAAAATAAAACAAGTAGAAATATATGATCGAAAATGAATTAAAAAAAGTGATACTTATTTTCATTTGGATCAATAGTACAAAAGGGAAAATTCTCCGCTGCCGCTTGACTTTTGGTGAGAACATTGAAGAATGTTGATTTACCAACATTTGGAACGCCGACAATGCCAACTTTAAGATTGGTTGCCATACGACCCAACAATAGAACCACATCATTTGAATCTTTTTGATCTTTTTTCGGTGGCATTTTTTTTTGGCTATTTTTTTAGTGTTTAAATTTGATAAAAAAGTAAAATTTTTTTTTTAAATTCGTCTGTAATCAACGATGATTTGATTTCGTGGCCAACATGTGATCGATTTATTATTGATACAATAGTAGTATCATCGTAAACTTTCACGATACAAACTAACAATGATAAATGGAATATTTTACATTTTTGTCCACTATGTGGCAGCATATTATCATTGTGAATGATTCGAACAATCAAAGCTGATATATATTGGTGAATTTGAAAAAAAATGATCAATTCTATGGAATTCTACTGGAAAATGTACTTATTACCATTATGATGATCGTTTTGGTTTGTTTCATTGTTTTTTTCCATTTCATTTTCAATTTCACTAACTCATTCATTCATTTAGTCCATTTCATTGATTAGTTTTTCGTTTCCATGAAATGCTACGAAAAAAAAAATTTTTTTTATGCTGTAAAATAAACGACAACAATCGTATTTTGGAACAAATTTTCGGCTGTTTGATCATTTTGAAAAAAAACGTTGCATTACCATTCGAGTTTTTGAATGAATGAATGAATTGTCATATTTGTGTTAGTTATCGTTCTCTATAATTATTCTCGGGTAAGTAGAAAAAAAAATTTTTATTTTCAAGCGATGATTGTGTGTGTGTGTGTGTATGTGCATGTGTGTCCTACGTGAATTGGCACGGTTCTTACCCGTAGTATGTAATTAAAACTTGTTGTTCACATTTTTTTATTTCGTTCCGTTCGGCAGCACCACCACCACCACCACCACCATCAACCATCAACCATCAACCATCATCATCAATATACTACAAGTCTTTAATTTTGCGACATTCAAAAAAATGGCCCCTTTACTTAACTGGAGCTTGGAATATGGATAACTATGATGATGATGACGATGATGACGATAATGATGGTAATGTACCGAAAGATAAAAAGTCAACGTCAACGTTTAGCCACCAGAAATCCCTTTCAAATGAACTATTAAGTTTTTTTTTCTCCCATTCAAAAACAATGTGGAACCAAACACGATGGATAATGATCGAAACAAAAATGGAATGAATTTTGGGTTGACGTTCGAAAATGTTCGAAAAAAAAAATTAAAACAAGCTAATAATCATCAGTGAAGAATAAGACAAAGAAATAGAAACAATATGGCTACTTTTTTTCCACCCTAATCATTATCATCATCGTTGAGTTGTTATTACTCTATTATGGCCATTTATAAATTATAATACCGCCTTCGAAACTCTAATGAAACCAGAAACAGAAACAAAAAATCTTCAACTAAATCGAACAAATGAAAACGTTAAAGATTTCCGTTTATTGAAAACAAAATCAATGGTCAGAATGAAAATGAAAAGTGAACAAGAAGAGAAAAAAAGTTATATTCTGGTCAACAGAAATAATAAAAAAAAAATGTGACATGACATTCAGAGCTCTATGGTTGCAATGCATTAATTATACCAGCCGTTTTTGTTGTTTTTGTTGTTGTTGTTGCCATCATGCCAACCAGAATATTGAACATGAATGAATCGACAATAATAGTAATGACGACATTGTTATTGAATGGCTGATTATTTTTGTTTGTTCATCATCATCATCATCATCATCATCACTGGTTTTTTTTTTTTGGTTTGTATGTGTGTTCCTCTTGATGACCAGATTGATCATTTTGTCAAATCTGTCGTTTTTTTCTTTTTTGGTTAATCGACAAATCAGACCGGATCGATTCAATTATTCTGCAAATGGTTCTATTAGTAGTCGTTGTCGTTGTTGTTGTTTGATTTCGAAAAGTTTTTTTTTGTTCGTTCATCATTGATGATTCTGAAAATTGAATAAAATTATCATCAATTTTCCTATATACTGACTGTGAATAGAATACATGAATGAATGAATCGAACAAAAAAAAAACTCATAAAATCCAAAGAGAATGAATGCATTCACCAAATGTTGATTCAAATTCGTTTCGGTTGCAATATATTATTGACGCACTGTATAATGGCCATAAGAATCCAGACTTTTTTTTTGGCCATCCAACAAAACGATCTATTAACCACCACACCATCAACAAACAAGAAAAATGAATGGCCAATCCGAATTTCTATCATTATTAATCGGCAATAAATCGGCAAATCAACATCCAAAATGGCCATAATGATGTTAATAATAATAATAATAATAATAATTCAAAATCATTGGAATGTCGAAGAATAAAAAAAAGGAATTTTGTTTTTTTTAGTGGCCATTTTGCATGCAATTTGCCAGAGCTCATCTTCATCATCATCATCATCATCATAGATGATCATTAAGAAGAATCAAGTGTCAAAACCGTATGATGAAATCCACATAAAATACAATAACCAAAAAAAAAACTTTTGATGAACTTTTTGCGTGTCATAACCGCAAAGAATTTTTTTTTTTGTTGGTGGTGGCCGGCCATTTTTTTCGGAATGAATTGAAACGTTCAAATATCAAAAATGATGATTGACCAGAAAAATGAAAAAAAACAACACATCCGATTTGTTCATTGAATACAAAAAAAACCAAGTTGCTACTACCATCAGATTGGATTAGAAAGAAAAAAAAAACGATTTAAAATCAACACAATCATCATCATTGCAGTTAATCAAAACAAAGAAAAAATGAATGAATGAATGAAAATTCTATCAGAACATCAATAAATCCATTCAAAAAACAAAAATGGATTTGTTCAATTTTCGTGTTTCATCTGGTAAATCATCATGATTATCTTGGCAATTCTATTTTTTTTTTTTTTTATATACGACTAAAATCTGATCATTTGATTTCTGGTATTGTATAGTGGTAAGGACCGATTATTGTCTATGGAACCAAATGCACACACAAACACAATTTACCTGTATATATTTATTTATGATGATGATGTTTATTTGTACATGGAACTTGCGTGACATAGGTTAATTGTAAAAATAGCCATATTGTTGTTGATGATGATGATGATGTCATTTTGTCTATTTAGGTTTTTTTTTATATCTCTTGTTGATTTGTGATGTGATTTTCATCATCATTCATTTAATTGTGTGTGTGTGTGTTTGTTTGTTTGTGTGTTTGTTTGTTTGTGGTAAACATAAATATGTTTTTTTTTCTCCTTCCACACATCCATAATGTCTATTTACAAAGAAAAAAAAACCAAATCAAATCAAATAAACAAAATGACAAACAAAACAACCAGCAAACAATGTGAATGAAAAACAATTGGTACACCACCATAAACATATTCGACCTAGAAACATTAAAATTGTTTCAAGGACAAAATTTCAACAACTGAAAGAAACATTAAAATTGTTTCAAGGACAAAATTTCAACAACTGAAAGCCGACACACACACACACACACACACATACCTTGCGGCCAAATTGTTCCAAGTTGTTTAATTTACTCATTCGAATCGAATTTTGTTTTTTTTTTTGAATTTTTTTTTCTGTCTGTTAGGTCGGTCGGTCGGTCGGTCGGTATGTCGAATTCAAAAAGTCAAATTCTGTTTTTGTTGTCCATAATAAGTCGATTATTAATGTCTTTTTTTTCGTTTACCTCTTTTTTTTCTGAATTGATTGAAAATCATTTCAGAAACATGTCAGTGTCAGTCAATGGATAGTAGTGGTGGCGGCGGCGGCGGCGGCCGCTGCTCTGAGCGTCCACAATGAAACTGACAAGACCGAACTTTCGTTTTTCATTTTGATTTGTTTTTTTACCATGAACAGAATAAATAAATCAACGCTTCAAACTTGTGAAAAGAAGGGTTATGTTTATGATGATGATGATGATGATGATGATGATGAAGGTCAATTGTGGGGCCCAATTATTGATTTTTGTTGTTGAAAAAAGTGGAAAACTTGGTCCAATCAATTTTTTTTAAACATCATCATGTGGTCCACCACCACTATCACCACCGCCACCAACGGTCTGAATCAAAGTCATCAAAAAGCCGCGTTTGATTTTTTTTTTTTGTTCATCTTCAGGTCGGTTTTTTCCTCTATATAAATGAAATAAATCCCAAAATAATTGTCCTGCTTATAACAACAACAACAACGAACACAACAAGAACCCCATTGATCGGGTTAATTAGTCGATTTCATTCGTTTTTCGTTTGTTTGAAAAAAAACACGTACCAAAATATGATAATGAAACGAAAAACAAAACAAAAAAATAATTATTTCAAACCCAAGTAAGAGAAAAAAATATCTGAAATCATTTTTCACATGAAATTCAAAACGAAAAAAAAAATTTTGACTTTTGAAAAATTTTCAAAAAAAACAACAAAAATCTGATTCGTTTTTTCCCCGTGTTTACATCTCTGAACCAAACCAAACAAACAAACAAACTTGTGGTTCACACAAGAATTCAAGAAAAAAAAGGCTCGGCTTATAAATCAATCGAATTTTGAAAAATTATTCTACCCATATTGGTTATTAAATTGGTGGTGGTATTAGCATCATTAGTAGTGGTAGTAGTCATCATAATTCATAAATCACTTTTATTCATCATAATCATCATCAATTTACTTATAAAAAAAAATCGAATCTTTAATAATCTTTAAATGCTTAAGGCGATTTGCGGTTTTGTTTTGTTTTGTTTTGTTTTTGTTTTTGTACCACAACACAGGGCAATGTACAAATGATGATGATGATGATAATTTTGAAAATCATCTTATATTCACTGTCTTTATGTGTATGTGTGTGTGTGTGTGTGTGTGTGTGAATTATCATATCAATTGGTCAGCTTCAAAGTTTCAAAAAAAAAAAAAAAAAAAAAATTATCCGAAGCTACAATTATCGACATTAAGGATGGTTTGGAAATTTTTTTCTTCTCTCCCTGTGTGTGTGTGTGTGTGGATATTTGATATTAGATAACATTTTTTCATTCATGTTCTGTTCATATAATGTGAATTCAGATGTTTTCTGTTGATCAATTAGGCCAATTATCGGTTTAAAAAACAAACTGCAAAAAAAAGATGAGCTAATCTTTCGAATTCTAAACATTGCAAATATATAGTCGATT